TAGGTGTTACTAGGTGTTGCTAGGTGTTGATTGGTGTTGCTAGGTGTTGCTAGGTGCATTACTAGGTGTTGCTAGGTGTTGCTAGGTGTTACTAGGTGTTGATATGTGTTACTAGGTGTTTCTATTTGTTTAATGAACTATAACCGCCGGTTCAACTGTACCCGTAACTAAGTAACTAAACTGGCAAATAAACCTGAATAAACCTGATTTAATAACTAATAAAAAGTAAAATAGCGGTTTAGTATTTATTTAAAATTCAGAGGAACAAACTCTATATTTTGCAATGACATACGACTACTACTGGCTAGTTACTGAATGGTCATCACCATGGTAACGTGACATGCTCTGTTATTGGTTGTTATTAGTCACATGACCTGTAATTACTATAGTCCCTCATTAGAGGTATATAATGTAAGAGTACGGGCTGTGTAGTCAGAGTCTTTACTACAATACTGATCACTTTCTGTGTGTGTGTCTGTGTGTGCTGTGTGTGTTTGGGGTCATTATCCACTCTCTCTCTCTCTCTCTGTGCTGTGTAGACCACTTGGATGGAACTTGTGTACCGTTTTGTATTACGTATTTGTTACGTCATGTAAAGTATTTGATGATGATCTGTTATCGGATCATACTTTCTGCTCTCGCGCTGAATGGATTTCTTTATTCTGCTGTTTTTATTCAGTGCGGTTTGTTGATCTGCCATGATAATACATGTTACTTCAGATACTACATTATTATGCAGTATATAGTGTGCTTGATGGTGAGCCTGCCTGATAAGCTAATTTCCCCTTTTCCCCCTCTATAAGCAGATAATAAAGTCCCCCCTCTCTTCATGGTCCCACTACCCAGTTACCTGATACTGGCATTACCTCCTATTACCTCACAACATATTAACCTCTGATCCAACAATGAGCCAACACGCTGGAACCTGGATCACACCTGATCTCACTGCCACGTGACTGCTCCGCCCACGTGACTGCTCCGCCCACGTGACTGCTCCGCCCACGTGCTTGTAGAGTGTAGGTCATTATACACGGTGGGGCCAGATGACCAGGTATCAGGTATCAGGTAACAGTGTCCCCTGGAGCGGAGTGTTACTCTAGTTTACACTCTTCTAGTGTGGGTTAGTGTTTAGTAAGTGTTTAGTGGGGCCAGTGTGTGATGTCACTGCTGGTCATGCAGGCTAACTTATACAGTTATATTGTGTAGTTTGTAGTTTGTAGCTTGTTACCCTTGTATGGAGCTCTTGTACATTTGCTGCTCCCTCTGCTCCCTCCCTCATCAGTCCTCCTTTATAAAGCAGTATAATACACTAATACAGCTCAGCTTATGAATTAGCGAGAGCCTTATCGTGACGTGTGTGTACTATTCTTCAGTAAGAATGTGGGGCTAAATCGTCTCAAGTATAATCGTATAAACTTTCTAGTTTCCATTCATTTTTAGTTTGTATTTTGTTTTGTATTTTGTTAGGGAGTCTTGGTAGTAATTGCTGTGGTTGATCTTCATGCTTTAGAATAATGCATTTATATATAGAACATTCTTATAGTCAGGGTAAAATAGAGATAATAGAGGACACAGATAGCGTTCTTTATACACACTCAAACTCACACTGCAGGTCCTCGCTAACTTCCCGTGCGTTATACCCCCTCCTTCACAGTGTTTATTTAGTCTGTGTGTAAATACCTTGTGTTAGCCCTCATATCACCGTGTAAACATACCTCATAATACTGGCTTATAACACAGCGTTATCTTTACAAGGCAGCAGTGATGTAATGTAATTATACATACTTTATACCCCCCCCCCCCCCCCCAATACTTTATACCCCCCCCCCCCCCCCCAATACTTTATACCCCCCCCCCCCCCAATACTTTAATACCCCCAATACTTTATATACCCCCATATACTTTATACCCCCAATACTTTATACCCCCCAATACTTTATACCCCCAATACTTTATACCCCCAATACTTTATACCTCCAATACTGTTTTACCCCCCAATACTTTATACCCCCCCCCCCCCCCAATTCTTTATACCCCCCCCCCCCCCCCCCCAATACTTTATTTCCCCCCTCCCCCCAATACTTTATACCCCCCCCCCCCCCCCAATACTTTATACCCCCCCCCCCCTCCATGTGTATTGTATCAGATCATTGTATTAGATACTATCAGGTGTAAGTGCGTGAGTCTGAACAGTAGAATGTACAACATAGCAAGCACACATTAAGAGTAAAGAGAGAGAGAGAGAGAGCTCATCATCTAGCTCCAGATGATGCAATCTACAGTTTATTACATTGCATATTTCTGTGTGTGGTACAGTCCTTTTTATTACAAATTCAAGCTTTTAGTGCCGTGTCTGCTGCTGTGACACATATTCTAAGTTTGTGACTTGCTTTCCCGCCAAAAGTTAGAAAGAGGCATAGCTGATTCTGCTTTCCAAATGCTCTTTTGTATTTTTCCAATTTGTTGTTTTCTAATTAGTTCTTCTCGTAGGGTTGTAACCCTAGGGCTGCTGGCACTGTTGGTAGTGGACAGTTCCATCTGTTGTGTTGCATTTTGAATACCTTTTTTTAAAACCTTTTTTTCTGTGTGATTATTGTGTAATTATTCGGGTTCTTTTGCGATAGTCAAAACGCGACAACTAGCGCTGGATGGCGACAACTAGCGCTATCCAGCGCTAGTTGTCGCCATCCAGCGCTAGTTATCGAACTGTTTTCTGCGATGGCCAGTTGCGCTGGCCATCGCAAACTATCGCGTGCGACAGTGTCGCATAGCCAGCGACAACTAGCGCTGGATAGCGACAACTAGCGCTGGATGGCGACAACTAGCGCTGGATGGCGACAACTAGCGCTGGATGGCGACAACTAGCGCTGGATAGCGACAATTATCTAACATATATATTTTGCGCTGGCCAGCGTTATCCAGCGCTGGATAGCGACAACTAGCGCTGGATGGCGACAACTAGCGCTGGATAGCGCTAGTTGTCGCCATCCAGCGCTAGTTGTCGCATTTTGACTATCGCAAAAGAACCGATTTTGATACATTGCGCTGGCTAGCGCTGGCTAACGCTGGCTAACGCTGGCTAACGCTGGCTAGCGCTGGCTAGCGCTGGTTAGCGCTGGCTAGCGCTGGCTAGCGCTGGTTAGCGCTGGCCAGCGCTAGCTGACGAGTAATAGCGCACAAATTTTGCGCTGGATATCGATGGCCAGCGCTGGCTATCGCTTAGCGCTGGCCAGCGCTAGTTGTCGCTATCCAGCGCTAGTTGTCGCGTTTTGACTATCGCAAAAGAACCATTATTCGTTATACTATTCCGCTTGGTAACCGTATTTTCACGGCACTGGTTTAATAGTTTAATGTTAGTAAGGTTACTCTTTATTCCACTCTCAAGTTCCCTTTAAGTGTTCCATATACGCTCTTTCTTCTTCACTTTTCACCCGGGATTTTCCTGTTTGTTTACACAAAACAACACCAGCTAACACCAACTAACTAGCGCTGGATAGCGACAACTAGCGCTGGATGGCGACAACTAGCGCTGGATGGCGACAACTAGCGCTGGATGGCGACAACTAGCGCTGGATAGCGACAATTATCGAACATATATATTTTGCGCTGGCCAGCGTTATCCAGCGCTGGATAGCGACAACTAGCGCTGGATGGCGACAACTAGCGCTGGATAGCGCTAGTTGTCGCCATCCAGCGCTAGTTGTCGCGTTTTGACTATCGCAAAAGAACCATTATTCGTTATACTATTCCGCTTGGTAACCGTATTTTCACGGCACTGGTTTAATAGTTTAATGTTAGTAAGGTTACTCTTTATTCCACTCTCAAGTTCCCTTTAAGTGTTCCATATACGCTCTTTCTTCTTCACTTTTCACCCGGGATTTTCCTGTTTGTTTACACAAAACAACACCAACTAACACCAACTAACCCCAACTAACCCCAACTAACCCCAACTAACCCCAACTAACACCAACTAACCCCAACTAACCCCAACTAACCCCAACTAACACCAAATAACCCCAACTAACCCCAACTAACACCAACTAACCCCAACTAACACCAACTAACCCCAACTAACCCCAACTAACCCCAACTAACCCCAACTAACCCCAACTAACCCCAACTAACCCCAACTAACACCAACTAACCCCAACTAACCCCAACTAACACAAAACAACACCAACTAACACCAACTAACCCCAACTAACCCCAACTAACACCAACTAACACCAACTAACACAAACCAACACCAACTAACACAAAACAACACCAACTAACCCCAACTAACCCCAACTAACACCAACTAACCCCAACTAACCCCAACTAACCCCAACTAACACCAAATAACCCCAACTAACCCCAACTAACCCCAACTAACACCAACTAACACCAACTAACACAAAACAACACCAACTAACACCAACTAACACCAACTAACCCCAACTAACCCCAACTAACACCAAATAACCCCAACTAACCCCAACTAACACCAACTAACCCCAACTAACACCAACTAACACCAACTAACCCCAACTAACACCAACTAACCCCAACTAACCCCAACTAACCCCAACTAACCCCAACTAACACCAACTAACCCCAACTAACACCAACTAACACCAACTAACACCAACTAACCCCAACTAACCCCAACTAACACCAACTAACCCCAACTAACCCCAACTAACCCCAACTAACACCAACTAACCCCAACTAACCCCAACTAACACCAACTAACCCCAACTAACCCCAACTAACCCCAACTAACACCAACTAACCCCAACTAACCCCAACTAACACCAACTAACCCCAACTAACCCCAACTAACCCCAACTAACACCAACTAACCCCAACTAACACCAACTAACCCCAACTAACCCCAACTAACCCCAACTAACCCCAACTAACACCAACTAACACAAAACAACACCAACTAATACCAACTAACACCAACTAACACCAACTAACACAAAACAACACCAACTAACACCAACTAACACCAGTACAGATGTAATCAGAGTGGAACTATATCTCACTACTTTAAGACCCTGTTATTACATGATCACGCTAGACATCCCTCTCTCCTCTTCACCCTTTACTAGCTTCAAACAGGACCTCCTCAGTATCCCTGATAACAGATTAAAACAAAACTGAAAGCGAAACTGATAACAGATTCCTGACAGCACTCTTGATAACAGATTTCTGAAAACTGATCCTTGAAAACAGATACTCCTCAAAGTATCTGTTTTCGTCCCTGAAAACAGATACTCAACAAAACTCATGTTCGCACAGCTGATATGTTTCACTTACCTCATTCTTCTCACCTTACAATCAGAGGGTAAGTTACTAAATTAGTTACTAAATTAGTTACTTCTTAAATAACCACGATTTGATTGTTCGGGACATAAATAAGGGCATGTTTAATGCTATTACGCATAAACTGGATAAGTTGGCCTAGTAACACCTAGTAACACCTAGTAACAACTAACACCTAGTAACACCTACTAACACCAGGGCTGTGCCCCCGATCAGAGATACCCTGCGCAGGCACATGTACTATCAAGCTCTCCCAGAGTCTTAACCACGGCCAGGCTGCTCTCCAGTGCAAAACTCAAAACAAACGTACTTATATGGGGTGAGTGTTGTGGTGGAATAGTAAACTTTCAGTTTCGCTTTCAGTTTCGCTTTTTATTCTCTTGCAAAGCCGACTTGAAGTTATTATGATCAATCTTAACCTAAAGTGTAATTTACACTGAAGAGGGTGACCGAGGGTCTAATGACCCCGTCCTCCAGTTCAAGAACTGACGATGAGTTGGAGAGTGGATGCGCTAGCTCTGTGTTTGGGACTAACACTAATCTTAATATCTGGTCTCGATATAAGCTCAGAGGTATTTATTTTATCATTGAGTTTAAACACTTTTAAGGAGAAGCTTATATATTTCCTTCCTATATTTCCTAGCTGAAGACGATTTACACATGCATTTTGAAAGCCCCTGCAAAAACAAACTTTTCGTATCACTTATATGTTTTAAATAATCGCCCTCCAGGTATATTTCCTTGTTTCTCATGCTGACAAGAAAGGTTTACTAGCTATACCAGAAGTAGCTGAGCACATCTAACTATTTCTAGGATTCCCACAATCCGAGACTTATAATTAGTACCCGTCAGTACTGTCCAGTCTCTAACATTATAATGTTTCAGATGGTTTGATAGTAGATGAGACAGGAGTAACAATAGACAGGATAAACTGGGGTATAAAGTACTGTGGAGCTGTTGACCAACTGGGTAACTTCATGCCCCATCCTTGTACTTGGAACAACTACCGAGCCATCTGCGTTAGTAACCAGAGTAAGTCTGCTGTTTTCTGACAAAAGTGCTTAAGTAACACTAGGTTCATTTTGTGCAAATTGACTTTAAAGATTTCAATTCTGTAATTGCTCTGAGCTAGCTGCTGTTTAAACTGCACTATGTTTCTAAGAGCTATCTGCTTTAGTAACCAGAGTAAGTGTACTCATCACTACACACAAATATCTTAACTATTGCGCGGCTTGTTGGATAACACCAAATAACACTTGCTCCTTCACCAACACAACCTCACCCCGCAGTCCAATACGACAAGAATAACTTACGAGAGTGCGGGGGAGAATACTACTGGATAACGGACAGGTCGGATCTAGACTACGAGAGAGGGGTGGAACACTGTAGGCAGAACAACATGGTCCTTGCTACTCCCTATACTAATGCTAGGAGGAACTGCTTCCAGCCTGTTATGCAGGCTCGAGCGATATCTAAAGCTTGGATTAATTACAAGTAAGGGTTGTTTGTTAATTACAGGTAAGGGTTTTTTGTTAATTACAAGTAAGGATTAATTACAAGTAAGGATTACTTACAAGTAAGTAAGGGTTGTTTGTTAACTATCTAAAGCTTGGATTAATTACAAGTAAGGGTTGTTATGTTAATTACAGGTAAGGGTGTCTTGTTATAAGTTAATTACTAGAAGGATTAATTACAAGTGTAAGGGTTGTAACTTTACTTGGATTATTACAAGTAAGGTTTTTTTACTTTTAAATACATTTGGTTTAAGTTAAATAGTTTATATGAAGAGTATTTGTATCGTTCAGATATATTTAATCTTTTGAAGAACAGTATTTGTACTAATATTTATAGAAATATAAACGAAACTATAATAATCTGAAGTCAAATTGACTATCGAGAACTGCACTAATTCAGCTTTATAGTCAACATGTCAATACGCAAACAAGGTTGTCTATGGCCTAACAATTAAGACCCAGGTCTTAGCCCGTCCTACATAATTAAGACCAAGCAGAACCTCAAGTAATAAGAGGTTCTGTTTCCCGACAACTATTAATGTATTAATTGCAACTTTCCCGAAATAGTGTGATCAGTTATTTGTTATCTCTTTATCTGTAGCCTTGTTGATAACGCGTTGTGTTTCAGTATAACAGCAGCTACACAGAAGATAACACCGTGGGACCGGGAGTACTGTATCAAGGTTAACAGGTACAACCAGTACACTGTAGATAAATGCGAGACTCGGCTGCCTGTCTTCTGCTCTAGTTTTGGAGGTTAGTTTTTAGTACTTTAGCTGTAGTGAGGAAACTTGTTAGAGGCAATCTTTGTTATCATGTGTATACTATGTGTACATAGTACATAGTCCATGTATACATGTAACATGTATAATTGTGACATGTATAGTACATCAAAACAACATTTCAACACAATAAGTTAACTTATTAAGTTCGTTAAATACTAAAATTAGTAACCTTTCAGAACTAGAAGCATCCGGAGTAGTGGTACAGAAAGGTGAACCTGCCGTTATGTCTTGTAAATGCTTTAACTGCACTGTCAATGATATAGGTTAGTGCCGCCCATATGGTTTTGTTGCTTGTACTCACGTTTAATAGCTAGCTCATGCAAGCAACTGTCCATCGACCTACTTTATTTATATATCGTGTTGAACATACTATTCTCAACGTTATTGCCCCCCCCCCCCCACTAATTATACCAACCTCCCCCTAACAATACCCCCCCCCCCTCACCCCACCCTAACAATACCCCACCCTAACAATACCCCGCCCCACCCTAACAAAACCCCACCCCACCCTAACAATACCCCACCCCACCCTAACAATACCCCACCCCACCCTAACAATACCCACCCTAACAATACCCCACCCCACCCTAACAATACCCCACCCCACCCTAACAATACCCCACCCCACCCTAACAATACCCCACCCTAACAATACCCCGCCCCACCCTAACAATACCCCACCCCACCCTAACAATACCCCACCCCACCCTAACAATACCCCACCCCACCCTAACAAAACCCCACCCCACCCTAACAATACCCCACCCCACCCTAACAATACCCCACCCTAACAAAACCCCACCCTAACAATACCCCCCCCCCCCCCCCTAACAAAACCCCGCCCTAACAATACCCCACCCTAACAATACCCCACCCCACCCTAACAATACCCCACCCCACCCTAACAATACCCCCCCCCCCCCCCTAACAATACCCCACCCCACCAGAGTGGACGGATGGTATGACAGTATGGAGATCAGGAGATAACGCCGGAGGTTTCTCCGTCCGCTCAGTACCCGACACAACGGGCGTCAGATCAACCCTCACCCTAACTGAGACCTTGTTAGACCAGACCTTTACATGTGTTCAGAGAACTCATTTCTCCGACTCGGTTATATATAAAACTGTGGAGGTGGATGTTTATAATTTGGAGGTGACGTCACACTTTGTGTTTTATGGAGCACAGATTACTGTTACTTGCAAGTTTAACAATGATAAACATCTGGATATTGATAGGGTGGAGTGGAGTGATAGGAGGGATAATGTGAGTGCTATTTATTTCTTTATATTAGTTACAATTTTCTTTATTTATCCGTCTTTATATTATAGTTACAATGTTCTTTATTTATCCGTCTTTATATTATAGTTACAATGTTCTTTATTTATCCGTATTTATATTATAGTTACAATGTTCTTTATTTATCCGTCTTTATATTATAGTTACAATGTTCTTTATTTATCCGTCTTTATATTATAGTTACAATTTTCTTTATTTATCCGTCTTTATATTATAGTTACAATGTTCTTTATTTATCCGTCTTTATATTATAGTTACAATGTTCTTTATTTATCCGTCTTTATATTATAGTTACAATGTTCTTTATTTATCCGTCTTTATATTATAGTTACAATGTTCTTTTCTTTATTTATCCGTCTTTATATTATAGTTACAATGTTCTTTATTTATCCGTCTTTATATTATAGTTACAATGTTCTTTATTTATCCGTCTTTATATTATAGTTACAATGTTCTTTATTTATCCGTCTTTATATTATAGTTACAATGTTCTTTATTTATCCGTCTTTATATAATAGTTACAATGTTCTTTATTTATCCGTCTTATCTCCTTTTATAACGTTTTTATTTCATTTTATATTTTTTCTGATCTGCTTTTCATTTTGATTTAAAGTTTTCAAAGGAAGACAAGACAAGTGAATTAGTTTGAATTAATACTAGAAAACCCACTGTAAATGTAAATATTCAGATAACAAGAACGTTTGTGTCCTTTCTTTTCTGACCTATCTTTATTTTTAATGTTACTTTTCCATCACTACAGACGGATTTGTCGGGTAGAGCGCGGCTCTCCTACGACGAAGCAACAGTAGTGTCAAAACTAGAGATCCCTGTAGAGTATTACACCCATGATGTCATGTGCACTTTCTATGCTAGAGGGGACGGTATTACAGCTTACTCGGGTGTCAGCAGAATCATCATTTATAGTAAGTCAATAGTAAGTCAATAGCGGTTATCAACGACTTTAAGAACATTCCACCGTACGAACTCTGACCAGGCCCGTTTTTAGCCTTTGTTCGGTGAATTATATGAAATAGATATAACAAGGTGATCAGTTAGCCGGTAGATAACAGGAACATCTTCTCAGAGATAAACGGAGAAGACCAGTCAGTGCCTGCTAACGCTAACACGACCCTATCATGTGATCTGAGGGAGCAAGAGGGGAGAAGTGTGGATCTTATACCTCCTACCAGAGTCGACTGGTAAGTTTGTAATTTGACGTCATACCACGTGGCCTCACACCACGTGACCTCGCACCTTACTCTGTATATCTTTTTCAGTTTCTCCTTGCTTATGAGGAGTGGTACCCTCGTGCCACCAATCCTAACACTTGCTACCCCAGGAAACAAGGAGACAGCTCGTACATCATACCCTCGGATATAATAAACCCTTACAGAGCGGTCCTGGTGCGGAACATGAGGACCGGGGTAGATACCTACTCTTGCAGATTCCTCTTTGAGAACGGCAATATCCTCACCAAAACCCTTACCGTCACTGCTTTCGGTGCGTACTCTTCTTTTTCTCTATTCGAATTTTGCTAATACTGGGAATACTGCATATTTAGCAGCTAAGCAATTAGATGTAATTGCAATAAGTAGTTTCATACTGCATTTCCGTTTTAATAATGGCCTGGAAGAGCTCATCAATTCTAAGAGCCGTACTTTTAAAAGTACCGTGGAAGAATATGGGTATTTGCCCAATTTGAGTATTTGTCCAATTTACCCTATTAAGCTATTAGCATTTGACTCTTGTTCCCTTGTTGTATTTGACTCTATTTCTGTTTTCCCCTAGATTTTGAAGGTATTCCCGCACTGGCAGCTAACGGTACAGCAGCAATGTTGAATTGTAAATACAGTAAAGGGGCCCCTCCTGACACGCCACTATGGTGGGAGCGAGAAGGTCAGTATATTATAGATTATACATTATACATTATACATTATACCTTATACATTATAATATTATACACTATACATTATATTATTTAGTACCTTCTACCTGGCGAAAAAATCTGATAAAGACACAAACGGTCAGCCATTAGCTAATAACGAACCATGGCGAAGTAACAAGTCACTAGGTTCCTTACTCTGTACTGAGAAGGACATTCAAAGAAGGAGAATCCTAGCTGAGATTGCTTTTAAGAACTTTGGAAAAGTATGGTTGTCCGGTAAGAAAATTTCCCTTGAAAGAAAGCTGAGGTTATATGATGCTCAAGTTGTATCTGTATTGATCTACAACTCAAATAGTTGGAGTCCTAAGAAAGCAACCATGGAGAAAATGGACACACTCCATCGTAGACACCTCAGGTCCATTTTAAACATCAAATGGCCTAAAGGTATGATAAGCAACAAAGCATTGTATGAAAGGTGCAAAGTTGAAAAGTTATCCAAGCGTATTGAACACCAGCGGTGGAAGATGTTTGGACACATTCTCAGGAGTATGGAGAACACCCCAGCCCAAACGGCTCTCTCTTTTGCTATTGAATCAGATAATTTATTCATTGGTAGATTGGGGAGACCTAGAATGAACTTGTTATCGGTTTTAAGAAGTGATTTAAGTAGTAGAAATTTGCAAATGGACAACTTGCATGAATTGAACGAAATTAGAGATATAGCTGCATGCAACAGATGTTGGGAAAATCTTTTTCAAGGGTACAGTTTACCGCATTAAGGTATTTTTAAGAATCATTTTTGTCGGTAAGATCCTGTTTTATAATAATAATAATAATACATTATATACTATACATTATAATATTATCATAAGAAGCTTTATAGTTTATACAAAGAAAAGGTTAGACTTATTGAAATGTTTCAAATGTTCTGGTCGTTATAACTAATAATTTGACTTTACTACTTCTTCATTTTACCTGATATAACTAATAATTTGACTTTACTACTTCCTCATTTTACCCGATGATTTGCTTCAGGAGTTAAGATATCAAATGGTAAGAAGTATAAGGGAGAAACGTACGAGATAACGTCCAACTTCGTTAATGACGGTTTCTACATGGCCACCACTACAGTTACTGTACGAAATGCTTCGGAGGAGGCAACTTTTCAGTGTGGGCTCAGAGTCTCGGGTAGGTTGATAGATTAATTAATTAATTGTTTAAATTTAAATTATTATTAACAAATTTAAATTATTTCTTTGATTTTTCTTGATTTATAGGGATCTTTTATCTGGTGACTGTGCAACGTTGTAAGTATTATTTATGTGTATATTATGAGCTGCATAGCATTTATTCCTTAAAAGTAATGACACCCATTTAAAACGAACACAAAACAGATAAAGTGTGGAGGAAAGATATCCCTATGAAGATCTATATGGGAATGTTCATCGCCCCTAATGTAACGATTGCGGAGGAGATTGACTCGAACACTGGACAGATTGTAGTAAACTGCTCGGTGTGGGCTAATCCCCGTCCTAACATCCAGATATTCGTGGATACTGAGGTAATAACATCCAGATATTCGTGGATACTGAGGTAATAACTTCCAGATATTCGTGGATACTGAGGTAATAACATCCAGATATTCGTGGATACTGAGGTAATAACATCCAGATATTCGTGGATACTGAGGTAATAACATCCAGATATTCGTGGATACTGAGGTAATAACATCCAGATATTCGTGGATACTGAGGTAATAACATCCAGATATTCGTGGATACTGAGGTAATAATATCCAGATATTCGTGGATACTGAGGTAATAACATCCAGATATTCGTGGATACTGAGGTAATAACATCCAGATATTCGTGGATACTGAGGTAATAACATCCAGATATTCGTGGATACTGAGGTAATAACATCCAGATATTCGTGGATACTGAGGTAATAACATCCAGATATTCGTGGATACTGAGGTAATAACATCCAGATATTCGTGGATACTGAGGTAATAACATCCAGATATTCGTGGATACTGAGGTAATAACATCCAGATATTCGTGGATACTGAGGTAATAACATCCAGATATTCGTGGATACTGAGGTTATAATATCCAGATATTCGTGGATACTGAGGTAATAACATCCAGATATTCGTGGATACTGAGGTAATAACATCCAGATATTCGTGGATACTGAGGTAATAACATCCAGATATTCGTGGATACTGAGGTAATAACATCCAGATATTCGTGGATACTGAGGTAATAACATCCAGATATTCGTGGATACTGAGGTAATAACATCCAGATATTCGTGGATACTGAGGTAATAACATCCAGATATTCGTGGATACTGAGGTAATAACATCCAGATATTCGTGGATACTGAGGTAATAACATCCAGATATTCGTGGATACTGAGGTAATAACATCCAGATATTCGTGGATACTGAGGTAATAACATCCAGATATTCGTGGATACTGAGGTAATAACATCCAGATATTCGTGGATACTGAGGTAATACATCCAGATATTCGTGGATACTGAGGTAATAACATCCAGATATTCGTGGATACTGAGGTAATAACATCCAGATATTCGTGGATACTGAGGTAATAACATCCAGATATTCGTGGATACTGAGGTAATAACTTCCAGATATTCGTGGATACTGAGGTAATAACATCCAGATATTCGTGGATACTGAGGTAATAACATCCAGATATTCGTGGATACTGAGGTAATAACATCCAGATATTCGTGGATACTGAGGTAATAACTTCCAGATATTCGTGGATACTGAGGTAATAACATCCAGATATTCGTGGATACTGAGGTAATAACTTCCAGATATTCGTGGATACTGAGGTAATAACATCCAGATATTCGTGGATACTGAGGTAATAACATCCAGATATTCGTGGATACTGAGGTAATAACATCCAGATATTCGTGGATACTGAGGTAATAACATCCAGATATTCGTGGATACTGAGGTAATAATATCAGATATTCGTGGATACTGAGGTAATAACATCCAGTTATTCGTGGATACTGAGGTAATAATATCTAGATATTCGTGGATACTGAGGTAATAACATCCAGATATTCGTGGATACTGAGGTAATAACATCCAGATATTCGTGGATACTGAGGTAATAACATCCAGATATTCGTGGATACTGAGGTAATAACATCCAGATATTCGTGGATACTGAGGTAATAACATCCAGATATTCGTGGATACTGAGGTAATAACATCCAGATATTCGTGGATACTGAGGTAATAACATCAGATATTCGTGGATACTGAGGTAATAACATCCAGATATTCGTGGATACTGAGGTAATAACATCCAGATATTCGTGGATACTGAGGTAATAACATCCAGATATTCGTGGATACTGAGGTAATAACATCCAGATATTCGTGGATACTGAGGTAATAACATCCAGATATTCGTGGATACTGAGGTAATAACATCCAGATATTCGTGGATACTGAGGTAATAATATCCAGATATTCGTGGATACTGAGGTAATAACATCCAGATATTCGTGGATACTGAGGTAATAACATCCAGATATTCGTGGATACTGAGGTAATAACATCCAGATATTCGTGGATACTGAGGTAATAACATCCAGATATTCGTGGATACTGAGGTAATAACATCCAGATATTCGTGGATACTGAGGTAATAACATCCAGATATTCGTGGATACTGAGGTAATAACTTCCAGATATTCGTGGATACTGATGTAATAACATCCAGATATTCGTGGATACTGAGGTAATAACATCCAGATATTCGTGGATACTGAGGTAATAACATCCAGATATTCGTGGATACTGAGGTAATAACTTCCAGATATTCGTGGATACTGAGGTAATAACATCCAGATATTCGTGGATACTGAGGTAATAACTTCCAGATATTCGTGGATACTGAGGTAATAACATCCAGATATTCGTGGATACTGAGGTAATAACATCCAGATATTCGTGGATACTGAGGTAATAACATCCAGATATTCGTGGATACTGAGGTAATAACATCCAGATATTCGTGGATACTGAGGTAATAATATTCAGATATTCGTGGATACTGAGGTAATAACATCCAGATATTCGTGGATACTGAGGTAATAATATCTAGATATTCGTGGATACTGAGGTAATAACATCCAGATATTCGTGGATACTGAGGTAATAACATCCAGATATTCGTGGATACTGAGGTAATAACATCCAGATATTCGTGGATACTGAGGTAATAATATCCAGATATTCGTGGATACTGAGGTAATAACATCCAGATATTCGTGGATACTGAGGTAATAACATCCAGATATTCGTGGATACTGAGGTAATAACATCCAGATATTCGTGGATACTGAGGTAATAATATGCAGATATTCGTGGATACTGAGGTAATAACATGCAGATATTCGTGGATACTGAGGTAATAACATCCAGATATTCGTGGATACTGAGGTAATAACTTCCAGATATTCGTGGATACTGAGGTAATAACATCCAGATATTCGTGGATACTGAGGTAATAACATCCAGATATTCGTGGATACTGAGGTAATAACATCCAGATATTCGTGGATACTTTTATCTAAAACTTTTCAAACAATACATAATTATACAGAATTGAATGCTTCTAAATAAACCCAGTTATAAAAGGAAAAAAACCGATATAGCCCTAATTTTCACTATCCCAGAATATCGAAACCCAAATTATGTATTGAGAGAGGGGTAACCAAAACACGGTAGTGTGCAGTAAATACCACACCCGCAATAAAATTGGGCCCTAGCAACAATTAATTAATCAATGAATCAAAACATATAATATTGTACTTATAGAAAATATAAAACTCTCAGGGCTCCTTCTCCGAGCTAATGACTCTAAAGTTCCTGATTACGTGAACTTTGTCCGGCTCTGCTGTCCTTTTATTGAGTAGCTGGACGACAACTTTCTTGTAGGCTATTCTGTCTGCAGCTGATCTATCAGGAGTTATGTAAACAGAAGTAAACCCGTCTACATGTCTTAATAACTTAGTCTTGCTCAAGATGGTACGAGCTTGATCTGAGCTTGACAAAGTGAATTTAACTGGTCTGACTCGTTCACTTGTGTCCTTTCCAACTCTATTACATCTCAAAATTTTTGGTTTTTCGTTGAGATGGTCCAACAAAATACCAGATACCTTAGCATCCAAGTTCTCCTCAGTCTCTGGGATCCCAAAGATAATCAGACTTTTACTTCGATCTTCTTCTAGGGCAACCCTTTTCACTGCAGCTTGGATTTTCTTCGGTGCAAAGGCGTTTTTGCACGTGTTTTTCAACAGAGACGAAAAGGTCTTAATCTCTTTCTGAGCTGCACTTTTCACAGTTCCAATCTCGTCATCCTTCTTCAAAGCTAACTTCTCCTGCAGATCACTGATTTTTGTCATATCTTCTTCTTGTTTAGAGAGTAACTTCTCTTGCAGTTCTATGATCTTATTCGCATCTTCTATTTTTTCTTTCCTGAACACCCTGTTGTCGGTAGCTGTTTCTGTGGCAGATTGTAACAATGGACCACAATAATCGTTCAGCAAACAGCACACTGTCTCTAGCCATTCTGATAACCTCTCTCTAGGCACACTTCTCTGGTTCAGTTTGTCAAATTCCACATCATCGTTGTGTTCGGCACCGATTTTAATTCTAATCTCCTTAAAAATACTGTTAGTTGCCATGTGTATCTGATTCACATACTCCGTAAGGAACTGGCCATTCATAACCATAGCATCATCTAGCATATCCAAGTGTTCATTCTGTAGCGGCAAAGGCATCGTACACGTTGTACAGAAAATGTACAAACAATGTATACAAATCTACAAAGCCAGAGAGATAATTCAACGCGCACACAAAACTGCTGATAAGAGAGCTACAATTTAGCAACGAATGTAAAAGTGTAATATCGGTACTGAGGTAATAACATCCAGATATTCGTGGATACTGAGGTAATAATATCTAGATATTCGTGGATACTGAGGTAATAACATCCAGATATTCGTGGATACTGAGGTAATAACATCCAGATATTCGTGGATACTGAGGTAATAACATCCAGATATTCGTGGATACTGAGGTTATAACATCCAGATATTCGTGGATACTGAGGTAATAACATCCAGATATTCGTGGATACTGAGGTAATAACATAATAATACTCAGTCGATATACTTTACAGCAACCCAAAGCTATTCAACCTCCAAAACCACTCAGCTTCTTCCCAATTTCATGTTTTAATTTATTAATTGACAATTAATCGACTGTAGCTTAATAGGTTAACACTGACTTCTCGACCAGGCAGGAGAAGGGTTGCTGAGCAGTACAAACAATAAAACTACACTGACAGTAAGAATAGATCAGACGTGTGAGGCTCCCCAACTTAAGTGTCTGGCAACAAGTAACGAGGGGACCAGGGAAAATGTCGTTAAGTCTAAACTTAACAAAAAGTGCGGATTCTTTGCCAAATGTAGGTTTCTTCCGTTATCCTGTCTTCTTCTGGCCTCGACAGAAAGTTATTTTGATGTCTGATAAAATAATTTGTCTGCGTTTACCTTTTTACTGAAAATACCCATCTTTTTACTGAAAATACCCGTCTCCGGCAGTGACTCTAACAATAAAGTTAGCAATTGGCGGCTCACTTCTGCTGCTTGTGATAATAATAATAGTGATCTGCTGCTGCTTCTGCCGCAAGACAAAGGAACTGAAAGAGGAAGTGGAATACCACCGTGAGGTCCTATCTCAGGTTAATACTTAATTATTTAATTATTTAACTACTTTTTTTAGTTAATTATCCCTTTCTCAGTTTGATAATAATAATAATTATTTAATTACTTTTTAGTTAATTAGCCCTTTTTCAGTTTAATACCTAATTACCTAATTATTAAATTACTTTTTTAGTTAATTAGCCCTTTTTCAGTTTAATACTTAATTACCTAATTATTAAATTACTTTTTCAATTAATTAATCCTCTCTCAGGTCATGTATCTCTCTAATCCCTTACCCATTCTTACCTGTCAGGTTGATGGAACTAGTACTATGTACAGTATGAACTTGTCACGTGGAGGTAAGACCAGTCTTCCTCCGAAGTACGAGGATATGTACTCTGAGGCCGGCACTAATGTGAGTCAGTATATTATACATTATACACTGTATATTATAATTATACATTATACATACGAACACCGATGGGACAGTAAGACAACATTAAGACAACATTAAGACAACAATAAGACAACATTAAGACAACATTAAGACAACAATAAGACAACGTTAACGCAACAAACACCAATAAGACAACAAACGATAAGACAACATTAAGACAACATTAAGGCAACATTAAGGCAACATTAAAGCAAACATTAAGACAACATTAAGGCAACATTAAGACAACATTAAGGCAACAATAAGACAAGATTAAGACAACAAACACCGATAAGACAACAAAATAGGATAAAATATTAAGACAACATTAAGACAACATTAAGACAACATTAAGACAACAAACTGTGTTAATGTGTCTTATTGGTGTCTTAATGTTGTCTTATTGTTGTCTTAATGTGTCTTAATGTTGTCTTAATGTCCCATCGGTGTTCGTTCTAGTTGTCCATTATACATTATACATTATAAAGTACGAGGATATGTACTCTGAGGCTGGTACTAATGTGAGTCGAGGGGCACATTTTTCAAATTGGTCTGATAATGTTATAAAAGTTCACAGTTTTCTTTAGAATCATGTAAAAGATGCAATGTTAAACTCATTCTTGAAGCTGTAAGAGTTGCGATATTTACATTTCTTTTATCACCCCCGTTTTAGTTGCTCACTTTAATCACGTGAGTACTCCTAATCACGTGACTACTCCTAATCACGTGACTACTCCTAATCACGTGACTACTCCTAATCACGTGACTACTCCTAATCACGTGACTACTCCTAATCACGTGACTACTCCTAATCACGTGACTACTCCTAATCACGTGACTACTCCTAATCACGTGACTACTCCTAATCACGTGACTACTCCTAATCACGTGACTACTCCTAATCACGTGACTACTCCTAATCACGTGACTACTCCTAATCACGTGACTACTCCTAATCACGTGACTACTCCAGACTTTAATCACGTGACTACTCCTAATCACGTGACTACTCCTAATCACGTGACTACTCCTAATCACGTGACTACTCCTAATCACGTGACTACTCCTAATCACGTGACTACTCCAGACTTTAATCACGTGACTACTCCTAATCACGTGACTACTCCTAATCACGTGACTACTCCTCATCACGTGAATACTCCTACAGAACTACGACCCGATAGTGAAAGATAAGATGTACATGGAGCTGCATGACACTGACGTTGCTGAATACAACCAGCCTTACTCGGAAGTGGGGCTCATGTCCCCCAAATATCAGAGAATCGAGTCCGACTACGAGCCCGCACCTCAGCTATTTATGAGCAGGTCAGCTTACAAGTTCATTAATTAATCAGTCTGTTAATTTAATAATTTTTTAGTTAATCAATTAGTTTGTTAATTCATTAATTAACTTGTTCATTAATTGTTTAGTTTATTGAATAGTTGGTACGTGTCATTAGTTAACTTATGTGGGGCCAGCACAAACTGTTCTAAAAGGGGTCCTGAATCGAACAGCCTGACAGCCATCAATAAATATTCAGAATCTATCATGATTTTCTCATATTTCCACATGATTATAATCTAACCTATCTCTCCGCAGATCAAAGTCACGTGACAACATGTCACGTGGTCCAGATAACATGTTCTCCCCGCCCCTCATGAAGAAGTCCACCACCACACTAAGCTACCAGAACCTTAAGGAGCAGTCCTCTAAGTACCCTAGTGAAGTTGGCAGCATGAACAAATCTAGCGTCTCCAGATCAGCAACCAATATTAATAACCCCAGGTTAGAGGAACGTTATTGAGGAATAGAAAAAAAAAATGTAACTATATAAATAGAAAAATATGTATATAACTATATTGAGGAAAAGAAAAACCATAATTTTCATTCATCTCTCTCTTCAGTGGATCAATCATGATTTGTTACTGGGGACGAATTGATAATCTCGAATTGAATGGAGATCCTTCATTCGTCCTCAGTAACCAATCAATTATTAACATACGCTGTACACTGTAATCTGTAAACTGTACATACTACATACCTCCAATTATAGATTGATGAATTTAACTGACCCCATCTAGGAAATTCTCACAGCCTGCAGACACCATGGGGGCGCAACCAGTGAAGATGAACCCCTTTGGGAACGTACAGAGACTGAAGAGTAATGATCATCCTGATGATGAGATTATGTCTATTACCTCTAAAATACCTCCCTCCGAAATCTCTGGTTCGTTTGAACGTGTGATTCTCTGCTATTTTTAGCTATTATAACTACCCTCTACTTTAAACTCCCTCCTTGAAAATAAGAAATGAGTAATAAACTTTAAAACCCTCTCAGATATGACACCTCCTGTTGAGTAATAAACTTTAAAACCCTCTCAGATATGACACCTCCTTTTGAGTAATAAACTTTAAAACCCTCTCAGATATGACACCTCCTGTTGAGTAATAAACTTTAAAACCCTCTCAGATATGACACCTCCTGTTGAGTAATAAACTTTAAAACCCTCTCAGATATGACACCTCCTGTTTAATAATAAACTTTAAAACCCTCTCAGATATGACACCTCCTGTTGAGTAATAAACTTTAAAACCCTCTCAGATATGACACCTCCTGTTGAGTAATAAACTTTAAAACCCTCTCAGATATGACACCTCCTGTTTAATAATAAACTTTAAAACCCTCTCAGATATGACACCTCCTGTTGAGTAATAAACTTTAAAACCCTCTCAGATATGACACCTCCTGTTGAGTAATAAACTTTAAAACCCTCTCAGATATGACACCTCCTGTTTAATAATAAACTTTAAAACCCTCTCAGATATGACACCTCCTGTTGAGTAATAACCTTTAAAACCCTCTCAGATATGACACCTCCTGTTGAGTAATAAACTTTAAAACCCTCTCAGATATGACACCTCCTGTTGAGTAATAAACTTTGAAACTCTCTCAGGTATGACACCTCCTGTTGAGTAATAAACTTTAAAACCCTCTCAGATATGACACCTCCTGTTGAGTAATAAACTTTAAAACCCTCTCAGATATGATACCTCCTGTTGAGTAATAAACTTTAAAACCCTCTCAGATATGACACCTCCTGTTGAGTAATAAACTTTAAAACCCTCTCAGATATGACACCTCCTGTTGAGTAATAAACTTTAAAACCCTCTCAGATATGACACCTCCTGTTGAGTAATAAACTTTAAAACCCTCTCAGATATGACACCTCCTGTTGAGTAATAAACTTTAAAACCCTCTCAGATATGACACCTCCTGTTGAGTAATAAACTTTAAAACCCTCTCAGATATGACACCTCCTGTTGAGTAATAAACTTTAAAACCCTCTCAGATATGACACCTCCTGTTGAGTAATAAACTTTAAAACCCTAGTCTCAGATATGACACCTCCTGTTGAGTAATAAACTTTAAAACCCTCTCAGATATGACACCTCCTGTTGAGTAATAAACTTTAAAACCCTAGTCTCAGATATGACACCTCCTGTTGAGTAATAAACTTTAAAACCCTCTCAGATATGACACCTCCTGTTGAGTAATAAACTTTAAAACCCTAGTCTCAGATATGACACCTCCTGTTGAGTAATAAACTTTAAAACCCTCTCAGATATGACACCTCCTGTTGAGTAATAAACTTTAAAACCCTCTCAGATATGACACCTCCTGTTGAGTAATAAACTTTAAAACCCTCTCAGATATGACACCTCCTGTTGAGTAATAAACTTTAAAACCCTAGTCTCAGATATGACACCTCCTGTTGAGTAATAAACTTTAAAACCCTCTCAGATATGACACCTCCTGTTGAGTAATAAACTTTAAAACCCTAGTCTCAGTCCTCAGATATGACACCTCCTGTTGAGTAATAAACTTTAAAACCCTAGTCTCAGATATGACACCTCCTGTTGAGTAATAAACTTTAAAACCCTCTCAGATATGACACCTCCTGTTGAGTAATAAACTTTAAAACCCTCTCAGATATGACACCTCCTGTTGAGTAATAAACTTTAAAACCCTCTCAGATATGACACCTCCTGTTGAGTAATAAACTTTAAAACCCTCTCAGATATGACACCTCCTGTTGAGTAATAAACTTTAAAACCCTCTCAGATATGACACCTCCTGTTGAGTAATAAACTTTAAAACCCTCTCAGATATGACACCTCCTGTTGAGTAATAAACTTTAAAACCCTCTCAGATATGACACCTCCTGTTGAGTAATAAACTTTAAAACCCTCTCAGATATGACACCTCCTGTTGAGTAATAAACTTTAAAACCCTCTCAGATATGACACCTCCTGTTGAGTAATAAACTTTAAAACCCTCTCAGATATGACACCTCCTGTTGAGTAATAAACTTTAAAACCCTCTCAGATATGACACCTCCTGTTGAGTAATAAACTTTAAAACCCTCTCAGATATGACACCTCCTGTTGAGTAATAAACTTTAAAACCCTCTCAGATATGACACCTCCTGTTGAGTAATAAACTTTAAAACCCTCTCAGATATGATACCTCCTGTTGAGTAATAAACTTTAAAACCCTCTCAGATATGACACCTCCTGTTGAGTAATAAACTTTGAAACTCTCTCAGGTATGACACCTCCTGTTGAGTAATAAACTTTAAAACCCTCTCAGATATGACACCTCCTGTTGAGTAATAAACTTTAAAACCCTCTCAGATATGATACCTCCTGTTGAGTAATAAACTTTAAAACCCTCTCAGATATGACACCTCCTGTTGAGTAATAAACTTTAAAACCCTCTCAGATATGACACCTCCTGTTGAGTAATAAACTTTAAAACCCTCTCAGATATGACACCTCCTGTTGAGTAATAAACTTTAAAACCCTAGTCTCAGATATGACACCTCCTGTTGAGTAATAAACTTTAAAACCCTCTCAGATATGACACCTCCTGTTGAGTAATAAACTTTAAAACCCTAGTCTCAGTCCTCAGATATGACACCTCCTGTTGAGTAATAAACTTTAAAACCCTAGTCTCAGATATGACACCTCCTGTTGAGTAATAAACTTTAAAACCCTCTCAGATATGACACCTCCTGTTGAGTAATAAACTTTAAAACCCTCTCAGATATGACACCTCCTGTTGAGTAATAAACTTTAAAACCCTCTCAGATATGACACCTCCTGTTGAGTAATAAACTTTAAAACCCTCTCAGATATGACACCTCCTGTTGAGTAATAAACTTTAAAACCCTCTCAGATATGACACCTCCTGTTGAGTAATAAACTTTAAAACCCTCTCAGATATGACACCTCCTGTTGAGTAATAAACTTTAAAACCCTCTCAGATATGACACCTCCTGTTGAGTAATAAACTTTAAAACCCTCTCAGATATGACACCTCCTGTTGAGTAATAAACTTTAAAACCCTCTCAGATATGACACCTCCTGTTGAGTAATAAACTTTAAAACCCTCTCAGATATGACACCTCCTGTTGAGTAATAAACTTTAAAACCCTCTCAGATATGACACCTCCTGTTGAGTAATAAACTTTAAAACCCTCTCAGATATGACACTTCCTGTTGAGTAATAAACTTTAAAACCCTCTCAGATATGACACCTCCTGTTGAGTAATAAACTTTAAAACCCTCTCAGATATGATACCTCCTGTTGAGTAATAAACTTTAAAACCCTCTCAGATATGACACCTCCTGTTGAGTAATAAACTTTGAAACTCTCTCAGGTATGACACCTCCTGTTGAGTAATAAACTTTAAAACCCTCTCAGATATGACACCTCCTGTTGAGTAATAAACTTTAAAACCCTCTCAGATATGATACCTCCTGTTGAGTAATAAACTTTAAAACCCTCTCAGATATGACACCTCCTGTTGAGTAATAAACTTTAAAACCCTCTCAGATATGACACCTCCTGTTGAGTAATAAACTTTAAAACCCTCTCAGATATGACACCTCCTGTTTAATAATAAACTTTAAAACCCTCTCAGATATGACACCTCCTGTTGAGTAATAAACTTTAAAACCCTCTCAGATATGACACCTCCTGTTGAGTAATAAACTTTAAAACCCTCTCAGATATGACACCTCCTGTTGAGTAATAAACTTTAAAACCCTCTCAGATATGACACCTCCTGTTGAGTAATAAACTTTAAAACCCTCTCAGATATGACACCTCCTGTTGAGTAATAAACTTTAAAACCCTCTCAGATATGACACCTCCTGTTGAGTAATAAACTTTGAAACTCTCTCAGGTATGACACCTCCTGTTGAGTAATAAACTTTAAAACCCTCTCAGATATGACACCTCCTGTTGAGTAATAAACTTTAAAACCCTCTCAGATATGATACCTCCTGTTGAGTAATAAACTTTAAAACCCTCTCAGATATGACACCTCCTGTTGAGTAATAAACTTTAAAACCCTCTCAGATATGACACCTCCTGTTGAGTAATAAACTTTAAAACCCTCTCAGATATGACACCTCCTGTTTAATAATAAACTTTAAAACCCTCTCAGATATGACACCTCCTGTTGAGTAATAAACTTTAAAACCCTCTCAGATATGACACCTCCTGTTGAGTAATAAACTTTAAAACCCTCTCAGATATGACACCTCCTGTTGAGTAATAAACTTTAAAACCCTCTCAGATATGACACCTCCTGTTGAGTAATAAACTTTAAAACCCTCTCAGATATGACACCTCCTGTTGAGTAATAAACTTTAAAACCCTCTCAGATATGACACCTCCTGTTGAGTAATAAACTTTGAAACTCTCTCAGATATGACACCTCCTGTTGAGTAATAAACTTTAAAACCCTCTCAGATATGACACCTCCTGTTGAGTAATAAACTTTAAAACCCTCTCAGATATGACACCTCCTGTTGAGTAATAAACTTTAAAACCCTCTCAGATATGACACCTCCTGTTTAATAATAAACTTTAAAACCCTCTCAGATATGACACCTCCTGTTGAGTAATAAACTTTAAAACCCTCTCAGATATGACACCTCCTGTTGAGTAATAAACTTTAAAACCCTCTCAGATATGACACCTCCTGTTGAGTAATAAACTTTAAAACCCTCTCAGATATGACACCTCCTGTTGAGTAATAAACTTTAAAACCCTCTCAGATATGACACCTCCTGTTGAGTAATAAACTTTAAAACCCTCTCAGATATGACACCTCCTGTTGAGTAATAAACTTTAAAACCCTCTCAGATATGACACCTCCTGTTGAGTAATAAACTTTAAAACCCTCTCAGATATGACACCTCCTGTTGAGTAATAAACTTTAAAACCCTCTCAGATATGACACCTCCTGTTGAATAATAAACCTTAAAACCCTCTCAGATATGACACCTCCTGTTGAGTAATAAACTTTGAAACTCTCTCAGATATGACACCTCCTGTTGAGTAATAAACTTTAAAACCCTCTCAGATATGACACCTCCTGTTTAGTAATAAACTTTAAAACCCTCTCAGATATGACACCTCCTGTTGAGTAATAAACTTTAAAACCCTCTCAGATATGACACCTCCTGTTGAGTAATAAACTTTAAAACCCTCTCAGATATGACACCTCCTGTGGAGTAATAAACTTTAAAACCCTCTCAGATATGACACCTCCTGTTGAGTAATAAACTTTAAAACCCTCTCAGATATGACACCTCCTGTTGAGTAATAAACTTTAAAACCCTCTCAGATATGACACCTCCTGTTTAATAATAAACTTTAAAACCCTCTCAGATATGACACCTCCTGTTGCCATCCTCTCTCCTCGAGGCTGGGAGATCCCTGACGATCCTGCCAGAATGTTCAGTCCTCCGACTGCGCGGCGTCCTAGAGAATATGAGCGGAAGTTCAGTGAGCCGGCCATCTTGCCCTGGCAAGATGCCCAGAATAAGGTCAATAACTGGAACCTCCCTCCTACTGCAGAAGGTATGAAACAAGATGAACACATTTCACCTTCACACAAACGTTTTAACAACAGTTTTCAACGATGGCTGGAGTTGGTATTTGGGTTATATTTATAGATTTATGGTTATTGCTTAGGATCGAGGATAATATGGGTAAAGTTTTATAACCTCTAAATCCACTACAGAATTATACGACAGACCTCCCAAAAGCGGCTGGTCAACCCCAGCTGGTCCCCTGAGTACAGTGGGAGAATCCACCGGCAAATCCTCGGCCACCCTGGACACCATCAGTGTGACACCTACCTACCTGACAAAACCAATCAGTCTCCCCAAACCCAGCACCCACCCTTCTGATAGGGTTGCTGACTGTGTGTCCCCTCCCCCACTTTCAGTAGCTCCTTCTTCTGGTTACCCTCAGAGGTTGGTGTTTCTCTTCTAATAGTTGTTATTGTCATGGTAACACCTTCTTTTCTATCCACTTTTTAGTTGCCCCCGTAACCACCTATTATTATCATTGGTAACACCTCCTTGCTCTTTTCTCCCTTTTATAGTTGTCCTCTGATTATTGTTGCTGACTGTGTGTCTCCTCCCCCACTCTGATTATTGTTGTCACGGTAACCTCTCTCTCTCTCCAGCTCAGTTGGTCCATCAGTCTCGGAGTACGAGAGCCCCATGAGTCCACCTACACACTTCCGGTCGGCTATTGATAACGATCGGCAAAGAAACAACCTTCAGAATAATGTATTCGATATTGACGATCTAAGTTCGGTTAGTTCTACCCTTCTTTGTTGTTATCTTGCTTATATACCCTATAAACAGATTAAACGGATTAAACGATTCAAAAGTCAAATTACATGTCTGACCCAATACAAAAAGTAAAATTACCCAAAAGTCAAAAAGTATATATACTTTTTGATATATATATATCTGTTACCATTTTACTGACACCACGACTTCAACTTTAACAAGACTTTCCGCGAAAACCGTAAGAGACATACTTTTGAAACATTTTTGGCTGGGTTGAATGCTTTTATGGCCTTTTGGTCATTATAAAGAAAGAAAGAATCGGCCAAGGAATAAACAATTTAGGTTCCGAAAAATGGACCCCCAGGTGGTGTCAAAATCACAAATTATGTCTCTTGACACCACTTTAGAGAAACACGGGTTCCTGCTAGTTTATACTAAGTTTCCACTTAACTACCACTTTATCACATGGTTAATGATCCTATAAATGATCAGGAGATTGTCCCCTTATCTCCCTGTTCCTACCCTCATGCCTGATTCACCACTTGATTAACCAGTCTCTGCACTCAGGTGGATGTACCGGAGAATGGGATGGACACGTTAGACAGAAGAGTCCAGTACAACATGCAGCCTGCTGCTGAGAATTTCTACACACCGTCTAGAGGACCTCCTCCTTCGGGGCCCAGTTCAGGGGCTAGGACACCACAGGGGACCAGGACACCACATGGAGTCAAGGTTAGCACGGTTTCTACCATTTAACACTTTGTAGGATCTAGAATCTAGATTTTATAAACTATTTGTTATTTGTACGTTTGTTAAATCCGATCTAATTTCAGGTGCTGCCTACACTGCCGAAGAATCCAAATCTCCGGACATCACATTTTTAATTTAGTTTATATAACCAGTTTAGATTCGTCGAGTTATATATTATATTGATACAATTTATTAAGTTTTAAATCTTTAACTCTAAGCTATCAGATTTAAATTTCATATTTCTTTGATAATGCATCTTTTGCTACCAACAAGAATGACCAAACATTATGAATGGACGAGGAGCCATATTGCAGACTGTATTCCACCAGTATTCCACATTCATTATTACAGCATTAACATAATTATTTAATTAACAGTGGCCTGAACTGATCACATTTATTTTTACTCCAGTTATATCGATCAAATGTGGTCATGTGTTAATCTTATGTTTTACACCAACTGTAAAGGCTTGATGACTGACGTTTGAAGTTCTTGTATCAGACTAAGTGAATACTGCGAGCGTGCAAAGTGTATAATGAATTGGGAGCACATTATCCCGGGCGATCTAGCTGCTTTGTAAATCACGTGACCACTCCTACTTATTTCCTACCTCGCTATAACCCAGATATTGGAGTCTAGAAAACTGAACCCTTTACACTTTACTGTTAACTAGTCACTGAATCTGACTAATTAATATGTCTCCTCAAGTATGAGAGCGAGAGATTATTTTAACTGATGTTCATGACTTGTTATGTATGATGAATTTTATTTTTCACAAATTTCGTAACTTGTACAATTTTACTTACTAAAGATAGAAACAAAGTAATAATAATAACCCTGTCGGTCTAGGTGACTCGCTTCTTTCCTGTGAGGAGAAAGGTGACAACACTGTGGGAAAATGGGACAGAGAATGGAACAAAATTATTTTTCAATTTTTTTCGGAATTTTGACTTCCAGTTCCAGTACCTCAATTTGGTTTCATACCATCATAGATTAACTGACTAATTAATGGTCTCTGGGCAGAAAGTCCGTCCAATCTGTCAAATTTGTTTTCATATATTTTCATATTTTAAAATGGGACAGAAGTTAGAAAATGTGAATTTTCGTTTTGTTAAGCTACATATAATTATAGAAAACACGTGTATAACTCTAGCGCTACAGCTGATGATAACTATGAACATTTTGTGTTCTTTGAGATACAGATCCACTACCTTACCCGGATGATGATTAATCACTCTACACTCGACTGTCACGTGACTTTTTAAACACTCTCTCTAGGTGGCCCTGAATGACTATTCGAAATCCTAGCCCTCTAATCTGATCCTAACCCTAACCGAATCTCTAACATGTAACAAAAGCATAGGTATGCATTTAATTATTTAATTAACAGTGACCTGAACTGATCACTTTTATTTTTACTCCAGATTTATAACTTATATCGATCAAATGTGGTCATGTGTTAATTTTATGTTTTACACCAACTGTAAAGGCTGGCTCTTACTAATACTAATTCGCTCGCCCAAAAATTTCACGTGACTTTGGTTTTTATGGTTTTGCAGCCGTACAAAACGGTTTTACATAAACCCTAATTCCAACCCTAACCCTAACCATAACCCCGAAGCTAACAATAACCCTTACCACAACCCTAACCCTAACCCGAGCCCTAAGGCTAAACAATCGTATTCATGGTTTACTAGCCTGTCACGTGACCAAAACGGTTTTTTGCCCATAAATCTCCGTGGAAGAATTTTTACCCTATACGTCATGTGCAATGTGTGGTGATTCGGAATCAGCGTCAAAAAATACACCGATTTAGATCAATTTCACACCCAAAGGGCCTTTTCACAAGAATTTTCTTAAAATTTGGGCGAGCGATTTAGTAGGAGCGGTAAAACTAAAGGCTTGATGACTTACGTTTGAAGTTCATGTATCAGACTAAGTGAATACTGCGAGCGTGCAAAGTGCGAGCGTGCTAAATCACTCTATGCTTTATAGTCGATCTTTGAGATTGTTCTAAATGGCCCCCGACAGTTGAAACTAAATGAAACCAACTTCCATCGATGTATTTTCGGTTGACCATTGGTAATGGTCTGGCCCGGCGCGCGCTACTTCGCTTCGTAGCACTTGCCATCGGGCCAATATTTCGAGAAGAAAGCGGCGCGCGCTACTTCGAAGAAATTTAGACGAGTAACATTCGTCAAATTTTCGGACGCTGATTCCAAATTTCACCCCTTGACGAGATATTGCAGGCGAAAAACTGTCTCGATCACGTGATACATTATGACCGTATAAGTATAACTATAAGGAAGTTAGTCTAATTTATCGTTAGGGTTAAGGTTTCAGCTTATGCTTTTGTAAAGGATTGGGTTACTGTTAGGCCTAGGGTTGAATTCAGGCAAAAGCCGCCGCCTAGCTGAGCAATTTGGCATTGCACTTGCAAAGATCATCTTGTAGATTTATAACCTACCAGGACGCGTGCCGACTGCCGAGTTGGACTCGGAACAAATATTTTACGAGTATCACCCGTTAAAGATCATCACGATTCAAATAATACAATTTAATGTATATTCAATATTATAGCCTGCCAGCAGCTTTTGCTATAAAATCAGCTAATATAATCAGCTATGAGCTAAATAAATGGAATTTGAAAAAGGTGCATAGGGAGCGTTGACATATTACGTCAATCCATTTTTATACAGCAAGTAAGAAAAGCTGTCGTTAAGCACAAAGCAGTAAAAATGTTCAAAGATGTGTTCATGATCACTATCAGTGTTTAATATCGCATATCATCTTCATCAAATGGGGTTTTGTGTATGAACTAGTTCAACGTTAAAAAATTAACTTTTAAAATTAACCAACGTTGGCCTACAAAACGTTTAAGAACTTTTCATTCACAATCTAAAAGTAAAATTAAATACAACGTTAAAACGCTCTTCAATTTTAAACGTTGCTCATATCAATTGGTTTATCTTTTTGGGCGTTCGTGTAATGTTTTTTATCCCAGTTTCAACGTATTTTCAGTTTCAATGAGTCAGCTAGAACATAGAAACTTAATCAGAATCTCTATTTCCAGACTTTCATAATCAATAATGATCATTGACCATTGTTAATGATTTGGCCCGGCGCGCGATACTTCCAACTTCGTAGCTCTTGCCATCGGGCCATTTCGAGAAGAAAGCGGCGCCGCGCGCGCTACTTCGAAGAAATTTAGACGAGTAACATCCGTCAATAATGATCATTATGATTAGGCTCACAACAGCTGGAATAATTATAAAATAAGTTAACCTCCTTTCTGGCTCACTTGTGGACTGCTTCAGAACGCTATACTATATATAACTGTCTAATTTAATAATTGGAAGAGAACTCCATCAGGCCTAGCTGAACCAAGCGGGGAGTTGATACACCTTTCACAAGCAAGAGCCACTTTGGTCTACTTGCTGTGAGGTGTCTCAGCTACGCCTACATGGGTTGGGGGTCCCCCCTTTTCTTTTTTTTGCTTTGCTGTTTGTTCTGCACTGATCACCATTATTTAGGACTCGAAATGATTTAGTGTTTTACAGTGTGGGAGCTTGGGAGTAACTCTTAGAGGGAATATCTTCGATCAGATTTGCAAGGGTTTTGCTTGACCGTCCTTTTTCCAGTTCCCGCTCTCAATAGCGATTCATCAACTTCAAGAGCGCTTTTTCCATGGGATTTATTTTCGTTGACTTAAATATTGCGTAGTTTAAACTCCATGATATCATTGTGGTAATTTAATTTCCCGAAGCTGCAAGATTTTGCAGTTTTCAATTCCCGGGTGCAGATAATTATATAGACTTAAAATAGAATTAAAGTCGATGAACCAAGCGCTTAAGGGCTGTTGCAATCTATAAATCAATTCTATATTGGAGAAACTCTTTAGTCTCGTCTAATAGACAATGTCCTTGGCAAAACGATTTACTATAATATATGTAGAGGCTGGAACAAGTTTGTAATGTTGGGGGGACTAGCTCATGAACTATGTTGTTGAGTGCCATAATTTCGTTGACTTTTTTCGCAAAGTGCCCCTTGAAAACATCATATACTAGTAGAGTTTTCTGTGCCTCCAGCAGACCAAGGAAAACCTTTCCGTCGTTAACTTACGGCACAATAAAGTTCTCATAGTTGTCATATTCTGGACAAAAAGTTCGAATTTTTGAAAAAAATTCAACGGACTTTAACTTTGACGGACCTTAAATGAACGGACTTTATTTGAACGGACATTAAGATGAACGTTAAGGCCTCCAGCGTTCAATTAATGTCCGTCCAAATAAGGTCCGATAAGATATATACTAGGTAATCACTTCTTTTTTCTAATTTGAATCGTATCCATAGCTGTATAATACTAATAGTGTAACTGTAGAGTGTCCTTATTATCTACAGTCTACTTGATAAACTTCGCATTATTTCAGTATTCCGCTAACAAAATTAAAAGTTGTTCCATTGAAAAGTTTTGCCACTGCCAGCACCTGTTATACTTTGATAATATGATACGGATTATTAAAATAATTAACGCCGGTTAATACTTAATTATAATAAATTCTAGTTATCGTGGCTTAGACCCAGACTTCAATACTTGAATTAGTATGTTAGAATTACTTTGTGGTTAGTACATGGCACGGTACATCATTGACACGTACAGGCGCCAAACCCAACTTTAAATTACAATTCTGTTATAGCTGGAAGAAGTTACAAATTATTCTAATTTTAATTCCGGTCACAATTTCTTATCGCTATAATATCAGTAATCACATTTTCCATACATTTAATTTTAGTTACTGAATTTTGGCGGTTGTTTATCATTATCAGTATACCAAATTATTGTAAATGTAAAACTGATAACTCACGTGAAAATATTTGGGCGGTAAATATGTTTGTTATTTAAGTATTTAGAATGGTAAAACATAATTAACATAATTAACATAATTAACTCCGTGAATTTTACCATAATTAGAGAGGTGTACTCCGTGAATTTTGGGAAGTTTTTCTGACCTTCTACCGGCAGCGGGGAATATGTTTTGAATATTATATATTATGTTTAGTGGTGATTATCTTAGTGAAGTGCTGTTATACTACTACCGTGAATGTGCCATTGACACACCATGTTTGGTGCATGCACTGTGAAATCGGTTCAATTAGTGGGTTTTCTGAATATAATATGTGATAATATGTGAATATTAGGGCCTGTACTCTGCACTACTCAGCTGGATGATGACGGTGTAAATGGATTAATACCAAATAAGATAGCCCCCTGTCCGACCCTAATTACTGATCTAATCCTAATCTCTAATTCACGAGGATTCTGTATATACTCCTTCATAAAATTACCATTTTCACACAAAATACAGAAAGGCTTCTTATTCAGCTCCGGAGCAGTGATTGTGATCCAAATTATTTTGGGTTTTGTTATTTTGTTATTTTCTAGTCTTTGTTTTTGCGATGACGCATGGGTTGTCCGTTACAAATGCGAGACGGCTGATGTCATGATATTTTGCTGCTGTCATGATGTTTTGCTGCTGTCATGATGTTTTGCTGCTGTCATGATGTTTTGCTACTGTCATGATGTTTTGCTACTGTCATGATGTTTTGCTGCTGTCGTGATGTTTTGCTACTGTCATGATGTTTTGCTAATGTCATTATTTTTTGCTATTGTCATGATGTTTTGCTACTGTCATGATGTTTTGCTGCTATCATTATGTTTTGCTGCTGTCATGATGTTTTGCTACTGTCATGATGTTTTGCTGCTGTCATGATATTTTGCTGCTGTCATGATGTTTTGCTGCTGTCATGATGTTTTTCTACTGTCATGATGTTTTGCTCCTGTTGTTGCTTTGCTACTGACCGCCGGGGAGATTTGTATTTCGTTTAGAGGATTTAGTTCACGGGTATGGTAAAAGGAATACAAATACAATTATTGTAAAACGCAGAAATGAATTATTACCGTCTCAAGAATAAATTTCGTTTTGACGAGTCCACACATTTTTATATTAACACTGAATCGGATAGCCACCATCAGTAATTTATATTTGATCGCTTTAAACCGATAATAGCATTAGGAATCTGTCCGCTGTCTCAGAGTTACGCCCTGCAAACCTAACTCTCACCCTACAACCCTTATTAACACAGATTACTCACTACACCACTCTCTCCATTTCTCTCTATCAATTCTAATACCTAGTCTGAATTTGATGTTTGCCTCGGAAACTTTGTTCCTAACCCGGACTAGTTTGCTCGGGTTGTTAGTTTTCAGTGGACTTGTACTCGGCGGGCACTCCGGCTCCGGGTTTAAAGAAAATTGTAAGTTGCGACTTGGACAGTAATTAGTTTGCATATTCGAAGTTTTGTGATTAATCACACTTTGTGGTACGTAGGCACCTAACTGAGCCAAGAACACTCCTGCCTTCCGGTTTGATAATTAATTTCCGTTTAACATTTCTCGGCAATGCTCTGAAAACTTAAAAGATTTATAACCGGTTTACAGGGATTGGGTACTCGAACGAGTTGAGTGTTTAAAGAATCGTGGAGATCAGGAACTTTATCACATACTGGAGTAGAGTCCTTGTAAATACACTTGGTTGTAGAATAGATAAAAGTCAAGCGGTGCATATCCAATCCGACTTTAAGTGACCAAGACAACTCCAATTCAGGCAGAAACCCAGTTAATTGTGAAGCTGGGGACGCTTGCAGAGGAACATGTTTTGCAGGACAGAAGGCAGACTATTACTGTGTCGGACAGTGCGTTTCTAACAGTGAGTTTCTACTATTTCAAACCGCCCAACTAGTTACATTTTAAACAACGTTCAACTTATTTCAATCAGCTTGTTTAATTATTTACGATTTTTGGCTGGATGGTAGTCTCTGTCAGTCTATTAGTTTATTTATAATTTATTAGTTTATTTATAATCTATCAGTTTATCTATAATCTATTAGTTTATTTATACATTCGTGCCAGCACCTAGACTGTGTGGATACAACTATATTTCTACCACTACTTGTGTGGCTTCCTACTTCTTCCGCTCACCGTTTTAGATTCAGTTGGACTGGTGCAGCTTTTTAGACGTTTTACGTTTGACTTGCATGTGTATTGTTACGGGTTTTTATAGTGTGATAATATTCTTCCTAATTTAATGCTGAGTAGTAACTGATCGAGGAGAGGGTGGTAGATATTTTGAAATAGTCGTCTAATTCGATGGAATTTGGGAAAACCTTTCCGTAAAACTAAAGGGATTATGCCCTGCATTTAACGAAATAAAGTGAGCTGGAGCTACATTCTTTTGTATGTGTTGGTCGATTATCCCGAATACAATTTCTAGATTTTTCTCTGACTGAAGAAAATGAATTTTGAGTAGGTGATTGTAATTCTAAATAATATTGCATCCAGTTCGGAAATATTATTTAAATGAAGATGAAATAAAATTTAGTCAACAAAATGATAGCATTGTCGCACAGAGTACTGTGTAGTGTGTAGTGTATAGTGTGTACTGTGTAGTGTGTACAGCTAGAGCTATAGCTAATCATTTGAGATTTCACATCATTGAATCTACCCCAAAATGTCTATCACGTGACAGACCGTACCTCAGATTTCAAGTCGCCATCGAGCTAAATACTTAAATATCCGGAGAAAACTTTGATGAAAGGCTAATTTTGAAAATGTCCTACCGGTGAGACATTTTCAGATTTCGGCTTTCCGCGACCCAGATTCCGCCCAAGATTCCACCAGATACCACCTCAGATACCACCTCAGATACCACGAGAACTGCGTCCTGTGAAGATGACTACGCTAAATGTACGCCCTGGCTCCACCTGTGTTCCAACTCGGTGGTCGCTAAAGTTTGTAGGCAGAGTTGTGGGCTCTGTGATGTAGGTAGGTGCTTTAACAGTCTGTGTAGTGAGTTATGTAATTTATGTAATAAAGGTTATAAGCAGTTATTTAGGTTTCAATAATAAATATTACCCCATCATTATTATGAAGTTTAAATCTTTACGGTGGACATTTCATCTCATACTGTTCTGGAGGGTGGTGCCAGAAAGGGATACACGTATAGTTATTGTAAGGTTAATATAAGTATTATATAAGGGTTATATAAGGGTAATATAAATATAAGGGTAATATAAGGGTAATGAAAGGGTAATTTAAGGGCAATATAAGAGTCATATATTTTCAGTGCCCAAAGAAGCTTGCGATGGGTTCATGTGTGATGGTACGTGCGTTCCTCTAACTTTCCTGTGTGATGGAGTTAAAGATTGTCAAGACAACAATGACGAGCTTAACTGTAATTACTTTCCGGAACTGTGGTTCACCGCCAGACGTGAGTTATTATGTTGTGGCTTTGTCCTAATTGCTAGTTAATTGCTATTTAGTCCTAATTGCTAGTTAATTAAGATTTTGGGTATCGGGCCATCATTATTACGTTACTATCGGCCGTTCCCCTCATGCAGGTCTATTTTATCCATATATATATTTTATGGTGTAATTTTGTGATTGTTCTATTTATAATGGTGACTATAATGACGACTCAATGGCTATAAACGTATACACGTCTTAAAGGAGAAATGAGAACACACAATTTGTGTTGAACAAATATGTATCACATTTAATTTTCATCATCCTTTCAACTAAATTTGTAACCAACATTTCCATCGACCGGAAACACGTATACCTGTATAGTATACGTCAGCAAAGAACTTATATAACGTAATTTGTCGAGTAAGATACTCTGTTCATCCGTCATCGACCATCGTTGAGGAGCATAAAGCATTAAAACTGTTTATATAATTTGTAATTCAAATGGAAGCCTACAATGAATTTGGTCCGGATTTATTTTCTCAATACAAACTACATTTTATGTATTTTAAGTAAATACCAGTTTATACGTCTGTCCCACGGTGCTTCGAATTTTTTTGCTTCACGCATTTTTTATGTACCAACACATGAACTTAACATAATTTAGTAGGTTCCTACTTTCAACCGAACTTTTACTTTTTATTAGAAGTAGAATTATCAAGTTATGGGCCAGGCACACAGTCTTTAGTCTTTGTAAAGGTCTTTAGGACCTGATTCATACCTAGCACCTTATAAGTGTCGGATTGCTTTGGCACCACATTATTCATTAATCCACGTGGATTCGTCGCCTAATCTGTTTCTCTTATCTGCAGTGCATAATGAAATAATGAAATAATGAAATGGTAATGAATAATGTAAATGATAAAATTCTCAGCAATCTACGACTACAACCATTTGTATTGATTGTGCAAAAAGCCTTAAGTGTGTGGGATCTTGATTTAATTGATTTAAGTTGTCATTAAACCCTTCTAATAGGTTTCACGCCTTGAAACACAACACTTCCATTACTTGGACTGACTAATTAGCAATTATACTCCAATTCTTTCTATTCATACACTATACAATTTACATTGTACACTCAATAGGCTATCGACAACTATGTTTTGTGTGACAAATGGTTAATTGCACATCCAATAATATGTATATCTGAGCATATCTAAAATTTGAAGATATATTATTATAAATTTGCTGTGTTCATCATAATCCGAGCTTATACCAAGTTTCATTATTTACTGCCTTGTCATTTGTATCGCACGATGTATGTTTGAGTATGTGCCAAAATACCATGTTCTAGGTATCTCTTAGGCAATAAAATCGATCTAAAAGTCCTTTCGCGTAAATTTCCAAAGTTTACGAAAAAGAGGTTCCGGCGAGGTTCGAACTCGCGACCTTCTGCGTGTGAAGCAGACGTGATAACCACTACACCACGAAACCTTGAACAATTGTCCGTCGATCCTGATAATTTGGCCCATCTTTAATGAGCATTATTCGGAGATTCAAGGATTAGTCCGTCCAAAAACGGGCAAATAAGGTAAATATTTAAAATTTTAATCCAGAAAGTTGTGGATTAGACGCAACTTGTTACTGGATCCCTATCGAGCTTACATAATGGACACAAAATGTTATTCGATTATAATTATTTAAAAATAATAACAACACTACAAATCTATTACATTTCTTGAGTATTATGTAACGTGAATCTTGATGGAAAGGTTTTAAACGGGTACAGCAAGTACAAACCCAGGCTTCATTATCCATAACATGGAGCCTCAATTTAATTTGTATTGAAAATCTCTAATATACTGCCTCGTCATTGGTAGGCTACAAATTGTACCACATACTTGACTAAGTGCCAAAGTTTCGTTTAGAAAGATTTTGATCATGCACGGAACAGTGATCACTATAATATTAATAATGAATACAGTATTCTAGCATACATTTCAAAATTTTACAAAAGAAGGTTCCGGCGAGGTTCGAACTCGCGACCTTCTGCGTGTGAAGCAGACGTGATAACCACTACACCACGAAACCTTGAACAAATGTCATTGTTTAGATATTTATATGCCTAATAATTTCGCACGTTTTTTTAAACGACGCATATCCAAACACCAAAGTCAATCTTTTTGGTTGCGAATATTACTTTGTATTTAAAGTTTTGGGTCAACATTTTTGTTTTAAGGTAAAGTTAATTAGCTTTAGACATCACAAATTCGCACAATAAAGTCAAACATGTTTTGCTTTCACAGGCACTCGACGCTGTGGTGTAAGAGCAAGCGACATCCCGGACACGGATATCTCAATTCAATTCTCAAAATCCAAGAAAACAATGAACATGCGGCGAGGAAAAGTAAGGAGACGACAGAAGAGATTGGTGAATGGAAAGTATGCAGCGTCATATTCGTGGCCGTGGAACGGAATCCTGCTGAGTGACAATAAACGTGACCAGACATTAGTAAGAACATTTTGACGTTTCTTTTTAACAAATCAAGATCAATTGTTATTTCATGGTTCTTGAACTGATTAAACAAAAGATCGAGGTTCGACCGGGTTTTGAACCCGGGACCTTCTGCGTGTTAAGCAGATGTGATAACCACTACACCACCGAACCGACACACAGATGACAATGTTGCTATTTTAATTTTCTAGCACGCCTATTTCAATGCCTAAAATTCTACCTTTTTCGTTTCAAGAGCTTCGATTTTAGCTCAAATAAATCAATTAGAAATTAACAAAAGGCAAACTCCAACCGAATTCGCTGACATTTAATCAGATATAAGTAGATCAACACCATCTTGCATATGCATATTTTCTCGGATAATATTATATTTATAATGATTATGTTTCGTATCAGAATCAACTGAATATCAAAATCATTTTAGGCCTTAGGTCATGAGTCTCCATGAAGTATAATATTGGCGTTGCAAATGACAGACTTCTGCGAAAATTGTGACTTTTTGACTGCCTAAAATTCTTAATTTTATCAAATAGATAATATAATTCCCCTTATAATTACAGTGCTGGCAAGCCGCCAAATTATAGATTAGATAGCTATTAAGCTATATAAGTTGCAGGGAGGTAGGGGGATGTTTTGCGATATAAGACTTATAATAAGAACATGTTATGGCCTTTATATATATTCAATCTCATGAGACGATTACCCCTTTGATATTCTATTGCAAATTTGAGGGACAATTTCGACAACAATTAGACCACTAAAAGAGGACGGAGTACAGGTACAGATTTTCCAGACTTTTAAAATGTATCGATATCTCAGGACCAGAAGAAGAAGACATTTTGCGGAGTTACTCTAATTCACCCGGAATGGGCAGTGACGGCTGCTCACTGCGTCGTTAGTTCCGGGGGGAGTGTCCAGTCCCCTGACTTCCAGATGACTTTTGGCAAGGTGTGCTGTTTTATACTTGAATAGTAGTGACATTGTAGATTGGTTGAAAAGAGATAAGACTAAGAGTGATTCAATATAGGTGACTTGCAGCTTTGATCGATCATCGTCAGTTCCATCAACCACGATTATTTCCAAACCCTTCCACTTCCAGAGATCCATCAGTTCCTTAAAAATAATATTTCAGCACTACACGGCACGAACTGGGTCAGAGAGGTTAACAAATCAAGTGAGAAACGCATCAAGAATATTATTCTTCAGGGACTACGAGGACACAGGTATAAATAAAAATATTTCCGAGAAACGTAACAAAACGACTGCAATTTAATTACGATAAATTCATTCTATTTGCTTACGAATTGTTTGTTCAACTTGACCAGAATCCAGTGAACAAATCACATCTATACTTACATCTAAAAACCTAGTGAACTGTTTTCATTGGTTATTAAACTTATTCCAGACATCTACAACGACATAGCTCTTCTAAAGCTGAATGAGTCAGTGGTCCTGAACGACTTTGTTAACATTGTGTGTCTGCCATTATCTCTTGATGTAGAGCAGTTTCACCGGACCGGAGGAGTGGCTACAGGATGGGGCTACGACGAAAAAGGTAACCACGGTAACCGTAACCACGGTAACCGTAACCACGGTAACCGTAACCACGGTAACCGTGACCACGGTAACCGTGACCACGGTAACCGTGACCACGGTAACCCTGACCACGGTAACCCTGACCACGGTAACCGTAACCACGGTAACCGTAACCACGGTAACCGTAACCACGGTAACCGTGACCACGGTAACCGTGACCACGGTAACCCTGACCACGGTAACCGTAACCACGGTAACCCTGACCACGGTAACCGTAACCACGGTAACCGTAACCACGGTAACCGTAACCACGGTAACCGTAACCACGGTAACCGTAACCACGGTAACCGTGACCACGGTAACCGTGACCACGGTAACCGTGACCACGGTAACCCTGACCACGGTAACCGTAACCACGGTAACCGTAACCACGGTAACCGCGGTAACCGTAACCACGGTAACCGCGGTAACCGTAACCACGGTAACCGTAACCACGGTAACCGTGACCACGGTAACCGTGACCACGGTAACCCTGACCACGGTAACCGTAACCACGGTAACCGTAACCACGGTAACCGTAACCACGGTAACCGTAACCACGGTAACCGTAACCACGGTAACCGTGACCACGGTAACCGTGACCACGGTAACCGTGACCACGGTAACCCTGACCACGGTAACCGTAACCACGGTAACCGTAACCACGGTAACCGTGACCACGGTAACCGTGACCACGGTAACCCTGACCACGGTAACCCTGACCACGGTAACCGTGACCACGGTAACCGTGACCACGGTAACCCTGACCACGGTAACCCTGACCACGGTAACCGTAACCACGGTAACCGTAACCACGGTAACCGTGACCACGGTAACCGTGACCACGGTAACCGTGACCACGGTAACCCTGACCACGGTAACCCTTACCACGGTAACCGTAACCACGGTAACCGTAACCACGGTAACCGTAACCACGGTAACCGTAACCACGGTAACCGTAACCACGGTAACCGTAACCACGATAACCGTTACCACGGTAACCGTAACCACGGTAACCGTAACCACGGTAACCGTAACCACGGTAACCGTAACCACGGTAACCGTAACCACGGTAACCGTAACCACGGTAACCGTAACCACGGTAACCGTAACCACGGTAACCCTGACCACGGTAACCCTAACCACGGTAACCGTAACCACGGTAACCGTAACCACGGTAACCGTAACCACGGTAACCGTAACCACGGTAACCGTAACCACGGTAACCGTAACCACGATAACCGTAACCACGGTAACCGTAACCACGGTAACCGTAACCACGGTAACCGTAACCACGGTAACCGTAACCACGGTAACCGTAACCACGGTAACCGTAACCACGGTAACCGTAACCACGGTAACCGTAACCACGGTAACCCTAACCACGGTAACCGTAACCACGGTAACCGTAACCACGGTAACCGTAACCACGGTAACCGTAACCACGGTAACCGTAACCACGGTAACCGTAACCACGGTAACCGTAACCACGGTAACCCTGACCACGGTAACCCTAACCACGGTAACCGTAACCACGGTAACCGTAACCACGGTAACCGTAACCACGGTAACCGTAACCACGGTAACCGTAACCACGGTAACCGTAACCACGGTAACCGTAACCACGGTAACCGTAACCACGGTAACCCTGACCACGGTAACCGTAACCACGGTAACCGTAACCACGGTAACCGTAACCACGGTAACCGTAACCACGGTAACCGTAACCACGGTAACCGTAACCACGGTAACCGTAACCACGGTAACCCTAACCACGGTAACCGTAACCACGGTAACCGTAACCACGGTAACCCTAACCACGGTAACCGTAACCACGGTAACCGTAACCACGGTAACCGTAACCACGGTAACCGTAACCACGGTAACCGTAACCACGGTAACCGTAACCACGGTAACCGTAACCACGGTAACCGTAACCACGGTAACCGTAACCACGGTAACCGTAACCACGGTAACCGTAACCACGGTAACCGTAGATTTAAATGAAGATATTACACCTACTTGAGGACACTAGTGGAATTGTGTTACGTTTTCAAGAACATTTGACTTTCAGTACGTTTTGCTTGGTTAGGAAACACTAACCATATATTTGACAGGAGTGATGGCTAGAAGACTGAAGCAGACTCTAGTGAGGCCCATGGACAGGGACCGGTGTACGAACCAGATATTCGACTGGCCGGATCACATTCCTAACTACTTCAGCTTAGGACCTTCCCTTCTCTGTACTGAAATAGATGAAGATAATGTGAGTGCAAGTAATGCAGCCAAATAAACATTCCACACCTTAAATTAGTGTTTTCGTTTGTAAAAATATTAGTATAAAATATATAGATACTAAACTGGTTTCGACCGTTTCAGCATTACTTTAACCGTAAGTGTAATATTTTTTTACTAATAAACTACACAAACTTGACCAAAACTCAAAACCTCTGCAGGGATTTGGTGTTATATGTGACGGAGACAGTGGAGGACCAATGGTGGCCAGGAGAAAAACCGGATCTTATGCTCTACTTGGCGTCGCCTCATTCGGGACGGACAAGGACTGCAGTAAATCCGGAGAAGCTGCCGTCTACACGAGTGTTTACTATTATCTTCCCTGGATCAGCCACTTTGTGGATCTCACTTTCATTTAGAGGGATTTTTTTAAAGTAAGATGCAGAATTGCAGAAGTGATCATGTGGGTTTTTTGATAAAGATCTATGGGATTAAGATGGTTTTGCCGGACAAAATCAATAGACTCTGACTATAAAGACTTTTAAACTTAAAATATGTGTGTTATACGATGTCGAGATATCATGGAGTAATGTTTGTAAAAACTAGATTTAATCTACCCTTAATGTTAACCATACGGCTTACTGTAGGGACACTTTTCAGACTCAAAACAATTATTTGTAGCCATTAAGTAGTAGGAATCGTGCAATCGTGCAGCAGTTTTAGCTTAATTTAATAATGTGTTATATTGCACAAGAAGATACGATTATAGGTTTGGGTTATAGCAGCAGTGGCACTGCATGGATTAAACAAAAGTCTTGTGAAGATTCAATATGTTAAAGAATGCAACCATATTTTAGATATATTATATGTTATATCAGCTATTTTAATCTTTAACTTTAGGTATTAATAAAATCCAGATGAAATATCCATCAACACTTTGAGGAAGAAGGAAGATATTTGATTAGAAATGGACAATTATTTTTCGGGCATTTTAATAATAATTTGTAGGGTACAATGATGATTCCAATTAAATGTTTCAGATTTCAATTTGTAAATTTACTTTTTACGGGGAAAATCTAACATGAAATAATGCAAAATGTACATTATTTATATGAATTAATTTCCAAATAATTTGTATTACTATCAAAGAATGTTTACATGTCTCGTTTTCCGGGCTCCGGCAGATCCACGATGAATAAATTTCCGTGATTTGTATTCAGCATCAGCTCCTGTGGCACAATCGGTTAGCGCGTCGTACTTATAAGCAGTACAGGCTTAGCAATGCGAAGGTTGAGAGTTCGAGCCTCTCCAGGAGCAGAAATTTTAAACAAATGTAGAGCCACAAATTTTTCAGCAATTCTAGTACAAAATCAATAATCAGGCATAGTTAAGTCTCGGTTTTATCTAGACGTAACATGACTATTAATTACATGACATGTAACAAATTTAAATGCTGTGTGCGCGCGCAGTAACAACCAAATCTTTCGCGCGAAAAATATGCTTTCAACGTACAATTTACTGTTGCGCCTTCCATTTAATTACTATGTAGACCTCGTGTCAATTAAGCACGTGCTGGACTAACCGATAAATTTAGTTTCGTGTTGCTCATCCTAACATAAATTGATAATGATCTATACTACATGATGATTACTGTGAATAAGGGTAAAAACAAACTTTCCAGCTTCTAAAATTACAAATGGTACTTAAAAAGCGTTCAAAACGGCTCAAATACATAAACCTATATTTTAACATTTCAACCATCTTTGAATCTTTAAATAAAACTTGTCATGGGATATCAAAATGATGAACTCCATGATTTAACCATAGCAAAGTAACAAATTCGGTTTGAAAATAACTCGTACAAAGAATTAAATCAATAAATAACGTCTCTGATGTCTACGAAACAGTTTCGAGTTTGTCGACCTTTAAACTTTTTTCAAGTACGTAAGCGTCTGCAGGTTCGATCCTCTTGTAGTATTCTTGCTTAGTGTCTATAATCTTGAAGCCGAACTTGTTGTAAAACTGAAGAGCCTCGTCGTTGCTGATCTGCACATGCCTGAAAACATTCAGATTAGAAATTCAGATGAAAACAAAATCGGACATTTCCGTTATAAATGACTTTTATTTCAATCCATCCATCAAAAATATTCTTTTTTAAAAATGTGTATTGATTGGGCACCCTCTTAACTAATTGAGCAAAGTTGTCAGTCATAAACTCACAAGAAAATAGCATCGTATTGACCGTCATCTTTTGCTATCTTCATCACGTGATCTAATAGCTTCTTGCCTGAAAATTTAATGAACTGAGATAGATATTAGTATAGTTATTCCATCTGTTTACATACACAAATATAAAAATACTGTCAATATTTAGTTGGTTGAAAACCATGCATAAATAATATAAGCCATTTTAATCATCCCCTAGTATCCTGATAAACCTGAGTCCTAATTTCAGTTTTAAATATAATTTCAGTTTTTGAAGAACATAATTTTTTTGAACATTTAAAATATAATTTGGAACATTACAGTAACGTTATTCAAATCTCAAACAGAAAAAAGTATATTTCAAAGCTTTGTGTTTTGATCATATGATCATGGGTGTATAGTGATTTTGATTGCATAAATTTGTTTAGGCAGTGATGGTGAGTGAGAAAATGATGGGAGTGCCAGCCAGTAACTCTGTCAAATGAACAGCCCACTGAGGAGTGGGTGAGCGCAAACCGAGAACGGCAGAGAGGGTGGCACAAAACGGAACACACGGCCACAGAAAAGACACAGAAACTAAACCGTGCGCAGTAAGTTAGCCAGTGTCTGAGAGCTAGTGTTGCTCGGCAGGAGGCATCCAAAAGAGGTGCCGTGGTGAACTGTGGAGGCAAAGTTCGAATGCAAGGCGAGGCAGCTCTAACTGATGATGAAGAGGTGGACTGAACGGAAAGTAAAGAGAAAGGAAAAGGAAGGATCCAGCTGAGGTCTGGCTCATGTCAGGAAGTGATGGAAAACTCACAGACAAAATCATCCGTGGCTGTCTACCCCGTACGTAGGCAGTGTCCGAGATTTCAGGCATCAGGATACACTGAAACAGTGCAGAGCTGATTACGACCAGGGTCCTCACGGATACCCCACCTCGGAGGTCGAGCCAATGCCCTGCTTTCGATACTTATGTCTACTGGTGGAACCTTCATATTTTCTCTACTAGCGTCTAGCAGTCACTGTAACCCTATCACTCGGAAGGCCCCACAGCTCCTACATGGACGCTCGGCCGGGAGCCCATGTAGGGATAACAGTGACCGCAAGCCCTCCATCACATCCATCACAGATTCAAAGCTGGGAGGAAAAGAGGAGGGAAAAAGGAAGAAAGAATACAAAAATAAAAAGCTGAGAAAGGAAACTAATTATCTGCTTTCAGACTGTCTTTGAAGTTGAGGGTCAGTCTGTAGATCTTGTTAATGGTGCTGGTTGAGAGTTTGATCAAACTTACGTCCTCATCACTGGGAGTATCCTTGAAGATGAAATTTCCAGATCTCACTGCAGAAAAATTAACAAAACGAAAATTCATATTTTCCAATTTCTGTCCCATTTTCAAATATGAAAATTTCTCAACATAAATTTGACAGATTGGACGGAATTTTTGCCCAGAGACCAATTAGTCAGTTAATTGATGATGGTATGAATCCAAATTGAGGTACTGAAGTCAAAATCACAAAGAAAATTGAAAAGTCATATTCTCCCATTTTCTGTCCCATTTTCTGTTTTTGAAGATGAAATTTCCAGGACCGAAATTTTACAGTTTTGACTGAATTGTTCACCCGCAACCAATTAGTCAGTTAACTATAGATGGCATATATGACACAATTGAGGTGCTGGAAGTTTGATTTCAGTCGGAGGAAGCTCACTGCAGAAAACTTAGCAAAACGAAAATTCATATTTTCCAATTTCGGTCCCATTTTCAAATATGAAAATTTTTCAACATAAATTTGATAGATTGGATGGAATTTTTGCCCAGAGATCAATTTTTCAGTTAACTGATGATGGTATGAAACCAAATTAAGGTACTGGAAGTCAAAATCCCGAAGAAAATTTTAAAATCCTGTAAACCTGTAAACCTGTTAACCTGTAAACCTGTTAACCTGTAAACTTGTTAACCTGTAAACCTGTTAACCTGTAAACCTGTAAACCTGTAAACCTGTAAACTTGTTAACCTGTTAACCTGCAAACCTGTTAACCTGTAAACCTGTAAACCTGTTAACCTGTAAACCTGTTAACCTGTAAACCTGTAAACCTGTAAACCTGTAAACCTGTAAACTTGTTAACCTGTAAACCTGTTAACCTGTAAACCTGTAAACCTGTAAACCTGTTAACCTGTAAACTTGTAAACCTGTAAACCTGTTAACCTGTAAACCTGCAAACCTGTTAACCTGCAAACCTGTTAACCTGTAAACCTGTTAACCTGTAAACCTGTAAACCTGTTAACCTGTAAACCTGTAAACTTGTTAACCTGTAAACCTCTAAAGTGTAAACCTGTAAACTTGTAAACCTGTAAACTTGTTAACCTGTAAACCTGTTAACCTGTAAACCTGTAAACCTGTAAACCTGCAAACCTGTTAACCTGTTAACCTGCAAACCTGTTAACCTGTAAACCTGTAAACCTGTTAACCTGTAAACCTGTTAACCTGCAAACCTGTTAACCTGCAAACCTGTTAACCTGCAAACCTGTAAACCTGTAAACCTGTTAACCTGTAAACCTCTAAAGTGTAAACCTGTAAACTTGTAAACCTGTAAACCTGTTAACCTGTTAACCTGTAAACCTGTAAACCTGTTAACCTGTAAACCTGTAAAGTGTAAACCTGTAAACTTGTTAACCTGTTAACCTGTAAACCTGTAAACCTGTAAACCTGTAAACCTGCAAACCTGTTAACCTGTTAACCTGCAAACCTGTTAACCTGTAAACCTGTAAACCTGTTAACCTGTTAACCTGTAAACCTGTAAACCTGTTAACCTGTAAACCTGTAAACTTGTTAACCTGTAAACCTCTAAAGTGTAAACCTGTAAACTTGTAAACCTGTAAACCTGTTAACCTGTTAACCTGTAAACCTGTTAACCTGTTAACCTGTAAACCTGTAAACCTGTTAACCTGTAAACCTGTAAACTTGTTAACCTGTTAACCTGTTATATTAACTTACCAACTCCACATCTTCTGTAAGGACCCAAACAGCCAAGAGTCATGATGTATAACTTCCTCTGTCTCTCCTGCAAGTCTGTTCTGCAACACACTGCTCCCACCACGATATCATTGAAAAATGCTGCATAATTTTTGTTTGTTAATACAAGTTGTTGTTAATGTAAATTGTTAATATAAGTTGTTAATATAAATATGAAGATATAAAGTTGCAGGAGTACAACTTGAAACGTATCTTATTGTTAAATTAGTGACATTTTCTACCCATGTGAGTTGTTTTAAAAGCCACACTAGCTAATAAGTTACTTGCTAAATATTTAACCGTATATAGAACGAATAAAAACCAGTTTCATTCTTTTTCAAGCGTTATCACTAATTAGTGATAACCTTTATCTCACATAGAACATTAAAGGTAAGTTCAAATCAGATCTAGATTTAACTTGAACTCAACTAACTGATTAATTAATTAATTAATTAATTAATTAACTAACCTAATTTGGCAAGTTCCCCCACGTCCAGGACATCTTTGTAGAACTTGTCATTATACGTGACTGGAAACACTACCTGATTTAACACTTTCAACTGTCTGAAAAACATGATATTAAAAAACACTACCTATTCAACACTTCAACACTTCAACTATTTGAAAATTCACAAATTGTCGAATATCAACATCAACTATTAGAGCCTATTGGTTTTAACCTACTGTAGAATGATCCTAAAGTTACACCCTACAGTACTGCACATGCTCTTATATGGCTGCTGTGTGATGTTGCAAATAAGCACTGGCTGATAAAATGGTTTTACGAAAATAAATTGTAAACAAATAATTGAATTATATAATTTCGCAACACGGGTGAATTAATTAATTAATTAATTAATTAAATAATTCAGACTTATAAATAGCACTTTTCATGAGTTTTGTTAGAACAACTCTCTTATTTAACCTTTACTATTGAACAACCTTTAAAATAATTATGTCTAATTTAAAACAAACTGTAAAATAAATTGGACTTGCACACGTTGTGACTCTTCTAAAGTATTAGAGTTTTCAAAACAAATTAAAAAAAGGCCTTCATGTTATGGAGCCATGGTTTGGACTGGCTTTACCCATTTAAAACGTTTCATAATAGTCTCAATAGTGTTGTACTTAGTTTAAATATTTACTTGATGTTGTGAGGTGTGATGTCTCCAAGTTCTATTCTGGGCGTGGCAACTGGCATTGTGACAGCTACTACAGGGGTATATTATTAGTAAAACTTATATTATCCTTAACTAGTGAGTGTATAGGAAGGAGTTGAAAATATGACACTAGAATGTTTTAAAGTTGTAGTAAGATAATTCTATATTGGGTCGGTCACAAAAAATATTATTGGTATATTTTAATAGTCTAAATATCATAGATATCAAGTGATTTAAACGGGATCATTTCGTCTGTAAAATTGTATACAATATAAAATAGTACAGTAAAATATCTACAAAATTTACATAAACAAATCTAGGAGACCTCAAAGCTCGTCTTCTGGGGGATGAGGTTGAAGGATACGTCTTGCAGTTCAAGATGCTAGGCTGTTGACCTTCCTCTGATTCCTCTCAGTGCAATGAGTGTACTTCTTAACAGATCGAATCTGAATCGTGTTCTGATATGATTTTTGACTTGGCTCTTGGCTTCTTTTTTGTGGTCAGCTATCATCTCAGAGACACGATCCACAAACACTGTGCAGAGCGGTCCCATACCTCGGGAGGTTGTGAAGACTAGAGGGACAAAGGATCCCTTCTCCGACTGAAGTACTCTCTCTTCATACAAATCTTTCTTTTCTTTCTCATGATCTCTATAAATCTTATCTAGTGGCTTAAATGTATTTGTGTCACAGTTAGGATGTGTGACTCTGATGTCATAGAGCCAACGTATGGGTACTGACTTTTGGCCCACCCTGTGTAACTAGCACGAACTTTAGATCAGATATCCTAGGGACTTGGAGTAGCAAGAGATTGACTATACTAGAAGGTATATACCTTTTACAAAGAATCCAGGGTGATACAGGATCGGAGAGTGCAGACCATAAACTTTACGCACCCACCTTTGCCTCCTGAATTCTTGGTTGGATAGAAATTTATGCAAACTTGGTTGTTATATCGGAGAGAGAGGGCATAATGGAATTCCTTTGTTGAGGACATACCCATATGCTTTGAGAGGAAGTGTGGATAGCCAGAGCCCAGATGAATGCTCCTTTATCACCAAGGAGTTCTAGTTGCCCTTGTGTGGATCGGGGTAGTTGTTTTTTGTGAAAATATGACAGCTTCAGCGCTCGATTTTATACTACAGTGTGAATTGGTGAAAATATGCGCGGCCCACTTAAAATTCTAGTTTCATTTTAATTAATTTTGTGTTTTGGTCATAATTGTATTAAATACATTTGAATTAGTCCAGTTTTAAACTAATTACAACACTACAAATCTATTACATTTATTGAGGTATGTCCAATGAACTCATGTCACCTAATATGTCACCTAATTTGGCTTTCTAATTCCTAATATGTCTTCCTCAATTCCTAATGACAAGAAACCATTCACATCTTCTTCAAGGTACGGACTTCGACATCACATCAGACCAGAAAAACCCTTATCAATTAAAACTCAAGTCAGATCAGAAAATCCTTTGTCAATTAAACGTCAAGTCAGATTAGAAAAACCCTTGTCAAATAAATCTCAATCCCAAGTAGTAGACTCAGTAAAAGTAGTAGAAACATATCATTCTGTTGAAGTAGGAACTTCTAACAATCATAGCCCAGTTGAGGCTCCAATCAGAAATGGAAGCAACCCTGATGCCCCTTCTGTTGTGTATCCATGTGGTTAATGCTCTCATGATGTCACCGGCTTCGAATGCGTTAAGTGTGATGGTCCCTGTGAAAAATGGTATCATACTAAGTGTTGTATGCACAAAAAAACTTTTGAAAAACTTGGGCAACACTCAGAAGTAATGTGGGTGTGTAAGAATTGTAAGGCCCTAGAGAAGAAACCGGCTAAGCTAGTTAAAGTAGTTAAATGGGGTAATTATGCTTCTTTAAGTGAGATATCCAATGCTGCTGATTTAGCCTACAGTGAAATTATGAAATGGACCAAGAACATGTTCCTAGTGCCACGGGGCAAAGTGGGCAACGCCTTCATTTTTGAAGTAAGCAGATTACTCAACCTGTTTAATGACAAGACAGAATGGGAGAGTATAGCGTTGAGATTACTATTTATCTTCATTCCTATGATGCTGCAAAAACCATCTAAAAACTCTCGTGCAAAGGATCACAACATCTATCTTGATAAAAGGCTCAAGTTATGGAAAGTTGGGGACTTGAACGCTATAATCAGTGAAGGGTGTGAGATTCAGAAACGACTTGAAGAAACACGTCAAGCCCAGGAGAGATCCCTTGCTACCAAGTTTGCACAGCTCATGATCCATGGCAAAGTCTCAGCAGCAACCAGTCTCATAAATCGTCAAAGTGGTGGACTGTTGGATGTTGATGAAACGGTTATTGGACAGCTAAAGGAAAAGCATCCCTCTGCTATGAATGCAGCAGATGAAATTTTGATCACAGGTAACAAAGTGGCAGTCGAAGAAGTTATCTTTGAAGCCATCGATTCAATGTTAGTGAAAAAGGCTGCTAAGCTGACATCAGGATCAGGTGGACCAACACTAGTAGATTCAGAGTGCTGGCAGCACATCCTGTGTTGTAGTGCATTTAGTAAATCCCAAGAGCTTGTCGCTGAAGCAATTGCCAGATTAGCCAGGCGTGTATGTACTGAAGATGTAGATTTCAAATCAATAGCAGTGCTCACAGCTGGTAGGCTTGTCCCCTTAGATAAATGTCCAGGCCTAAGACCAATTGGTATTGGTGAGATCCTGAGACGGATTATTGGGAAGTGTGTGATGATGGTATTAAAAAAAGATGTTCAGAAGAATGCTGGACCACTTCAAACATGTGCAGGCCATGAAGGGGGGATCGAGGCAGCAATACATGCTATGGCAGAGGTGCACGATGATGAGGACACGGAAGCCATTTTGTTAGTGGATGCTTCCAACGCATTCAACGCTCTCAATAGGACTGCTGCTACCAACAACATGCAGTATGTTTGCCCACCACTTGCTAAATATTTTGAGAACACCTACAGAGAACCAACAGACCTTTATGTGGCAAACAGCAAGGGAGTGATCATCAAGAGCTGCGAAGGTTTCACTCAAGGAGACAATATTGCCACTGGTGGATATGCTCTTAGCACCAAGCCACTTATCGACCGCCTGAGAAACATCATCAAACAGGTGTGGTTTGCCGATGATAGTGCTGCTGGAGGAAAATTGGAGGCAGTGTATAAGTGGTGGAAGGAGTTGCTCCAAGTTGGACCTAAGTATGGTTATTTTCCTAACCCATCTAAAAGCATTCTAGTAGTGAAGGACCCTCAGATGATCGACCAGGCCAAGGCATTGTTTGGAGAGTTCAATATGCAAATAACATCAGGCACAAGGCATCTTGGTGCAGTACTTGGCAATACAGGTGTCAAAGATCAGTACATTGCCGATAAGGTCCAAGGGTGGTGCGAAGACATCAAGATGCTAGCTGATATTGCAGAATCTGAGCCTCAAGCAGCCTATTCAGCCTACATCTCTGGCATACAACACCGATGGAAGTTTGTTCAAAGGACTGTTCCTCATATCTCTGAAGCCATGGAGCCGCTAGAACATGAAATAAGACAAAAGCTTCTGCCAAAGATGCTGGGCAGGGAGATTTCAGACTTAGAGAGGGACGTGTTAAGTCTACCAATAAGATTGGGAGGATTGGGCATTGGTAAACCCCACGAGGAATGCCAGTCTGAGTACACAGCTTCCAAGCTACTCACCACCGAGCTTACAAAGGCAATAGTGGACCAACAGGAAGTTTACACTGCATCCAGTAACCTCACCAAATCAGGGAAAGAAATGATAAAAAATTTGAAGAATTCCGAGCTCCAAGTCAAGTTTAACGCTATAGCTGAAAGATGTGGCACCTCCTCTAAGAGAGCACTACTAACAGCAAGAGAAAAGGGAGCGTCCAGTTGGCTTAACACATTGCCACTTCAGCAGTATGGCTACACTCTGAACAAAGAGGAGTTTCGAGACAGTGTATGCTTACGCTACAGTTGGTGGATACCAAACACTCCCATCACCTGTGGATGTGGGAAAACAAGTGATCTTGACCACCTTCTCACCTGTAAGCTAGGGGGCTACGTGATAATGACCCACAACAACATCAGAGACACAATGGCAAATCTACTTCGTGAGGTATGTCATGATGTAAAAGTTGAACCCCAGCTACAGAAGGTGAATGAGGGTGACTGCCTCAACCCCAAGACTATAACAGGTGACCAAGCTCGGCTTGATGTATCTGCTAGAGGAGTTTGGACTCCATTTGATAAGACCTTCCTTGACATAAGGGTTTCACACCCCAATTGCTTATCAAACAGGACAAAAACTCTTCAAGAAGTATACGAAGAGAACGAGAAAGAGAAGAAAGACGAGTACTTGGAGAGAGTGTTGAATGTGGAGAAGGCTACCTTCACCCCGGCTGTATTCCTCACATCTGGAGGAATGTCTAAAGAGTGTAAGAAGTTCGTCAACAGAGTAGCAGACCTCATTGCAAGAAAAAGGAAGGAAAGGTACTGCGATGTAGTAAGACACGTGAGAACTAGGATAAGATTTGCAATGTTGAGAACAACTCTTATTGCTCTACGAGGGTACCGAGGAAAGAAGGTGGACACCAAACGTGAGATCCAGCTATCAGAAGTTTCATACAACCTCATCCCTGCCCCTATAATGGAGTAGATCATGTGTTTTGTTAAAATGTTTTTGAAAAAATTATTAGTAGCAATGAATTGTGCTCTGCCAATTGCAACACTTAAAATTTGATTGTGCTCTGCCAATTGCATCACTTGATTTAATTGAATGTATATATATACTGTTTGACATATTTTTCACTTTAAAAAAAAAATTAGTCCTAATAACCAAATATATGAAAAATTTTGCCGATAATATAATGCACCAAAGTACCAAAAATGAAAAGTGGCAACAAAATTTCAAATTTTGACTAGACCAATAATCAATATTATATTTAAATTGTAAATCATAAATAGAATTTTAAAAGTACGCGTATACACATTAACGGGTGATACTCGTAAAATATCTGTTCCATATATGAGTTCAACTCGGCGCGCGTCCTGGTAGGTTATAAACCTACAAGTATACACATGGCTATATGTAAAATTAGAATACAAAATATATTATATATTAAACTATAAAAATATTTAATGGGTGATACTCGCACGTCCTGCCGTCCTGGTAGGTTAAAACCTACAATAAAATATAAAATAATGATCAAATCTTTTAATTTTGTAATGTGTTTTAACTGGTAGGTTGTAAACCTACAAAATATGTGTAGAATTAATAAATGTACTTGGAGGACTTCGCCGCTTCGACGCGCCGCGCGAACTAGCATTCTTGCTTCGCATCGTCGATCGTTGCTCTGCTTCGCAGAGCAACGATCTCGATGGGTTGACATCGTCAACCAATAAATGTACTTAAATATATTATATAAATTACCTGGAATAATTTTTAAAGAAAATGCAAATGCATTTATTGATATGAAACAGGTCAAGCTTTACTGGGCCGCGCTTTGCTCTAACCAGAGCCCTCTCGCTTGCCGCTCCTACTAAATCGCTCGCCCAAATTTTAAGAAAATTCTTGTGAAAAGGCCCTTTAGGCATGAAAGTGATCTAAATCGGTGTATTTTTGGACGCTGATTCCGAATCACCCCCCCCCCCCATGACGTAGGGTTAAAATGCTTCTCTGGAGAGTTATGCATGGTCAAAAAACCGTTTTGGTCACGTGACAGGCTAGTAAAACGTGAATTCGATTATTTAGGGCCCGGGTTAGGGTTAGGGTTGTGGATTAAGATTATGGATAGCTTCGGGGTTATGGTTAGGGTTAGGGTTGGGATTAGGGATCTGGGATTATGTAAAACCGCTTTGTACGGCTGCAAAACCAATAAAACCAAAGTCACGTGAAATTTTTGGGCGAGCGATTTAGTAAGAGCCCTCGCTTGCAAACAAGCGCGTCACGCAGTACGCGTAGACACATGGCTATGTAGTAGAGGCTCTTACGGGCATTGTCTGCTCGATACGTTAGGGACCCCAGATACACCTTACTAGACGTATTTTTGACCGTAGAATCGATTGAAAGTGGTTTCAAGATGATTGGACTGATTGTTCTGGGGTAAAATCGCAAAAAAACCGATTTTTGGGCCAAAAATAGGCCAAAAAACCATGTTTTTTGATATTTTGAGCAAGTTAATTTTGTTGGCATGTCGGCAAAACTTGCATAAAGATAGCTAAAAGACAGCCGCACAAGATTGTATAAAAATAAAACAAATCCCTCTATTTGTTCTGAGGTAAAAATCCAAAAAAGTGGTAAAAATTGTGACTTTTTTGCTTGAAGTTTGAATAATTTTTTGCAGTTGTATTAAATCAACCCAAAAATAGTCACATCGTGTTTGCCTAAATTTTTCCTTTCCGAGAAGTACCCACTTCATATACTTTATCGAAGTTTGAATATTTTCACTCCGCAAGCGTTTTTGCCAAATTTTCGACGCGCACTACGCGCAAAAGCATTTAGTTGTTATCAATTGGCACCCGCGCGTTCATCATAAATTTCAAACAGCTATAACTCAGCGAGATTATGTCCGTTCTAGCTCATATTTTCACACTAAATAGAAAATAATGTGATCTTATTGCTGACAAAATATGAATATAATTACTCTATTTGCCTTAGAGTAATAGACTGTCAAAGTTTAAAACGCGCATTGGTATAGCACGTGACTGATAAGGCCAAATTTATACTTCTTAACATATTAACGATCCTTAGACATCATACTATTGTGTCCAATTAGCGGTTAGGTCTCTAAACTCGTAGCAGAAAACACGTCTTTTTGCCCGTAAGAGCCTCTACTAATTGGACCGTCGACGAGTCCAACTCGGCGCGCGTCCTGGTAGGTTATAAACCTACAAAAGACCTTTGGCCTTTGCACTCTGTAGGCTTTTTGTCCATGAACAAATTGAATCATATTTGCATGTAATGGGATGACAGTATAAGCTCCGCTTAGTATTACTGAAATGATTTTGATTGGGGTGACTTGAATTGGAGGACTTCGCCGCTTCGATGTTCGACGCACCGCGCAAACTGGCATTCGTGCTTCTCTAAACTCGATATTTTTAACATGCACCAAACACGTTTTATTATATTCCGTAAGTGGCCCTGTTCGACACAGTTTACTGGGCCGCGCTCAGCCTGTCATTCCGCCTAATCTCTATATGTTTATGAACATAATAGCCTGAGGTCCCCAGGTAAGACACAGTAGGGCCAAAGTGCAAAGAAACTGCAGTTTCTTTACACTACGATCTCTCTGTATCGAAGATCCTGACAAAATAAACATCGAACCGCGCTCTCGTTTTGAGACTTGTAAACGACTTATATTTGAACAGACTTTTGTCTTCGCGCTTTACGTATACGCGACGAAGAAAAGTAACCCTCAGAAGGACTTTCGACAAATCTGTTCCAAATAAAAAGATCGAAAATCGAGTGTTTTAGTGAATAACTTAGAATATAATTTTGATTTTCTCAAGATCTGACTGATAGATTTTCTTTAAACTTTCCAGATAGTTAGATGGCTATATGACGGATAATGTGTAAGAGTTTGGGAGAATTTCTATATGCCAAAATGGAGATATGACTTCAAACACAATAAAATATCTTCACATTGGCGGTTTCTAGCGGAACACAGGCATATATTTAGAGATCTGAATGAGAGATTTCCTTTAAACTTTCCAGATAGTTACATGGCTATAAGACGGATAATCTGTGCGATTTTGGGCGAGTTTCTATGTGCCAAATTTGAGATGTGACTTCAAACACAAGAAAATATCTCCAAATTGGCGATTTCTAGCGGAAAAAAGTCATGTATCTCGAGATCTGAATGATAGAATTTCTTTAAACTTTCAAGATAGTTACATGGCTATAAGATGGATAATCTGAGCGAGTTAGGGCGAATTTCTATGGGCCAAACTTGAGATATGAATGGGGAAGTGGAGAAGGAGGAAGAGGAGGAGGAGGAGGAGGAGGAGGAGGAAGAGGAGGAGGAGGAGGAGGAGGAGGAGGAGGAGGAGGAGGAGGAGGAGGAGGAGGAGGAGGAGGAGGACTGTTATAGCCATATAACTATAAGGAAAGTTTTAAGAAAGTCCATCATTCAGAAAGTTTTAAGAAATTCTATCATTTAGATCTCGAAATATATGCCTGCGTTCCGCTAGAATGCTCCAATTTGAGATATTTTCTTGTGTTTGAAGTCATATCTTTAGTTTGGCACATAGAAATTCGCCCAAACTCGCTCAGATTATCCGTCTTATAGCCATGTAACTATCTGGAAAGTTTAAAGAAATTCTATCATTCAGATCTCAAGATATATGCAGGTGCGTTCCGCTAGAACGCGCCAATTTGAGATATTTTCTTGTGTTTGAAGTCATATCTTTAGTTTGGCACATAGAAATTCGCCCGAACTCGCTCAGATTATCCGTCTTATAGCCATGTAATCATCTGGAAAGTTTAAAGAAATTCTATCATTCAGATCTCGAGATAATCGACTTTCGTCAAATATCGTTCCACGGAACATACGGAACGGAAAGTCCAACTAGTAACCCTAGTATTTTCTACTCAGAATTGTAAGCGAATGTCGCCCCAGTTCAGATACAAATTGGTACAGAAGTTAGGTCCGTGTGCAAATGTTACAATTTCGCCAGAACACCTCGCACCTGAAGTCTGATGAGATTTTGGCGCTGACAAACATTTTTCGGCAACCAAATACTGAACAGATAAACTTCCATAGTCCAATGCAAGCAATTTACCGACATGGATCCAATGTGAGTAATTAGATTTCTGCAATACATTGTTACGGTTCGGATGAAAAATAGTGTTTGAACCTTATTCGAACCCGGACCTTCAGCATGCGAGGCGATAGTGTTGCCACTTGGGTGACATTTGCTTACTATTCTGAGAAATAAACCGGGGCAACATTCTTACAATTTTGCTTACAATTTCGCTAGAACAACTCCTCAAGTTACGAATTATTACCATCGACAATTGAAAATCCATGTTAAACGACAAATAACATGAAAATTAATAGCAAATTACACAGCAAATTTACAACACAGGTCAACAAACCATGTGAGTCCTGTATTGAATACCATCTATTAAAAATAAGATCGTCTTTATTAGGAACAAATTATTACATTTCCTCACTTCTACAGACCAATAATAGTTCTGTCCTCATCAAATTCATAGCTGATAAAGGAAATTAACAATGTACTATAAAGACAAATTGAAATTCTGGGAGCATTACCGAGGAGCTAAGATGCCGTATTACCATCAATATAGCTCCAACACTAACACAAAAGTTCATTGAGTTTTGGATGAGAAGATTAGAAGGCAGCTTTAAAAGAAAGAAGGTGTTGTAGGATCACTTTACAGCTGAATGTTTTCTGAGGAATCTCATCAAATGATCTGATAACTCGTCGCTTTTGAATTCCTGGATAAATTTCTAGACAGATTTATAAATGTGCATTGTATACAGATTTCCTGATTAATTACCCCAGCAGTAATTCGCAAGTTTTTTGCCAACTAAAACCTAATAAAAGTTAGAGTTAATCGATGTGCTTGAAATTAATTTGAAATACCTGATACAAGTGACAACACCATATAGTGACATGTCATTATAAAGTGCTTGTCATTATATAGTGTTGTCACTAATTTAATTAATTTGAAATACCTGATACAAGTGACCCCCGCCCTTAATAGGGATATCTTCACCGTTTGGGAACAGTGATTTGAACAGATCTTTGCTTGCACCACTCCCACTGAAAATACAAACGCATTATTATCTATACTAATAATCTCAAGATGTGTGTTTGTCTGTTCGTTTGCGTGTAATTTCCGAACGGCTTAATCAAGAAACGGTAAGAGTTACGGGCTAGTTTTTTCGGTATAGTGCCGACAAAACTCTGACCAAGCCAAAAGATTGAGGTTTTTTAAATCGGCTGGTGGTGAGTGGTTTAATTGATCATTTTGTGACCCACATGTGATACTAAATAGTCTCACGTACTCTCCCTCTCTCCCTCTCTCCCTCTCTCCCCCCATAACAGATTTGCGATATAATTATGTAATTTAGCAGTGGAGTTGGACCTCAAGATTGGCTATCAAGTATTACTATGAGATATATGAGGGGTACTCAGAATTTAATTGCGGTGTGTTTGGATAGAGCGAGTTCATACTTTCGGACCGGTTTTATACTAGTACGAAAATGTAATGTGTGTTTTCGAATATAAAAGGCGGGTTTATACTTTTGAATTTCAACTGCGATAGTGAAGTCCCGGCCGTAGGCACGGGTTACACTAGTATTATTATCAGTTGATAATTAAAATCACCATTCCAACACTGTGAAAATGATGTGCTAAAACTGCAATATTCACTTCATAATCTGCTGGCACTGTCAAAATGTATTCTGCCAAAGATTTCATCCTGATTCTCAATTTCCCTACGCATACGAGTCACCTTAACCGTGACCGCTACAGTAATGCATTACAAATAACACTGAAAACAATCACAATTGAAAGAACCATATTATATTGAACGAAACCAGAATATCCATAACCTTATACCATGGTCGTATTACTGCACCAACACTGACAATTAGCTAGTGTAATGTATAGTTTTACATTTATATACGCAATTCTGCTCCAATAAGGCATAATTACTATTCGTGTGTATTAACCTACTTAGCTCTATTCCCATTCACTTAACTGTATAGTATATATGCATGCATAACGTAAACTTGGCAAGTGAAATGCTATGCTTTGCCAACAATTTGTGCCTTGTATATCTGAATCCAGCTGCTAAGATTAACGGTTTGTTGAAATGAGGGGGTAAGAATTAAGATAAAGCAGATATTTAAAATTAACATTTGTTAACTTTACAGTAATAAAATGTGACTCAATTTGGGGTACATGGATAATAATTGTTGGCATTTGCCACCTATTCAACCTGAATGATAATTCCGAACCAACGAAATAGTTTCAGGTTACGGGGACAGTTACCCAACTGATCTTTAATTAGGCTACACTTACAGTTGTACGTGAGTTTTAGTACAAGGTTGCAGATCAAGTTGTACGTGAGTTTTAGTACTAGGTTGGAACAGTTAATATTTCAGTGTGGGTTAAAATGAAAGCATCTTATTGCTAAACATTTCTAAGAGATAAATCTTATTGTGAGAGAAATAATTTATATTTAACTGTAAATAATAATAAACGTATAAACTATGAATATTATAAACTTTTAAGAAGGCTATTTTAGGAAATAGTCCGAGTTATTGCAGGTCAGCAATTTTTATGATCTTACAAATTTACGGTGATAAAAGCGACTCCACGACACAAAAATGCGTGGTATGCAAGACATAGGGAGGATGGGTAATGAATGGGAAATTGTTCATAATGAAGTGTGATGACTGGTGTAATGGACATTTAGGTTATACGGTTAGAATTATGTGATTTAGTACGTGGTTATACGGTTAGAGGTGATTTAGTACGTGGGTCTTAGTTACATTCAATTTTAAAAACTGATATTTCAGTATTTTAGCATTAATAATATTTCAGTATTTTAGCATTAATAATATATAATGACCAGACACTCATACTTTAAAGACGAATCAATTCGTCTACAGAAAATCCAATATTTCTGACAGCATCAAAAACAATGTACACTGTACATCGTGTAGTGTATCGTAAGATGTACAATGTACATGTAACGATACACCAGCACAGTGCATACCACACGGAATGGGAACGGTATGTGTTCTGCATCACGTTATCACGTACGTGGTTTTGGTATCATCTAACACAGCTACAGGTTAATGTTATTAGGGAGATATGAGCAGTGACACTAATTACACTAATTACACTAATTACAGTGGTTTTATGAGATATTATAATTTGTGTGAATAAGAAGTTCTTATCGTTTCCAGTATTGGAATGTGTTTAAGTGTTTATCTTGTTATCTTCTCCATTTGTGACATAGGATCGACAGGTCACATCATACTACAACATATCTGAATTATGTTCAAATCATGTCAACAAATTATGCCAAAAAGTGGTCTTGAATTTTCCATATTCTCAGTAAAAGATGTTCATTGTTGAATGTCAAGTGTCACGCTTTAATTTCCAGACTAATCTATAGGTGTCAGTAAAACAATCACTATTTGCGCTTGCATTTTAGCTACAGGAGATTATCCAAAAGTTTGGACATACTAATTCTGATTTCGGAGTTTCGAAGGTTGCCATGACCACTAAAGCGACTTCAGTTGATCAGTCACTTCATGAACTTAAATTGGCACCAGGCAATATATTGGATATTTGTGGTTTACTTTGATAAGCTCTGGTATAAGTTTAATATCAGAGTCTGGTATAACCTCTGGTATAAGTTTAATATCAGAGTCTGGTATAACCTCTGGTATAAGTTAATATCAGAGTCTGGTATAACCTCTGGTATAAGTTTAATATCAGAGTCTGGTATAACATCTGGTATAAGTTTAATATCAGAGTCTGGTATAACCTCTGGTATAAGTTTAATATCAGAGTCTGGTATAACCTCTGGTATAAACTCTGGTATAACCTCTGGTATAACCTCTGGTATAACCTCTGGTATAAGTTTAATATCAGAGTCTGGTATAACCTCTGGTATAAGTTAATATCAGAGTCTGGTATAACCTCTGGTATAAGTTTAATATCAGAGTCTGGTATAACATCTGGTATAAGTTTAATATCAGAGTCTGGTATAACCTCTGGTATAAGTTTAATATCAGAGTCTGGTATAACCTCTGGTATAAACTCTGGTATAACCTCTGGTATAACCTCTGGTATAAGTTTAATATCAGAGTCTGGTATAACCTCTGGTATAAGTTAATATCAGAGTCTGGTATAACCTCTGGTATAAGTTTAATATCAGAGTCTGGTATAACCTCTGGTATAAGTTTAATATCAGAGTCTGGTATAACCTCTGGTATAAGTTTAATATCAGAGTCTGGTATAACCTCTGGTATAAACTCTGGTATAACCTCTGGTATAACCTCTGGTATAACCTCTGGTATAAGTTTAATATCAGAGTCTGGTATAACCTCTGGTATAAGTTAATATCAGAGTCTGGTATAACATCTGGTATAAGTTTAATATCAGAGTCTGGTATAACCTCTGGTATAAGTTTAATATCAGAGTCTGGTATAACATCTGGTATAACCTCTGGTAAAACCTCTGGTATAACCTCTGGTATAACCTCTGGTATAACCTCTGGTATAACCTCTCCAGCCCCCAGCTCTGTAGTGGCTCTCAACACAACATTAATAACGCGTTACTTCTCCAGGATAACGCGTTACTTTAATACCATCTGGCAATATGAGGGGCAGTGTATAATATGAAAGCAGCTGTACCGTGATCACGTGATATCGCTCCTGCACTCTGAGTCGCTCCAGGGCAGCTGCAGCGTATTTAGCTATAGAATCACGGATACACTACATGGACAGTGCGTTCTATATAATGACAAGTTACCGTTCATAGTTACAATGGCCACGACAATATTTCAATAATTTAACCGTTCATAAAGTTACGATTTCCTATAATATAGCGAAGTGATAACGATATACGTTCTAGATAACCTTCCAAACTAACCTGATAACTTTCCAAACTAACTAACTAACTAACTAACTAACTAAATAACTAACTAACTAACTAACTAACTAACTAACTAACTAACTAACTAACTAACTAACTAACTAACTAACTAACTAAGTAACTAACTAAGTAACTCACTAAGTAACTAATTAAGTAACTAATTAAGTAACTAACTAACTAACTAACTAAGTAACTAACTAAGTAACTAACTAAGTAACTAACTAAGTAACTAACTAACTAACTAACTAACTAAGTAACTAACTAAGTAACTAACTAAGTAACTAACTAACTAAGTACCTAACTAAGTAACTAACTAACTAACCTGATACCGTCGTCACTAAACAGCAGGAGAACAGGTTTATCCCATTTTCTGAGGAAACGTTTCGTGCTCCGCATGTCCTCTATAATACGTTTACATCCCCAAGGTAACATGGGTACTAGCTGGGGCCACCGTGCTACGCCTGCTTTGTATCTGTAAATAAGACAACTTAATAGAAACTTTCTTGTTTTGTTTTATTACAGATGAGCAAAAAGTGATTATCAGACAGACAGACAGACAGACAGACAGACAGACAGACAGACAGACAGACAGACAGACAGACAGACAGACAGACAGACATACATACAGACAGACAGACAGACAGACAGACAGACAAAAAACGGACAGAAAATGAAACAGACAACACGCACAAACCTGTAGTTAGGGAAGGGAGCAGTGTAACCCCGCCTAGTTTTACTATCAATACTAGCGTACCCCAGTAGGTACCCCAGAGGTAGGTGGGTCTGACAGACGAATATAACAGCGGACCAGGTAAGAAAGTGGAACATGTTGACTAGGTGCTTTAGTCCTGTGTCTTCTCTGCAGGGCAGCACCTGAATATCACGTGTTAGGAAGTGGAACAAGTTGACTAGGTGTTTTAGTCATGTGTCTTCTCTGCAGGGCAGCACCTGAATATCACGTGTTAGGAAGTGGAACATGTTGACTAGGTGTTTTAGTCCTGTGTCTTCTCTGCAGGGCAGCACCTGAATATCACGTGTTAGGAAGTGGAACAAGTTGACTAGGTGTTTTAGTCATGTGTCTTCTCTGCAGGGCAGCACCTGAATATCACGTGTTAGGAAGTGGAACAAGTTGACTAGGTGTTTTAGTCATGTGTCTTCTCTGCAGGGCAGCACCTGAATATCACGTGTTAGGAAGTGGAACATGTTGACCAGGTGCTTTAGTCCTGTGTCTTCTCTGCAAGGCAGCACCTGAATATCACGTGTTAGGAAGTGGAACAAGTTGACTAGGTGTTTTAGTCATGTGTCTTCTCTGCAGGGCAGCACCTGAATATCACGTGTTAGGAAGTGGAACATGTTGACCAGGTGCTTTAGTCCTGTGTCTTCTCTGCAGGGCAGCACCTGAATATCACGTGATCAGCTGCTCTTATGTTAGGGTAGCTTTCACAGTTCACTTTTCATTTGAAAATGTTAAACTGCTAGATTTGTTAGTGATTCCGGTATAAAACTGTCAACTTTAAAGACGTAGTCTCGTGACTGTGATGAGCCAATCAGCAATAAATTCACAGGCACGTGTCATCTCCCACCCACATTAACACAATATCCTGGCCCCAAACAAGCTAATGTTTTTTATTGTGGCGGCTCCATTGTTAGTATGGAGATCATATCTTATGTCATCACATCAAGTCATCTTATAGATGTTGTTGGGAGGTCAGACATATTGTTTGACATGTGACAGCAATTTACCAATGAAAGCCTAGAATCACTGTCACGTGTTTTATTCCCATCGGAATCCACATCTATTGTAATCCATAATTTTAAGGGTTATTTTTTGAAAGAAATTTGTTAATATAATGATCTAAAATTTATCGTCACTCAAAAATAGCAATTACGGGTATATGGCCCCCAGAATATAGGTGGCCCCCAAAATATAGGTCATGTTAGTGGATACAGTTCTAACCAAGATAAGCGATACTAATGGGATCTGTTACTGCTAGGTTGGAGTAAAACATGTAACTTATGTTTCTGGATAAAAATTTTGGACCTACATGAGGTATTTTGGTATATTTGGTCATGACAGCGAAAGATTTAAACGATGTTGTCATTTTCTAGAGGGGTAAATATGGCGAAAAATTGTCATGACAAAAATCTGTCCAACACATGCCATTAAGACTACTGGTATGAGTATAAGTATTATTTTAAGCTATCTTTTCATCGAGACATCTGCAAACTGACAATTTGGAAAAAAGTTATGGCCACCACAATTTTACGGGCCCCCAGAATATAGGTCTATACGACCCCCAGAATATAGGTTGGTCAAAAACCCTGAACATGCCCAAAACCATGCTTTGGGATGCTCTACTTGTAGCTACTAGTCTCCTGAACCCACGTATCAAGTTTTATCAAAATTGGATAAAAATTGGCCGAGTTATGGGATAAAAACAAAAACCATATGCCCATATTTGGGCATACGCACCAAATTTGATCGATTTTGGTCCATAAATTGGTCAAATATCAATATTTTTGAATGAAACCAACTTTATATGGAAGGTAAGCATATATTACACATTCTCTATGATTATCAGCTCAATATCTACCTAACTGTGGATTCTGTGTTCAAATAATCGCAAAAAATGAACAAAATCGCCCATATCTCAAACTGACTTCGCTCAAAACAATAGAACTCAATAGGGTTTCAATATTTTCACATGAAATTTTCAGAATCAACGTAGAATTGTCTCATGACCTTAAGTTTTGGGACAGAATTTTGAGTTAGGCCTTTAAAAAAATTTGGCGGCCAAAAATGTCTGATTTACAGTCATTGAGGTGCACATTGTATTGATACAGATAAAAACAGCCCCCCTCAATCATATCTAGGGACACTCCTTCAATCTTATTTAAGTATTTAGTTAAGATCCCTACTAAATGAGTGCATGAAAGCTTTTTAACAAGTAAAATTAAAGATTTTACTCATTACGGGTATATGGCCCCCAGAATATAGGTTTTAAAAAAAAAATAGCGACCAAGATTCTGCATTTTCTCTGTCACCCTGAGCATTAAGGAATGTGGGGTAGTGATAAGAAACAGTTAAAGAACATATGCTGAAGAGATGGTATCATCAAAATGTATGAAGGTGGAGTATTTGAGGACGATTTTTGCATACCTATATTCTGGGGGCCGTAGTTTTTGATTTTTTGCTATTAAGTATACTCTAAACCATTTCAATTTAGTATCTGGAGCCATTGGCATCATCAATACAGTCTCAGCAACATATTCTGACTGCATATAACTGTCTGTGACAATTTTAGAACAACTTAGGAACAGATGTTTGGACCTATATTCTGGGGGCCCTGTTAAAAAATGGTATTTTTACAGGTGAAAAAAAAGTACACTTAAAAACCTAATAATTATTTTAAACTACCCAAGAAACATTTAAAGGGTTATTATGTACATATTTACACCCCTAAACATGCTTAGAAGTAGTTTTAACACCTGTTTCTAAGTGCTCAAAAAACGACCTATATTCTGGGGGCCATATACCCGTATAGATCAATTATAGTTTAAATATAGATTAATATAGATTAAATCGATATGAATTATTCCACAAACCGTGTTTAAGATACAAAGGCTGTCGATTAGGTTAGGAATATCCTTCACAACAGATAAACCAACCGGGCCACCCCAATCGTGTACTACTAGCGTTATCTTACTTAACCTGGGGTGTTATCTTAGTTAACAAAAGGTTTCGTTATTTAAAAGTTAGATCTGCTAATCAAAATAATCAGGATCAGACTTACCAATAACGATAATTAATAATTAATAATTATAGTTTATTGTAAGTCAATTATGGTACAAGACTGGGTGATAACACTTGAATGTCCTGCACAGCAGATTGAAGCTTTTTAAATCTTTAAATTATTTTTTATTCTTATTGTATTGCTGTGTAAATTTGATTTTAATCCTAATTAACAGGGGGTGGATTATCATTACCCCTCATTAACATTATCAGTATTAATATTCAGTATTAATTGTAGAATCTATCATGACTAAAGTAAAATAAGTAATTTTACTATTGTTCACGTATAACCCTAACTCAAAGATTAGACTATTTATATTGTTTTCATAATCAGTGCAGTATCAAGATGCTCATAAATACAAGAAAAATGGCGTGATAATTTTGCTTAAACATTCAGATTTACATTGTCAAGCTATGCAGTAATGCAGTAGTAGTTTCATAACATATTTGAATTATATTCTGAATAATCTATAACAACGTATTTTTCAGCTCACTAAGAAACTATGGCGACAAGTTTTAAACCGACTCAAGGGGGGTTTAGTCACCCAGCATAGCTATTAGCTACACCTAATTCTATTTATCTCTCTCATTTTGTGAATCAATCAATACCAAAACGATGTATTTGTGTTGATGATGGACAGTCATTGAGTGGAAACATTACCAATTATACAGTAAAACTCCGATTTACCGCGCCCCGATTTACCACAAACTCTGATTTACCACGGACATTTCCTTCCCCAAACTCCACGGTAAATCGGGGTTTTACAGTAATACAATGTTGGAACCGATTTACACGGTCCTTATGACCGTACGCCGCTGAATAAAATAGCAATGAATGACAACCATTTTTCCTTGCTGTGTAAATAATATCTCTACTATAATTCAAAAGATTCTTTCTGATGTACGACCGCCCACGTGCAAATCAGACGAGAAATAGGAATTTAGGTAACAACCAAAAGGTTCCATAGCAACGGTGTTTTAATGCACACATGCACGTGCAAAGATTGTTTTAACGTCATTTTGATCGGTTTTGTGGTAATTACGTTGTGTTTAAAGTGTTTTATATTTAAATCGGCTGTATCTTCGGTTGAGATGGATATTTTTTGATGCGATTAAAACTTTCTTTCAAAGAATACTACTAGCTTCGTCCCTGTTACCACGGGCTTTCTAGTTATCTTATAAACCAGTCTAGTGGTCCATATTTAGTTATCCATGATACAGTATACACTAAGCAATATAGCCTCATCAAGATATAACGCATTTACATTTAACATAGGTAATAATGAACAAGGCCGATAGTTATTATTCTCATGTGACAATAACATCGTTATATTATCCTTGTTGGACAGCAACATCTAATGAGTACGTGAGTACATCAGCACTCAACGGGCAATGACCCGAGTTATATCAGTAAATATAACCCAGTTTACATTTAATAAACTTAAACCACTCCTTATAAGGGTATCACGTGATTACTGATTGATAATAAAATGATAAGAATGTTAAAACTTTAATTATTTCTTACTTTAAATGTTCAATGAAGAGTCTGAGAGTGAGAGTGTGGAGATCGTGTGTGTACATGTCTAACGAGGAGTACTTGTCACTTTTACCAAAACCTGGGGTACAAACAGGGTAAAGAGGGGTAGAAAGAGGGTAAAGAGGGGTAGAAACAGGGTAAAGAGGGGTAGAAACAGGGTAGAAAGAGGGTAAAGAGGGGTAGAAACAGGGTAAATAAGGGTAGAAACAGGGTAAATAAGGGTAGACAGAGGGAGGAGTTCTTGTCACTTTTACCAAAACCTGGGGTACAAACAGGGTAAAGAGGGGTAGAAAGAGGGAGGAGTACTTGTCACTTTTACCAAAACCTGGGGTACAAAGAGGGTAAAGAGGGGTAGAAAGAGGGAGGAGTACTTTTCACTTTTACCAAAACCTGGGGTAGAAACAGGGTAAAGAGGGGTAGAAAGAGGGTAAAGAGGGGTAGAAAGAGGGTAAAGAGGGGTACTTGTCACTTTTACCAAAACCTGGGGTAGAAACAGGGTAAAGAAGGGTAGAAAGAGGGTAAAGAGGGGTACTTGTCACTTTTACCAAAACCTGGGGTAGAAACAGGGTAAAGAGGGGTAGAAAGAAGGTAAAGAGGGGTAGAAAGAGGAGGAGTACTTGTCACTTTTACCAAAACCTGGGGTACAAACAGGGTAAAGAGGGGTAGAAAGAGGGTAAAGAGGGGTACTTGTCACTTTTACCAAAACCTGGGGTAGAAACAGGGTAAAGAGGGGTAGAAAGAGGGCAAAGAGGGGTAGAAAGAGGGAGGAGTACTTGTCACTTTTACCAAAACCTGGGGTAGAAACAGGGTAAAGAGGGGTAGAAACAGGGTAAAGAGGGGTAGAAAGAGGGTAAATAAGGGTAGAAAGAGGAGGAGTACTTGTCACTTTTACCAAAACCTGGGGTAGAAACAGGGTAAAGAGGGGTAGAAACAGGGTAAAGAGGGGTAGAAAGAGGGTAAATAAGGGTAGAAAGAGGGAGGAGTACTTGTCACTTTTACCAAAACCTGGGGTAGAAACAGGGTAAAGAGGGGTAGAAACAGGGTAAAGAGGGGTAGAAAGAGGGTAAATAAGGGTAGAAAGAGGAGGAGTACTTGTCACTTTTACCAAAACCTGGGATACAAACAGGGTAAAGAGGGGTACTTGTCACTTTTACCAAAACCTGGGGTAGAAACAGGGTAACGAGGGGTAGGAAGAGGGAGGAGTACTTGTCACTTTTACCAAAACCTGGGGTACAAACAGGGTAAAGAGGGGTACTTGTCACAGGGGAAGTTGTTAGTTAAACTTGAATTTAAGATTAAAATTTGATAAAGAAACAATTATATTATTGTTACAAATACAAATCTAAATATGGGCAATTCCACGATAACGGTAACCAGTAACAAAATAATAAAGTTTGGAGGTGGTTTGGGAGAGATAGAAAATCTTTAAGATATTTGACCATATTTTCAGGGGCAAAAAACCGTTTGTTGATATCTAGCCTAGTTTAAAAACTGTAGCGCGTCAAAGTTGGCTTAAATTTAGTGTATCTTTAGTGTGAATATCCAGTTATTTTCCGAAAGATTTTAGGGAGCTTTATTAATCGTAGAATTCAATATTTTATCCTGTATATCAACCTAGTGGGCTTCAGATAGAAGGCCAGCCTAATTTTGAGGGCCAAATTTCTTTACTTTTTGAGTGTCTTATGATCAAATTTTTCCTCTTCGCGTGTGAATAACGCTACCAAATAGTGAAAAATGTTTTACTGTGGCTACACTATAAGTCTGTTTGATTCGTAACTGTCTCTCTAACGGCAACTTTAGTCATCTATAAAGGTCAGAAAATTTCATTCGTTTTGTCACACTGGAAGTGCAAAAAGTAGGGGTAGTGTGATTCACAGGTAGCGTAATTCACAGCTTGGTAGTGTAATTTACACAGCGGAAAATTAATAAAACAAGTAGTTTAAATGCTTTGTTGTGAAATAAATTGTACTTTCAATACTTCCAGGGCAATTCCAGGGACCTATTTTCAACAACTGCCTGAAAGTGTTGGTAATTTAATCGAAATTAGGGTTCCGCCAGGGCAAAATGTGCCACTTTTAGACCTTAAATCGCAAAAATAATGATTTTTAAATGGATTAGGACATCAAAATTGATTTGAAAGTGTTTTATAGTCATTTTTAGGTCTGGGAACACTTATTTGAGTAATTTAAAGGCTTATTTTCAGAAAATATCAGCAATTTGGGGCTAAAATTACCTTATTTTCTTGTCACGTAACTAAATTTTGCTCAAAAGAGCAGTGTTTTTGCCCCCAAAATTATAATTTTATCAAAAACCATGTATAGAGGTATCAAATTAAAGCTGTTGATGACCTCTTCACATTAAAAACACAAAGAAGTAGTTTAGAATTGATATAAGTGATAAAATGGTCTAAAAATGGATTCAAAAAGTTATAAATTTCGCCCAATTTCTGTCTAATCATGAACCTTTGAGAGCTCATAAAAAAATCATGCCACAATATTACACTGTACATTTTTCTAGGATTACTCTAAATGTCCTATACTTACAGATAGATCAACTTATAGATGCTTACCAAAGTTAATTTGCAACTTATTTTTGTAGTTTGTCCTAAAAAATGGCAAAAAATTGCCAAAAAATGCAATTTTTGACAAAAAATGAGGTAAAATTAATATTTGAGGTCAAATATCCATTTAATCACTCTAAAAACCTTTTTAAACGTTATTTTGGGGCAAGATACCCCTAGAATACATGTTTTGTGGTATATCATACCCCTTAGTCATGCCTATATCTTATGTCTACCTCGCATGGGCGCCCCGACCACTGTGGTATGGCAGTAGGGTGTAATCTACACCATTACCAGTATCTAATTGGACCGATTAGTAGTCAATTTAATTTAAAATCAGTAATAGTCAGTCTACTTCACCATTTTACAATAGCAGCAACCAAATCAAGAACAAGCAAACATCAATACAACGCACAAACAGAGCAACTGGGCAGAGTGTGAGTTACACTACGTTCAAATGTGAATAACGTTTACTTCCTATATTGTCCCTGTACTACACACATTCCACAAATTTATGTTAGGAAGGACATAGGAAGTTGAAAAAATGTGTACTTTATTGTGATCAAGCCTTATTGTAACTTCTGCTATTACACTGGGGCACGAATTGCAATTTTAAGGCAAGATTTCTAAAACACCAAATTATGCCTGTGAATAACGTCTACTTTTTAAAATGCTGTTCACATAAAAAGTATAAGAGATAGACATTAAACTTTTGTTGCCACATCATCACAAACGTTTAAACTTCATTTTGACTTTATATTATCATGCTGCTAATGTTAGCCTACAATTAGCATGCAATTAAAAGCTAAATTTTGTGCAAAGTGTGAATTACACTACGTGGAATTGCCCATATAATACTTTTATATCGGTGTCAAGAGATGCCAAATGGTGCGCATTATAATGAGTGTAACCATAGTAACTATACTAAAAGGAGTTCGGTCTATGGAAGGCTATTGTTCTCAAACTCTTGGCATTTCAAGAATTTTGTTAAAATTGTATAGAAACATTGTTCCTTAATTCCAGAGAATATCAATTGAGTTTCTCAAACAAATGGCCGGTAAAACTGCAGACCTGTTACATTTTAAAGCCAGCAAGTTCTGTTAAGGAATTACTCAAGCCGGGACCCCATAGTTTCAAATTCAATCTACTAAAATCCACACACAGGTTTACACTAACCTATAAAATCAAGCGCTATAACTCTGTATCCCTTGGAAGCTAATGATTTTATCATGAACCTGTAGAGAAAACTCCACGTAGGTTCTCCGTGTATCAGTAGGATTACTCTGTCACTGTTTGGAGGGCCCTGAAATTTGTCAGATATTACAGGAATTTGCTACAAAAGTTCTGTCACTACGTGCGATTCAATTGATGAAAGATATCACTGGGCTCATTTCCAAGATAACAAGTTTCAGTTTTAAAAGATCTCACCTCATCTACATAGTGTACTCTGGGTAGATGGAGATTACCTCCACACAGTTCTATGAAGTTAGGTTCAAATGTATAACCAAGGGCACTGAGGCCAGCAAATGATTCTTCTGGCGTCCTAAATTGTAAATAGTTAATAAATTGATATTAAAGCAGAAGCAGATAATGCTATATGTGCACAAGATATCTGCAAAACCAATTTATTCTTTAATAAAATGTACAGATAGCAAATAGGTTCATAAGATTATTATACCTCAATACAGGTGTAAATGTAAAATGTAAAGTGTACCTCAATACAGGTGTTAATGTAAAATGTAAAGTAGTTAAGTGTACCTCAATACAGGTGTTAATGTAAAATGTAAAGTAGTTAAGTGTACCTCAATACAGGTGCTAATGTAAAATGTAAAGTAGTTAAGTGTACCTCAATACAGGTGTTAATGTAAAATGTAAAGTAGTTAAGTGTACCTCAATACAGGTGTTAATGTAAAATGTAAAGTAGTTAAGTGTACCTCAATACAGATTTTAATGTAAAATGTAAAGTAGTTAAGTGTACCTCAATACAGGTGTTAATATAAAATGTAAAGTAACTTTAAGTGTACCTCAATACAGGTGTTAATGTAAAATGTAAAGTAGTTAAGTGTACCTCAATACAGGTGTTAATGTAAAATGTAAAGTAATTAAGTGTACCTCAATACAGGTGTTAATGTAAAATGTAAAGTAGTTAAGTGTACCTCAATACAGGTGTTAATGTAAAATGTAAAGTAGTTAAGTGTACCTCAATACAGGTGTTAATGTAAAATGTAAAGTAGTTAAGTGTACCTCAATACAGGTGCTAATGTAAAATGTAAAGTAGTTAAGTGTACCTCAATACAGGTGTTAATGTAAAATGTAAAGTAGTTAAGTGTACCTCAATACAGGTGCTAATGTAAAATGTAAAGTAGTTAAGTGTACCTCAATACAGGAGGATAATTCTTTGGTTTGAGTGCTCTGAAAAGAAAGGAGGCAGCGTGACGTATGATGGCTAACGAGAGAACTAATGGGAACATTAGTATCAGCACTGGTATAATGTATCTCTTCTTATTCAACATGTCTGCAGAGCCTATCAGATCTGTTTGGATTGGTTAAATCTTGTAAAAGTTTTTTAACTTTGTTGTAAATAAGCAATTTTTCAGTGTTAGTAATATCAACCGCAAGTTGAACAATTTATGAATATCAAAAATAAAACTTAATGTTAGATATTAACAACAATCTTCAGATCTCAAATTATTGTTTGAGAGATAAGAGGAAATTGGTTGGGGTAAATACCTCAATTTTAAGTCTCAATCAAAAATATCTGAGAAGTTTGGGTAAATGTGTATGTGTTCTATTCAATAATTTACTTATAAAAATCAGTCCAAAGATTATATCTACATAAATCATTGAATTTAAAAAGTAGTAAAAACAGGTCACTTAATGATTTTACTAAGAACACAAAAGCTGCAGACAAATATTTCAACAGTCCTGACTTAATAAGTCTCTTCAAACTTTGCCCAGTGATTCATTAACAATTAGCTCAATATTTTCCTGAGTTCTGACTCCTACAAAGCCTCCAATAACTTTCCCTTCCTTAACCAGCTTCACACAGGGAATTGCACTAACATCAAATTCCTGAGCAATGTCCCCAAAATCATCAACATTCACTAAAAGCATGTTTATCTCATCTTCATGGCTTTCGACAACTTTTTTGAGAGTAGGGGTCAACACTTTGCATGGTCCACACCATACAGCATGGAAGTCTATAATAGTCGGAGTATCACCTTGATATGCCTGAAAGTTTAATAGGAATAATTCTCATTTGTAAACCTATTTTAAGTTTAATACTAAATTACGACATTAAGTAGATCTTTGATCTACTGGCATTCAACTTTTTGAAAACAGATTTTCTTTACCCCAAGAGACCAGGTAATTAATTTATTGGATTTTTACCTGATCAAATTGAGACTCCTTTTCACATTCTTTAACAGTGCCATATGTTCTCCTCACAGCTGGAACAATTTGTCTAGCTAGTGGCTTCAAGAATCTTGTACACATCGACATGACTGAAGCTGAAACATGATTTTTAGTTTGAACAGGTACTACAGGTGCAACATAAATATTTTGATTTACCAATTGAGCGGTAACTCAATTTAATCCAAGATTGATTACAAATGAAATAACAGTAACAAACTCTCAATTTGATGTACAACAATTCAGAGGCAGCTGTTGAGGGCGTTCAGGCATCCGTGGACGGCGAACGCCCTAAATTATTATCTGGTAATTGAAAAAAGAAATAGTATTCGGAAATATTGCGATGCAAAGCTTGTTATTTCACTCAAACGTTTGAATGTAAGCACACATAATCTTTGTGAAATCATGTAGTGTCAGATCCTCGTTTAGATGCCTCAGCCGTGCAGTAGTCAACACACAGTTAATTGCAATTACTACAAAGCACATCATTGCATCAACATACTGGAAATTTAAATAATTAGGGCATCCAGGACACTTAAACTATCTGCTATCATACTGTGCGGCTGAGATTGTACACTATGTGTTTGTGTGTAAAACATGTGGGCGTGTGCTAGTATTTGTAGCGCAAAGCACTAGTGGGCTGCGCATGAAATAATGTTTCTCGTAAACAGTAGATTGGCGAGATACACCACTGGGCCACGTTGAGCTGCCAAGGATTGACATTGTGAATCAATGCTAGTATATGCATGGTAAGTTCTAGCCTCAATGTAATATTTGAAATCCTGCCTAACGTTTAAATAATTTAATTAATTAATTAGCTCACAAGCACCCTGAGTCCATCAATCGGACGCCCGACACAACCGCCAGCCAGCTCCCATGAGCTGCATCTGCAACAACTAGTTATATTGGGGTTTCTGATCAAATTTTAGGATGAAACAACAGTGATTTCTCTCCGGGGAGACAGAGGTGCGAGAAAAAAACTATGTTAATATAAATAGTTTAGATTTGAATTTGGAGCCACAAGGCCAAGGGTGATTTTCAATTGTTTCTCCTAATATTTGAGATAGGGAATATATTGATTTTTTGAAGGGTTGTTTTTATATAGGATCATTGTGACAATTATGCTTTAAAGTTTTTTTTCTTGCTCTATACCTTTTGACAGAAGCTTTTAAAAATGATTGTGGTGTTGTACTCGAAAATGATAGGCCAAATTGTTTAGTATGACTAGTTTCTGTAATCTGTACATGGCAAGTTCTATCAACCTCGTTTAGTATCTCCATATCAATGAGAATGCATGAAAACATTATTGATAATCAAATTACACATCGAAACGATAGTCAAATAGAGACAAAAGGAGTTTTGAAATCCAAAGCACTTCTAAGCAATCGTTATGAAAAACGACAGTATTCACTTTAGCGCTCGATTTTATAGCACGGTGTAAATTGGTGTTAACATGCGCGGCGCACCGTAAATTTTAGTTTTATTTTATAATCATGATAATTTTTGGCCATAATTTTTGGCCATAATTGTGCTAAATACATTTAGATTTGAAAACTGGCCACGGGCCTAAATATTAAATATCAATCAATTACAATTCATTAATATTACCAATATTAAAAACTATCGAAAATATTTAAAAAAGTATTCTCTAGCCAAAGGGCTCAATATTTAAATCGAAATCTTCAATATTGTCTGTTTAATACATTTAAATTAGTTCTTATAACAAGATATCCAAAAATTTTGTTATATATAATTAATGATATAGCACCAAATTGCAAATGACAAAATGGCCAATAAAATGCACGCAAAAAACTTCCGCATAACCAAAGAAATCATTGTCATACGTTGCATGACCCGCCGCGCACGAGTGCGCGGCTCCCCCTGTATCGTCGAAACTCTACAGGGATTCACTATAGTGAAGCGACCGTGGGGGTCACCGCGTGATACAAAGAAATCAATAATAGTTTGATTTGAATATTATCTTGTGCTGTTAATACTGATTCAGCTTTTTATTCACCTTGTCAGTCCTTCGCAGCTTGGCGAAGCTCAATGGTGCATTTTGCCGATCTACTTTATATCACGTCGTGACCCCCGATGTCGTTTCACTATAGAGTTTCAATTCAACGATACAGGGGGAGCCGCGCACTCGTGGGTCATACATCGTATGACAAGATTTACCGACAAATCGCAGCACTACATATTCTTGGATCAAACATTTTTCAAATATATAACTTATAAATTTTTGTCCGCTTTGCTATACTTTATAATTTACTAAAACGCTTTCAATTTTAATGTCCGGCACATCACTTTCTATTCTGTGCACAGCACTTTTTGAAGCATTTTGGTGTTTATTAATAACAATCAAAACATATCATTTCATAAAAATAAAGCCGCGCGTTGCATGGTTGACTGCCTCTGTAAAGTGAATAATTTAGTTGTTTGTAACGTTTACGCTATCAGAGTTATAATTGGTATTTAGTTCATAGTTAGTGGTCCGGTTGCAATGTTGTTGCGTCTTTACTTGGTTCCCGTATATATTCCAAAACTAATATTTATTATATTGTTTTATATTTCTGTTGTGATAGCACATGCCATACATGTCCATAACTTTTTTATTTCCTTCACACGTTGGCTTTTGGTATTCCAGTAATTTTTCATTAGCTGCGAGCTGATCTCAAACCAGTCTTGATACATTTTTGTAGTTGTGTCAGTTGGTTACAATGGTCTTTTACAAATGATACACACTGATTCCAGATACAGATAACATCCTGTATAAGTTAATTGTTAGAATGTATTATCAATGATATCATTAGATTACTCAATCACAATATTATCAAATATATCATTAGATCAATCAATCACAATATGTCCTTGACATTACTCCCCCTTAAAAAAAAATATTTAGCGATAAAGTCGCGTGATAAAATGCGCGTTTTTTATGCGCGGCTTTAAATGCTAAAAAAATGTACTTTTCTTATGCGTAAGATCTAAAATCTAGCTGTAGAAAAACCGTTATTTCTATGCCACGTAAGTTTTACAAAACATCACGTAAGTCTGAAAGCTCAATATAAATTTAAAATCAGGTTAAAAATGTATCAAATTTGTCATTAAATGCATCTAATAAATATTAGTTAAAAGTTGATACAACTTTAAATTTATCTCTCATCATGACAGTTGCACCAATATTCAGGGTTTAAAGTAAAATTTTTATGTATGGCAAGAAGGAGCCTTCAATTCATGTTTAAAACAAAAATTTGCATTTGTCTTGTGTTTATTACTATAATATGTTATAGTGCACTAATAGATTAATTGATTTATTTATTAGGGGGTCTGTCACTAATCTGACGGTCACTGTAACTTTTCACCTGGTTATGTCTGTTTCTAGGTGTTCGGCTTCAGTTAAGTGGAAGTTGAAGCATAATGACTAACGACAACCAAAACATTACTGGGCCGCGCTCAGCCTGTCATTCAGCCTGTCATTCCGCCTAATCTCTATTATGTTTATGAACATAATAGCCTGGGGTCCCCAGATAACCAAAACACCATTATGTGGGCTGTGTATCCACTATCCGTGTCTCCGATAGCCAGAGTTGCTAAAGCAGCATAGTTGTTGAAGTTTTCTTTTCCCTCAGCCCACTGATGACTAAATAATAAGTAAGCATCTTATTTATTTCAAACACCTTTATAGTAAAATACTGAACATTTTGTTGAAACATGATCAGAGTAATTAGTCTTTGTAAAGGGTGGAAGGTAAAAGGTTGATGAATAGAAGTGGCTTTTTTATATGATACATTTTCTAGGGTAGATTTGTGAGCGTTGAATTGCCACTTGGCCATACTGGCCTGACTAGACAGTTGTTCTAATATAGCTCAATGAAACAAGACATTTTTTCGATAAAACATGAATTTTAATTTTAGCACATTTTACAGAATCAACAAATTTATAAAAATTACTAAAATATAAATCCCATTACATGGTAAATGGCTTTTTGTCCTTGGCTGCTTATTAGATAGTGGAAGGACACACAACTGGCGGGGCAAGGAACGTGCAGGCCTGAAACCTTTTACACATGTAACCGGAACGCTAGTTTGGATGAGTTTTTGAAGACAAAGCTCATATTTGGACCGGATAACAGTTTTTAATTGTGGATTGCAGTCAGAAATTATACTCTGTATGCTTTAATTCTTGTCATGTGATTCGAAGATATAAAATGCAACTTGAAAGTGAATGTGATTTATGAACAGGCTGGCGAAAGATTGGGCCATTGTATCAATGGTTATCATACAAAGGCCATAATATTTGCACCATGACCACTTTCAACGCTGTATTGTGTATATTCTTTAGGTATTCTTTTAACGGTATATATACCTCCTAGTCACTCTCTTGCTACTCCAAGTCCCCTAAGATGTCTGGTCTAAAGTTTGTGCTAGTTATATATACATCTGAAACTATGCTTGGTGTAGCTTGTTGGGATATTATAGGAATTCTAGTTCCTATAGTTGGGAATGAGGTAGTTGTCTGTTCACAGATCGCCCTCTAAACTTACAAGGAAATATTTCCTGTAGATCCTTGGTATATAAGCAACATTTGACAGAACATTGTGTGGAGTGAGCTATGTGCCCATCCTTGGAGAACCCGACGAATGTCCTTGCTGTCAGCAGTGTTAAACAAGGAACTGAAACCAAGGGGTTCCGTTCAGGCCCTTCACACTTTGTTTTTGTCTAGTTCTAATGTACCGTCACAATAGTGACTTTAAAATATATTATATAAAATAAATTCTTGCAGGCTTTAATTGATACTGCTGTTTTCTTGAAATTGTTGTTTTCTTTAGAGATTTTTGTTGTGGTTTGAGAAGTAAAAATATATATAATTTCACCCAATTTTTCTCCACCGAGCCAAGATTTAGTGTGACACATTCATTATTACCATGCAATGGTTCATCTGTTATTACAGTTTCCACCACTAAGCTTGTTATTTTTTCATCTATAAATCATGAGAAAAATGTGACATTATTTCTCTGACGACAGATTCTGATTTCTAACATAAACTTCTATCAAAGCAGTTGAGATGGTAGGTTGATGAAGTATTGCTGCAGATAAGATTTAATTTAAGGGCGACTGTCCAATAGCATGTCAGCTGATTTTCTGGTACCTGGAGAAAGCGTTGTCAAGGAAAGATGGAAAATTGTAAGTATAAATTGAAGAACTTTTACTAAAATTGAGTAAATGATATGCTAGTGATATTTATTACAAGCTTGCTAAGATCCATATCAGGTTATTTTTTGAGGATCTTTACACACTATATTACAGACCAAGAAAATTGGAGGTGGGGGATTCGGTGAAATTTACCAGGGGAAAGATCTTTTTAACCACCATGACTTGGTGGCATTGAAACTTGAATCCTCTCAAACTCCAAAACAAGTCTTAAAGATGGAAGTTGCTGTTCTCAAGAAACTGCAAGGTAATTATTCTTAAATACCATACATAACTCATGTGTATTTCAATTTGGATATCCTTGTTAAATCGATAGCTCAGTCACAATATGTTTCAACTGACCGAATTTTAATTTTCTTTTGGCAGATATATTTTATTGTTAATCGATAATAAAAGTTTGTTATATTGTAACAAACTAATGTCAATCTATTTCAGGTTACGACAATGTATGCAACTTCATTGCATGTGGAAGAAATGATGTGTACAATTACGTTGTTATGTCACTTGTGGGAAGAAACCTTGCTGATTTAAGACGTTCTATGCCTCAGGTTAGTAATCCCAATTTTTCTGTTACTCAGACCACTGCAATATTTTAGTATACTTTTGAAAATCAAATAGTGATGCAGTTTGCAGATATATTTAAGTACTAGTTATGACCTTACGATACCACAATGTTAACGTTCATAAGGGTAAAGTCAGCTGATATCTAAGTGATATAATATGCCCTTGAGAGGCTTTAATAAAAGCAAGACATTGTTTAATTCTACTTTGGCGGCTTTAATAGATATTCTCATATATGTTTAATGATATTAGATATAAGCACATTTTATTTCTCCCAACGGATTGTTAGGTTGCACATTAACCCATGAAAAGCTCCTTACGGTTCTTATATCTGTGTAAACCAGTGTTATAGTGACTTACTACCCAAGGAATTATCAACAAGTTATTCTCACAGTTGTTTCTCCTACAATGATAAGAGATATATTTTCTCAGGGTTGTTTTTCGCTAAGTACAGCACTCAGACTCACTGTACAGATGTTAGCTGGGATCAAAGCTATCCACACTGTGGGTTTCTTGCACCGTGACATCAAACCGGTAAGTCCCCAATTAACTTTAAATTCGTAACAAGCTGGTTAGGAATATTAATATTAAAGCTTGCTTTTTTAAATGTGATATATTAACTTAACTGTTCCGGGTGGAGCCTACCTTGAGATTAATGGTTCTTAAGTCGGAGTCTACATTACTAAAATCTACACTATTAAAGTGACGTGAATTTGAATACCCTCTGAGTAGCTACGTTTTATTAATGCGAGTACTTTGGATGACGTCTAGCCTAATAGATCCCTTGAATTTACAATCAAGACCGTCAGTACTCAGTACCTACTTTAATTATATCTAGACATTATTAAAGCAGGATTTAAAGTCCTCTAATTGTCTTCACTCTCTAATTCTTGTATTTATTCTTTCAAAGAGGGCAAATCAAAGTAGTGGTCTATAATTAACGACCAGCATCGAGATTTATGTTCTGCAATTGTTAATAAAATCATACCCTAAGTATGTAGATGACCCAAAATGTGCTATAAATTCTGATCGGTGCAATTAATTTATTGACATTGGTTTGTAGCATGGTGCACTACTGGGTATTATTTAGAAACAGTTATTTGTTTGCATAATATATATGCAATATCGCGGAATCTCATGATCTAATATTTAATAACTTCATCAATTTGACTGATTTGAGACAGGTCAAATATGTAACCCCTATTTGGGGCGGGTGTGGCCCACAGCCACACCCTCATTCCAAACTAACTCGTTCCTCTGAGTGTGTACAAATACCTGGAACGAACTGCAGACAACACTTCCGCTGCCGTAGACAACTAAATTTATCGAATTTATGTAACTCGATTAAACAAACACCTGCATTCTCTGAGATATTAAAATGTGTACTTGCTCTTTCCAAATCACCGCAATTCATATGCTATTATTAAACTAGAACATGACTTAAAACTGAAATATGATATGGCTGAGTTTCTAGTACCGTTCTAGCTTTAAAACAGTAAACAGGTTATAGTAATCAGTAAGCAGGTTCTGCAACATTCTAATATCTTTCTCCAATCTCCACTAAAAAATAAAGCTATTGTTAGCCAGCTTAACTCACGAGACGTATCCGGAAATGATAAACACTTTGTGATGTTCTTACATCATATAATGAATTATTGGGTAGTTGTTAAAAACTAACAGCTTGCTGATATTATATAGACTACAGATGTACATTAAACATTGCACATTTTTTAGAAGGGCATTTTGCTATATCGTCAAACAAATAGAAAATAACACTGCCTAGAAATAAAAATGCTTAATGAAATTTTTCACTTTTGCAAAAAATATCACTATCTCTTCTCTTCATCATCCAAATTTGCCACAATTCTTAGAATCCTGCTTAGAATCCTAGATGCTTAGAATCCTGCTTAGAATCCTAGATGCTTAGAATCCTGCTTAGAATCCTAGATGATTAGAATCCTGCTTAGAATCCTAGATGCTTAGAATCCTGCTTAGAATCCTAGATGCTTATGTAAGTATGTAGAGCCCATGATAACTTGCTTGTAAGGCAGCAAGGTCCCTAAAATTCTAGTGCAATATTTCCTTTCAAATAATAATTCAAAGTTCTCTCTAATTATAAAACCACTGTAATATTCCCTTCCATGATATGTTTGTAGCAGAGAAGCAGGCTAAAAGTTCTCCACAAATGTGGTGTAATATTCTTCTCTCTGACTCGTAGCTGGAAGGCTGCAGGATAGCAGTTCTCCACAAATGTGGTGTAATATTCCACCTGCTGGACCACTATCTACTCTGCTGTCTGTGGTCAATACAAAGTGTACACAATTACTACACACTCTCATTTCCTACATTACCTAACATTCCTCCAATACCCACGTTAAAGATCAACCACGTGACTTGCCTGCAGCCACCCATGTTGCCATGGTGACACACGTGACGTTAATATTATTGTACCACGTGACTTGTGAGGGCCTATAGAGGGTGGGTTGCAGAGGGGGATATTTTTAGTAGGTTCAGGGCTTTTATTAGCTAACAAGCTATTTATGGGACATTGTTAGCTACTATAAAGCGATGTTATCATCGTTTGTAGTATAGGCATGTGGAATGCCAGCCAGTCACGGGTAACTGTAATGATAACTAGGTCTGGGACTTTGTTTACAGTAACTCTGTACCAGGGCTCACATTCCACCAGAGTACTACTAGTTATACTACTACTAGTTAGTACAGCGCAGGAAACACTGCAGCTAGTACTGCAGTGTAGTAAGTCGGTAAGTTCAGTGTAGGAAATGCCTGGGATGGCTGAGTGTTCGCCCACCTAAATCCAACATACCGTTTACCTACCATAACTGATATCTCCATCATACTTGTCTATGTTACTGAAGGAAATTGGGACAAACTCTAAAGAGGAACTGCGAACCCTGATGTGGGACAGGGATATATGGAGGGGGTTATCTGGCGTAGATCGGACTTAGTTCCGACATAGTAGTAGTCTATCATAAAATAGATAGTTTTAAAAAAATAGTTCCAACACAGTTAACAGGCACCCAATCAGATTAATTGGTATCTCGTTAGGCTTAGGGTTAGGGTTAGGGTTCTGGATCTATCGAAAAGTCCAAATTGGGTTCAGTTGTCCGGTAGCCTAAAATAGACCTCGTACTGGAACATATTACCAAATAGTTTAAATACAAAATAGTTGTATAATCTGTGTAACTGTGCCGGGTTTTACTGAATCAGTCTGTCGGTAAATGCGGTTATCTTTCAAATACCCCGTTTTGGCAAATACATGTGTGTCAAAATACTGTGAAACACAGTATAGTGGCCAAATTTCCATAAACAGACATTTTGCTGTACATTAATAAAGTAAGAAAGTTTGCGTTACAGGCTAAAATTAGTAAGGCCAATTAAATTCCAAGCATCCAAACTATTGGATGAGGGAAATGTACCTGAAATTGAGGAAATATTGGAGTTGCAGAAGAAGGATACACGTATAGTATTGTATAATATACTCGTACTGCAGTAGTACATACTGACATACAGACGGCTCTATACACGCTATCTCAATATACAGGTGTTGTGCAGTACGTGTATCAAGATACAGACAGTTACACATGTTACATGTTACACTAACATGTTACATGTTTACAGTTGTGTAGATAGGAAAATGTTATGCCCTCAATACTTCCATATTGTGAGACTGTAGATTACAGAGGTACGTGTAGAGTGTAGAACCGGCTAAAACACTAAAGTTCAACATACAACTCCGGAGACGGGATCCATGTTTCATTAATATTGCGATTGTTTCGGAAACTGCATGTTATGTTAACTTAGTCAATATCCACATCGTGGTTATTGTTAGGAAAATATATTAGAAAAGAAAGTTAAATAAAAGAAAGTTTAGAAAAGAAAGTTTAGAAAAGAAAGTTTAGAAAAGAAAGTTTAAGAAAAGAAAGTTTAGAAAATAAGATGGTCGATGAGGATTGGGACACGTTCATATTTTTTTTTGTTGTTGTTGTAAACCTTGTAAACCTATCACCTCCCACAATATAATATGATATAATCTATAATATATGTATTAATAATATACACTCTCAGTAGTCCATCCGCTAACTGAAATATTGTTAGAAAATGCTAATTTAGGAAAATATAAGGAAAATTTAGAGCTTAATGCTAGACTGAATTAATATTATGAATTTAAGTAGTGTATTTAAGAACTATACTATACATAATTAAACATGTATATCCGTAAATCCGTGTACATTGTACACTATAACTAGATGCAATGTTTCTGATTATACTTGATATTCAAGTAAAAACTAAAAGTAAAGAAATGAATATAACGACTCGATCATAAACCAATTACCCCTCTTTTTCAGTCTAACTTCGCAATGGGGAAGCAAGGAGCCTCAACTAGAAAGTGTTACATGTTGGATTTTGGGTTAGCACGGCAGTTCCTGACAGCTTCAGGGGAGTTACGACCTCCACGTCCTGTAGCTGGGTTTAGAGGGACAGTGCGTTACGCGTCCTTCAACGCGCACAAGAGCAAGGTATGTTACTGTTACTGTTACTGTTACTGTTACTGTTACTGTTACTGTTACTGTTACTGTTACTGTTACTGTTACTGTTACTGTTACTGTTACTGTTACTGTTACTGTTACTGTTACTGTTACTGTTACTGTTACTGTTACTGTTACTGTTACTGTTACTGTTACTGTTACTGTTACTGTTACTGTTACTGTTACTGTTACTGTTACTGTTACTGTTACTGTTACTGTTACTGTTACTGTTACTGTTACTGTTACTGTTACTGTTACTGTTACTGTTACTGTCACTGTCACTGTCACTGTCACTGTCACTGTCACTGTCACTGTCACTGTCACTGTCACTGTCACTGTCACTGTCACTGTCACTGTCACTGTCACTGTCACTGTCACTGTCACTGTCACTGTCACTGTCACTGTCACTGTCACTGTCACTGTCACTGTCACTGTCACTGTCACTGTCACTGTCACTGTCACTGTCACTGTCACTGTCACTGTCACTGTCACTGTCACTGTCACTGTCACTGTCACTGTCACTGTCACTGTCACTGTCACTGTCACTGTCACTGTTACGCGTCCTTCATCAATTAAATTTTCTGTTTAATACTAAATATTATCAAGTGTTAAGAACTTGTGATATTTTCTTCAGCTCTAGTCTTCAGCCAATACATTGCTACAGTTTTTAAGTTCAAGACTCAAGTCATAATTTCACAATTCCGTTGCCAATGAGTTCTTTTAAACAATCTGCAGACTGCAATTAATAACATCAGACAGAGTATTTCTAAAATAAACTCAATCACGATCACATGACAACAACAAAATACTTTTCTAGGTATGAAATTGTACACTGTTAGCCAGGCGTGAAATGAGTGTTTGTGTGTATGTGTGTGCGTTGAACCGGAAATTGAAATTATACGTGAGCGTGCAATTGTTGTCAGTAAATGTGAGGATTAAGAAACAATAGTGACTTGTTGCGTTCTAACAGCTTAAGGATCTTGATGAGGAAACCTTTTATTGCATAAGTGTGATATTTTAGACTTAATGAACAGTGCAATAATATTGATATTATGTCTAAATAAAATAATGATAATAATAGATTAAATTGGCTCGCATCATCCAATAGTTGCTCAAGATCTGATAAAAGCTCAATATTAAATAGTAGTTAGGGCTACTAACTGTACAGGGTGATACATTGCTACGGTTTCAAACATCTGTAGATTTATTAAGGTAGGAGCAACCAGCTATATTTTGTTAATTGATTAAATTTATGTAGCAGGTGTTATCATCTCCAACCGTGAATACCTCGACTCGGCTGCTAAATGGTAAAATGTCAAAACATGTGAATTGTACAGAAGTACACTGTCGTTGTATTACCATAATATTATGGTCATTATATGGTAGTGTGAAGTGTCAAGATTCCCGTTACCATGGTAACCAGTGTGCTTACTTAGCACTTAGATTACATCAACTGTGTTGCAAAACATCTGACGAATTATTTATTTTGTGGTATGTGGCCACGGTTTCCAACTTCCATTCTGTCTGCTGGATCTTTACTAATGTTTTATCTCAAATTCCACGTCGGTTTCAGATTTCATCATTATTAATTGGATTTAGGAACTCTATATTTAGAAAACAAACGTCTCAAATTTAAGCCCACTAAATTATACAAGACCCACTCTACTGTTGGCAAATCCTCATCAGCACTAGTCACTACTGTTGGCAAATCCTCATCAGCACTAGTCACTACTGTTGGCAAAGCCTCATCAGCACTAGTCACTACTGTTGGCAAATCCTCATCAGCACTAGTCACTACTGTTGGCAAATCCTCATCAGCACTAGTCACTATTGTTGGCAAATCCTCATCAGCACTAGTCACTATTGTTGGCAAATCCTCATCAGCACTAGTCACTATTGTTGGCAAATCCTCATCAGCACTAGTCACTACTGTTGGCAAATCCTCATCAGCACTAGTCACTACTGTTGGCAAAGCCTCATCAGCACTAGTCACTACTGTTGGCAAATCCTCATCAGCACTAGTCACTACTGTTGGCAAATCCTCATCAGCACTAGTCACTACTGTTGGCAAATCCTCATCAGCACTAGCCACTACTGTTGGCAAATCCTCATCAGCACTAGCCACTACTGTTGGCAAATCCTCATCAGCACTAGTCACTACTTATACTGTTGGCAAATCCTCATCAGCACTAGTCACTACTTATACTGTTGGCAAATCCTCATCAGCACTAGTCACTATTGATAAGGATTACATTATTGCATCACCTCCGGATGACATTATATCCCGATTTCCTGTTTCACGACAATTTAAAATGTTCGAATCGGAAATATTCCATTATTACATCAGGTCTCACGAGTGTGAACAGCGATTATAAATTATAGATAAATTAAATCATACGTCATAAGTTGTACTTGATATTATTCATATAGCTTGGTTCAACATAACCACTCTTAAGATTTCCTACCTCACACATTAGCCAATAAAAATGATTCTGGGGCAAACTTTGTAGTGTTCCCGTTAAAATGCTCTTATCAGGATATAAATATGAAAAATATTCTGCAACCTCTTAATCTCTTATCTCCATTATATCTGTCTGTCTGGCTTATCCCTTATCTGTCTGAATGTTGCTATTTTTCTGTCCTCCTTTGCGGAGGACCGAGGAATGTGATCAACTCAAATCTTACAAGAAACATAATATGACTGATCACTACTTTAAGAAGAGTTGAGTAATACGAGCTGGGCTAGGCGCCTCATATCGTCTGACCAATTACACAATGAGATCCTGGAGAGGTTCGCTGTTTTTATACTTACTTTCAACACTAGTATATCTATACAATATTTTAAACTTGACGAAATTTCCCCGGCAACGGGGACATAGAAGAAAAAACACCGAAAATCGACCTCAAAATGACCCTCTGGTGAAGCCAAACCCAGCTCGCAAATGGAGTTGAAACCTCGCCATTTTTAGCAGGGTTGTAGAAAAAGGATAGGAATAGGCTATAGCATTCTTAGAATTTTGATTTAGGCTTTAGATTTTTTATAATTAACGTCGGAAGTGAGGTTAAATAATCGTTAGAATAATGGCGTTATTTTAGCAAAGGTTTACTGCGCTGTTGCGTAGCAACGATAAAAATGCACGTGCGCGAGCAAGAACATCTTAACTACGCGCGTTGTTATGCTGTATGCTACGTCATAGACATAACTTCAAAACTAGCTCACATTTACGCTCACGCTATGACTTATATTCATAACTTTGGTTGTGATTGGTATTTTTTGATGCGGTAAAAAGTATCGTTTTGGGAATCCGAATACTAACAACGCTGTCGCCATTGTTAAATAAATTCCATTATGTCTACTGTATAACAGAGCTGTATGATGAAGAGAAATTAAAACATAACTGATTTTTAAAATTTCCTCGAACAAAGCTTTCGACTAGCGGGTTTCTAGTAACAAATAATTTGAGCCTGATGAAAGTGTTATCCCTGGAATCATTATACAATGTACGAGACATTTGGAGGAAATTCCCAGTTTCTCCAATCAGCTGAAGTAATTCTCTATTCTAGTATTCTATCCAGCCAGTTGATAGATGTATATCTCGCATTATATCTTATATTTAATGAATTATATCATTATATAACTTATCATATTATAATTTAGCTTATATAAATGGTTTAATAGACGTCAGACATGCTTTGTATGCCCAATTAAGATTAAAACAACCTATGAATTGTGTTTAATTTCCATTTGATGACGGTCGCTATCATGGCTGGAAGTAAGTGATTAAAAGACTGGAAGATGTGCCGTGTAATGGCTAGACGATACTCCTTAATACGACCTGACTGTCAGCCTGGCCTTTGCCGCACGTTACCGCACGTTACCGCACGTTAACGCACGTTACCGCACGTTACCGCACGTTAACGCACGTTAACGCACGTTACCGCACGTTACCGCACTTTACCGCATCACATTTAACTTTTCTTTCGCTTCACTCATGCACTATTGTCTATTTCACGACGTCCTCTGTAATCCCTCGCTCGGCCTATCCTATCTCTACCGGAAAATATGTACAAATCATGTTGTATAGGCCAAACTAATCGTACCAGCCACTCCCGTGACTCCCAGCTACTGTCTACCCGCGCCTTACTGTCTACTGTCTACCCGCGCCTTACTGTCTACTGTCTACCCGCACCTTACTGTCTACTGTCTACCCGCGCCTTACTGTCTACTGTCTACCCGCGCCTTACTGTCTACCCGCGCCTTACTGTCTACTGTCTACCCGCGCCTTACTGTCTACTGTCTACCTGCGCCTTTCTCACGCTTTTCAGGACACAATGTCAACCCTGTACAATCTGCGTTTTTGTCTAACACGGCACTTACAGACACCTGTACAGACCCACCACTATTCATAAATGACCTCATTCATACTTCCAGCGTTTTAATCACTTAATCGTTTATTAAATACCTGGAATTTTAGGCTTAATCTTAGTTCGTAGCTATGGCGACACCTGGAAATTGCAGGACAAGTTTTCTTATAGGTCTTAGGTCACGTGATATTTTAGGGTATTTATGTAGGCCGGATGTTTGAGGGGAAAACGGTTCCATTACAATACAAATAGCTTGTTTCGAGAGAGTGGAGCACTAAATTATTCTGGAAATCAAATGGTAATTAAGGGAAACATCATGCACGGGGTCCAACTCTAAATGGTATTCCACAAATGTAGAGTATTTCTGTACTGGAGAGTAAGGTATTCCAAAATTGGGTTGTTAACAACAGAACTTGGTCTGCACTGGAGAGGTAGAGTTTATGTAAACAGTCTGTAAAATAGTCTGTAAACTAGTCTTTATGTAAACAGTCTGTAAGTAGTCTCAGTAGTCTGTGTTAGTAGTCTTTGCTTTCTTAAGAAGTCTGAAACTACCTTGTGGATATAACTCCTGAAAAACTATGTAGAAAAGGAATAGTTTTAGTAACAAAAGATTCAGTAAGTTGTTTTGTTTTTAAGATAATCAGAATGATTAATATTCTAATAATAATTAAATTGTTTTATAATTAGCAATTAATGAAGTAATTGCTCAGGAACTGGGTAGACACGACGATCTGTGGTCCCTGATCTACATGATGATAGAATTCCTTACTGGTAATTTACCGTGGAGGAAAATCAAGGAGAAGGTAATTAGTTGATTATGTAATTAGTTGATAATATAATTAGTTGATATGTAATTAGGTAATGAGTTGATTAGTGAAGATTTTGTGAGTCAGTTAGCACAGATACAGTTAGTTTCTTAAGAAAACAAATTTTCTTCAGAAAAATGACTTGTGAGCCAAGCCTTCAAGTCTTATCTTAGTTGTGTAATTTATGGTTTAACAATGCCTCTAATAAATGTGGATACCGCTAGGGTTAACTTATATTTGTTTTAAAAGGTGACAGTGGTTCTGGGTCGGATTTGTTAACCACACCGTGTCCGTTAAACTAAATGGTTACTCTCTCCACCTGTATACAGATGTATTCATTGTTAAATCTTCCAGGAGCATGTCGGCGACATGAAAATTAACTGTGACATGTACGGATTGATAAAGAAACTTCCTCCAGAATTCAAGCTGATCTTGGATTACGTCAAGACTTTAGACTACTACCAGCTGCCCAACTATAAGGTAATAAGAGATAAGAGATACGAGATATTATAAGGTTATTATTTTGGATATTGTTATAAGTTTATATTACAACTATAAGGTTATTTTGGATACTGTTACAAGTTTATATAAAATGGGGGATTAACCTGATTTTTGTGGAATTTAATTTGAGACGGTGATTAGAAAGGCTCGTTACCCAACTTTTGATGAGATTGTACCCAAGTTCCTAACACTAACAGACTCCAACTAGAATTATAACACAGAAGTTCTGAAAAAAACTTCAGTATGATCATCAAGTTAAGCTTATAATACCTACCTACGTGACCTATGTGACCATAATAATTAAACATTATATATATCTTAATAAATAATAATATATAATACTTAAACGAATAAATTCGTTTATCTTTCATGTTCCATACGATAATATCTGGTTTAGCCAATAACCATGTTTAGCCTAATCAATACATTTAAAGATAGCTTATATTAGAGTTAGAGCATAGCGAATTTCAAATGGCTTTGACGTAGGTAAAACGGTCTGTGACGCAATCCTCCCGTGATCCATTTAAAACTATGTAACAATCGAAATAATACAGAATGTACCTAACCGTTAAAATTTACATTTTATATTTTGGACTTTTGGAGTAAAACTCTTCTAATTTAAAGTATTACGTATATAGTACCTGATGTCAAGTTCTTTTGGATGTATGAAATTCGGATCGAAACTTTGGGTTTTGAGACTAAAAGTGCTTCAGATCTCTGAGCAGAACACTTCAAACAACAATATAGTTAATAGTCTCGACCTAAAGAATATTTTGAATGTTCACAGAAATGGCAAATGTCCAAGGCAAGAATCGTGTTATATTACGCTTTCTTCTTGAAATTAGTAATTACCATATAATTGGGAAGCTTCCAGCAACTGATGATCAAGCCTGCGTTTCTAGTTCATAACATTTCATTTATTGTAAACTTGGAAATCAGAGTGTAGTGTATTTATAAACAGTGTTTATCAACAGTGTTATTGTGCTCATTAAGTGGTGATCGGAGGTTCCTCCGTTGGGAAAAGAGTCATTATTAGGAGTATACTACTGTAAACACATTATTAGGAGAATTAATGTGCCGGAAACGAGGTATTAATGCCGATATTTCTTTTCATGTTCGGAAATTAATCCTAATTACAGTACTCATTATGTATTTCGACCAATTAATAACCATTGTTATGGTCGATTTACAAAGCCTGGACACTATTTCTCTCTCTGACGTGGTACATATTGGCGTCGTGATCCGGCGCGGTGTTCGGTGAATCTGTGTGGTATTTCTCTTACTTGTGCGATAAAATTATATTTCTTCACGAAACTTAAAGAATTCAAGAATGTACAGCCACAAAAGCGTATACATAAGCCCTTTGAAAAAACTCGACAGTCTGTTTAACAAAACATCTTTATAAAGTAGATACCTTTTGTACGTGGGCTTTGTTGTTTTGTGAAGAGTAAAGTGAGAGAGAAAGGGCACAAGCCACAAAGAGAGGAGAACTAAATATGAATTCCGCACTTTACTCTTTTACTAATTACTATGGATGAGCGTCGCTGTGACTGGGAAATATTTACTGTATATATCACCACGCACATGCCAAAAAGGCTGAGGAAAGTCAATTAACTCTTGGAGAATTGGAGTAGGTTCTAGAAGAAATGATAAAGCTGCAATCTTTCACGAATAAAAAAATATTTACAGTTCTGGTGAATAACAACCGGTGAATAACAACCGGTGGATAACAGTGTACGTGCACGGTGGATGGCCAATGAGCTGCTGTATCCAGTGTAGGGCTTGATTCGTCAGGACTCATGATTTTGCTATTAAATGTAGACTTTGCTTTATTTTTGTGGGTGCCATGACAAATCTAGGTTATCTAGGTTATCTAGCACGATCTAGAATTTACATTTACTTTCCTGTCTCATAAGCTTTGGCATTGCGAATACGGAATCTTACGGTTTATGAAATCTCAGTTATACAATAAAGTATAATCTGCAGGTAAATGTCTTTTGGGAAGTGGTGACTGGTGAATTGTGGCTGAATGTTTTGTAAAGTTTCTGGTCGTGATATGCTGAAACTGAAGAACATTCCAAGAACGTGTTTAAAACTTTTCAGAAAGATTTTCAGAAAGATTTAACCGGCACTGTAGTTCCTTAAATTCAGTGGATAAGATATGTCTTTTCAGGGACGCAACCTTAGCATCGTTGGTCTGACGTTCTTCCAGACTTACTTTATATCATTTATTACTTGTTTAATTACTCGACATGCTCGTCTAAGCTAAGTGATCACACACAATATGATCACACACTGAATAATCCCTGAAACACAATAATTAGGTCTCTCCGGGAACATCCCGTCGCTTTTGGTCCCCTTTGCGACGTTTCCAAAAGCTTGTAAATAAGAATGAAGTTGAAAGAGACTTTGAAAACAAGGAAGGATTTTTTCGATTTATAAGCGGTTATATCTTCTTCTACTAAACCTGGTCTAGTCCATTGTTGGACTGGAAAGCGGAAAGGTTTGAAAATACGTCCCTTAAGTCTGGTCTATAATTAATAAACCGCCACAGAAGATAAGTATGAACAAGATTTTCAGTATCCAATAAATACTTTTAGTTTTAATATGGTAAACCAAAATTCCGGGCACGTGCACTTAGCATGTCAGGTACGCGATTATGGAATAGTTTCCCTACTATGTAAATCCACATCGTCTACAAACTTAAAAAGATTATTTTCTAAACTAAACGGCAATTATTTTCAGCAAATCGAACAGTGGTGTAAAGCGCCGATAAAACGGAAACACGTACGAGAAAGTGACCCATACGATTGGGAGAAAGGTAAATTCTTTAACTTATTCAAAACTTATTACATTGTTAAACATTGCTTGTAATCCTACTTCAGCTTTAGCTTCTGTATTCAACTTTCAGCTACACTTTTTAAATTTCGATATACCCTAGACGTACTTCCCTAAAATTAGATTATAACTTTCCTACATTATTAAGTTATTAGATTGCGACTTTCCTACATTAATAAGTTATTAGATTGTTACTTTTTAAGTGTTTTAACACAATAATACGTGGAATGTGGTTCCAAGCAGTCAACTCAGAGATCTATATAATTTAATTGGATTGCCCTGAACCAATATTGCTCCCAGCACTATCATCTAATGACTGCAAACAAGATCACCATATCAATAAACCTGTCACTTAGCCAATATAACACATGTGACCAATATAACACATGTGACCAATATAACACATGTCACATGTCACACTGTCACAAAATCGACACATTATATAGTGGACATTAAACTAGAACAATCATGACGTCACCAAGTCCAATAAGTTTAACTTTAATACAATACAATACACAACAATATTGACTAAATATTGGTAAGCAGATATATTCCATGATTCATCTCACTCCAATATCACGTGACTTTAACATGCGGGACCTTGCTTACTACAATGTGTAACTGTCACAGAATGCCATCTTGTATTGGGATAGATATCGTGTACTTAAGCCCCCACTATACTGTTATTGCTGTCACTTTTGTGGAGTACTCACTTTAGAAATGGACCTCAGCGAGCGAGGTTAGATTGTGTTTCTGGTGAGAGTGAGTGTCACGTGACACAGGGAGTGTCACGTGACACAGGGAGTGTCACGTGTTAAAATATGCGTTATTCTGACCCTTGTGTGCGACATAAAGGGAAGATGGAGATAAAACTGGTGCAAAATGTGTGCAAAAGACTCTGCGCGAGTTGGAAGCTCGAAGGCAAAATTTGTAAATTTGTAATGGAATGAAGAACCAATAAATGAGCTGCTTACGTTCCATTATGTTATTATTATATTATATATATATATTATTTCCTGTAAACCTTATTTCACTTATCATAATTGATAAGTCTAGAAGTCTAAAAATTATCAGTTGTAAGGACCAGTACAGAGTCAATGAAGTTTCAAAATCTAAAGTTCAAATGTAACAAACCCTGAAATAGACTACTTCTAATTCATTATTCCATCGCATCCTGTTAACTTTTCACTTATTTCATTTGATCTGCAATTAGAATGTTCATTTTTATCAACAAGTTTCTTTGGTTAAACCTAACGGACAGCTATGGATTGCCAAGTTATATATCCATTCTAATTCCGGATCTGTCTACTGAGGGTTAGTGTGTTTAAGTTCCGGAATTAGGATGGATCGATAAGCCATTCCATAGACTAGTTGTCTGTTAGGTTTAACCAATAATAGACAGTAAATATTACTGAGGTATTTCCTAGTCGGTAACCCCGCAATCTATTGCCTAAACTCCGACTAATCCCGGACCAAATTAGAACATAACCAGCTGTACATTATATTAGTAGAGTTAGTATGAACTATGACGTAACTATGACGTAACTATGACGTAACTGTGACGTTCTGCATAATCTCACATAGTCACATCATCTTATCCCCAGAAAAATTTTCACTTCTTTCGAGTTAATCTGATCCGGAGTTCTGGTTGCAAAAGTTTCAGTAAAATTTTAACCTGTGTAGACTTGTTTTTGAGTCTCGAACAACATAGTTTTTGACACATTGCAGCCTCTCGAACAACATAGTTTTTGACACATTGCAGCCTCTCGAACAACATATTTTTTGACACATTGCAGCCTCTCGAACAACATAGTTTTTGACACATTGCAGCCTCTCGAACAGCATCAGCCTACTTGTCTGGTTGTCGTGATATATTGCCTTATATGGGATAATTGTTAAACGTTTAAATGGTAACATAATATAGTAAAATGGTTAAGGTTTTCCAAGAATTCTAATATTTAGGTCAAAGCTTCAAAGGGGGTTAAAAATATCATTTTTCTATTTTTAACGTATTTGAGAGACGAACAAGAAGGAAAAAACGCGTCAAAATCTGACATTCCGTTCCTGAGATATTGTGCGCCAAAGTTTGAGGTATACCTGTATAGTAGTAAATAGCAAAACTTAAACTTAAAAAAGGTAAACCTCAACTTTAAAAAAGACTGGCTACTCCATTGTTCTTGAAATACAAGGTTTTAACATTTTTTCCCCTACAGTTTTCCCCTACTTGTTTGTCTTCAGTAGCTTTATCACATATAATATGTTAAAACTAGATAAATAATATTTACCCCCCCCCGGCCCCCCGTCCTTTGGTATTTATATCTTTAACATGTCCACGTAGACAGCATTTCAACTTCATTTAGTAGATACAGCTATAGATTCTAAATTTATAACTATTCGAGCTTTTAATTTAGAATTAAAACAAGTACTTATTATGGAGCCGAGTGTGGACTATGTTATCGTAAATTTAACCTCCTGGAAAAATTAATCCCTAATTAATCTCAACCTAATTAACCTCAACCTAATTAACCTTATTAAACTAATTAACCTAATTAATCTCAACCTAATTAACCTCAACCTTATTAACCTCAACAAGATTAACCTAATTAACCTAATTAACCTAATTAACCTAATTAACCTAATTAACCTAATTAACCTCTTGAACCTAATTAACCTAATTAACCTAACCTCACTCCTCCCTCAGGTTGCGGGGACGGAAGTCTCACCACCACCACGACCACTACTCCCAACTTGGTGCCTGATAATGTTAAGGAGAAATGTAACTCCCCCTTCACCGGCTCTCCTGTGTATGTCTTTGTAACATTTTATTGTACTCCTTCATAAATATAGATCATAGTCTCACCTTCATTTCTAACCGGTCCCCCACTAAGTCAGTGGATGGTAATACAACTTATTTTGTGGTAAATTTAACTATGTAGTTACGTTTTGGTTAAGGTCAATCATTTTGATGTTATCGTATTAGTTTGTTGCTCAATTAGCTAATTAGCCAGTTATTAGCCAGTATCTTTAGTCAGTCTGTTAAGAGTGTGTTGAATCTGTAATCTAGTCAGGACGCGGGTAAACACAGACGTGACAAAGTGAAACTACCACATTCCAAACATTCCAAACATCGCAAATCAACTGACACTAAAAGCATCAGAGAAGGGTGTGGCTCCCCCGGACCCGCTGATGTACCTTACGAAAAACTAACTGACAAACAGACAGACAAACATACGAGCAGACAAAGTGGAGCTGAAGATGTAGAACATGGTGTTATCAAAGTAGAGGTTGTCAAATCAAGACCCGCCAGACATAGCAGATCTGCTGGAAAATCTAGAGATAGGCACCGGTCAAAAGGGAAAGGAAAAGTTACAGGTGCAGGAAAGAAAATAACAAAAGAAACTAGTAAAGATCTTAATAATAAAGAAAACGTTGTAATTAAAGATAAAAATAGGAGGGAACCGATCGTTTTAGATTTATTCGAACCAACCAGAGCAGCAGAGGATAAAGTAGAGGCACCAATTAGGGAGCAGAAAGTAGAGGCACCAATTAGGGAGCAGAAAGTAGAGGCACCAATTATGGAGCAGAAAGTAGAGGCACCAATTAGGGAGCAGAAAGTAGAGGCACCAATTATGGAGCAGAAAGTAGAGGCACCAATTAGGGAGCAGAAAGTAGAGGCACCAATTAGGCAAGTCGAGCAAGTAAAGCCAAGAAATAAGGAAAAAGTTGCCAAAGCTAAAGAAGGGAGTATAGAAGATCATAAACCAAAGGTGAAAACTAAAGAGAGGTCAAAAGAAGTTGTTATTGTGGAGAAACCAAAAGTACGTGAAAAAGACAGGGATAGAGAAAAGGAGAGAAGGAAGAAAAAGGAGGAAGAAGCTTTGGAACAAAAAAAGAAGAAAGTTGAGAAGATGAAGAGAAAGGAGAAGGAGAGGAGGAAGAGAAAAGATAGAACTTTAGAAGATATCTCGCCCATGCAAGACATTTCACCTACACTACAGGTGAACTAAAGTGTCCCCTCAATGTCCACATTTTAGTTTTTAAATGTGTAAAATGGATAAAAGTTGATAATTGGATGATAATATTATTGATCCTGTATCAATCCTGTTCGAGTTCAGGTACCTTCAACAGACTCTGGCACAAAGCCAAACAACACTGACAAACTAACGAACAAACAAACAGACAAACTGAAGAACAAACAAACGGACATGTGTTCCGAGGTTGCAGTTCTCAATAAAAAAGACAATTAGTGAGGTTTAGAAAATAGCACGTATTAGTCAGGTGTTAGTCAGGTGTTAGTCAGGTGTTAGTCAGGTGTTAGTCAGGTGTTAGTCACGTAATGTGATGTGAAATGTATCCGTGCTCCTCACTGATTCTCTGTTCTCTAATGCTACTGTTGTCAATCTAGCCCCCGCTCCCAAATATTGCACTTTTTCCACCTTTTCCACCCTCGTATAGAGCCCCCCTCCCCCTAGTTTGGTATAATCACTGCTGAATCTGTCTTTGTCCTCCGCTGTACCCACTAAATTATTTACCTTCCACAGAACTCTGAAAACAATTGTTTGTTTTCAGGGGGCAGTATAGTCACGTGACACTTTCTGTGTAGCAAACCGTTTGTTATTGTCACGAAGTGGTGTTGCTTTTTGTGATAGAGTGTAAAATTATATTTTTGTTATAGAGTGTAAAATTATTTCATGTAAGCCAAGCTGTACTGACTGTGACTGCTTTAAATCACATGTCTGCCGTCACACATCACACACTTTTCATTCCATCAAATGCATTTTTCGCATATTTTTAGATTTGGATGTGCGGTATTTCCGGCCTGAAAAGAGCTCGGCTGTTATTTGTTTTAACAGATTACTCTAGTGATGAATCTAGCAGCTAATTAACCACATGGTCACGTGATATATGTCCTTATATGGGCATCACGTGGGCTGCCACGTGATGCCCATATAAGGACTACCTAGAAACTACCTGGTCGGGCAGCTAGCATTATAATATAGCTGTGTACTAAATACTTCCTGTGTGTATCAGTGTATCAGTCAATATTTACTAATATAATTGTGCGCTTTGTTACGCCAAGTCCTGGTTTATTATACATTCCTGGGGTTTATTATACATTCCTGGGGTTTATTATACATTCCTGGGGTTTATTATACATTCCTGAGGTTTATAATGGTGGAACAAGATTTAACAGAATATTAAACAGAGTTGCCATGTGCCAGCAATTGTATCTTGATCTCCCGATAAATTACTGAAAAAGGATCTGAACTCCTAACCACCAACTATCAAACTATGGAATTAGGAACAGATCAGCTCACATAACTCTAGTGATCATCAGCATGATCATTTTATTTAGACAACATTCTGATCTGTTCATGGTTTAATCGAACCAGTTAGTTCGAAGTTTTTCTGTAATGAAATATTTGTGTCTTGAACCAATTACCTACCGTCTTTTAAAAACTTATAGACGGAAGCTTAGAGACGATAATGCAAATACCGTAGACTCCAAAACTTGAGTCGCTTTTTGCATTTGTTACCATATTATGTTAGGAAATGGTAGCACGATGATAACAGAGCTTCATACTAAAGGGAAATATGTATAAAGTGTGGTTAAACTAGGCAAAACTGCAGATAAACCTCCACGTAACCCATAGTTACCGATAGTAACCCATTGTCTGCATTCCTCATATATTCCTAACATTCTTGTACCTGATTTGTAAGTGGCTGCTGATATGGTCTCCCTAAATGTTCCCAGACCAGACATTACACGTAGAGGGATGTAGAACAGATCTGCTTAAAATATTCCTGGTTTCGGCCAAATTAAGATGTTCATTATTCTTGCTGTACAATAATATGATGTTCGTGGCTGGTTCTGGAGTGTTTCATTTCTGAGATATTTTTAATACCACTAATTATTTTCAGGGAGCTGGGCAGTGGAGAAAAGGACGGGGAATCGGATGGGAAGGAGAACAAGAGAAAGGACAGACGTGAGCGGGATGCGGGCGACGCTCACCGCCCGCCCATGCATCCTGACTCTAAAGTTCGGAACAAACAAGCAAGACGAACCGACCAAAACGGCAAACATTCAAATTATAAAAATTCTCAAGCCTCAATATACAAGCCTTCTGACGCTGAGCACATCGACAAGGCAGACGCCAGCTGCACAAAATTCATCAACGAACCAGACATGGATTCAGAACAATCGGGCGACCACGTCCTGAACCTTCAGAACATCGAACTGGAGGAAGCGGGCGTCGCTAACCACGGTAAATATCCAAAGCACGGTCACCAAGTGGCACAGCACGCTGCTACTGGGGTGGCACAGCACGCTGCTACTGGGGTCGATCATACCGACCTCCGCAAACAATCTAATGTCGATCTTGATAAGCTTATGAACGAGATTGATTCCCTTAAAGTAGCCATTTGTGACATGAAGGACAAGAGACGAGACTCTAGGGTCGTCTCGGATGAAAAATCTCGCAGTAATTCTTCCGGGGACAAGAAGAGCGACAGTTCCTCTCGGAAGAGAAGGAAAAGCAAAGAACGGAAGAAAAGCAGTGAGCATGCCGAGCAAAGAAGGACTATATTGTTTGAGGGTGCCGGCACTTCAAACGGCACATCCTCCGCCCTGCACAGATCTGGTGCGGGTGGTGACTTCGCTCCGAAGCTCGCCCCCCACCGGGCACTTGTAAGCACTGAATCTAACAACTCGTCGTGTGACAATCCCGTGATACACTTATACCCTCAGCCTCCACCCGGAAGAGCGGCAAGGATATGCGTAACGGCTAGGTAAGCGAACGAGGGGATCCGCGAGCGAGAGTAGCGAGTGAGTGAGTTGGTCATCGTTGTGGCATTTTGTTCATATTGCTAGATGTAAAGTGCGTAATGCATGCGCCGCTCCGCCCAGGATCATTGCCACCACGCCCCCTCATATCACTTTGCAGCATTTATTTCATCTCATGATAGCTGAAAATTCTTGTCAAAATCCTTTATGATCAGCTAACTTATTTCAGTAACACAATTACCAACTTGAAAATCAAAACATCAACCCTCTGTTCTCCTGAAAGGTTAATTCATTCATAATATATACCTTGTAACCTCGGTAACTTTGGTAACGCTGGTAACCATGGTAACCTTGGTCACCTTGGTAACCTTGGTCACCTTGGTAACCTTGATAACCCTGTTAACCCGGTGAACTGGTAACCATGGCAACCTTGGCAACCTTGGTAACCTTGGCAACCTTGGTAACCTTGGTAACCTTGGTACCCTTGGTAACCTGGTAACCCTGGTAACCTGGTAACCTGGTAACCTGGTAACCCTGGTAACCTGGTAACCTGGTAACCTGGTAACCATGGCAACCTTGAAAATACTGTTTGACACTTGGCTTCCCCGCATTAATCACAAAATAGTTGTATATTCGCTAAACAGTTCATGTAACGCATTTATTTTTAGAACAAGTATATTATAAAACATTGGTTATAACATGCTTATTCTCAATTATCTGGTATTGCACGCAGCATCCTTCAAATTCAAGGATTGGATGCGATGTAGCTAATTGGTGTGGCTAAACGTTTGCAAAACACATGACGGGGGTGGTTTTACTGTACATATTAGTGTCTACTAGTTGTAGTAGTAGTGTGTCTCTAAAGTTGTTTAATCGCCATGAAAAATTATATTGTCTTAAGGTTATTATTATGTGTTAACTTTGCATTAGTGATAAGACAGAGACTGATTGAAGTATTTTTAGTTATAACTTTATAAAACATCCTAACATGGGATATGGAGCATATCCCTGGATCGCTTTACTTACCCTGACATTATCAACTTATCAACTTATCAACTCCAGTTGAAACTAAGACAGTAAGACGGGTCATAAAGTGTGCTGTGTTTAATAGGTACTGAAAGCACACGTTACTGATCGGTTACTGATCGGTTACTGATTGGTTACTGATTGGTTACTGATTGGCTACTGATTGGCTACTGATTGGTTAGCTGGATCTATTTCAATATTTAGATTTATATTCAGGAATCAGGGGAATAAAGGATTACTAACTATGAGGAGTCCAACATTTTTATGTACTAATTCGTTTTGTGAGATAGCGATAAAGCACAGTCTAGGTCTTCATTGTATTTCATATAAGTAAAGTTTAATAGACCAAAAGCCTTCCAATTATATACATCATGGCGCGTTTTAAACCGAAAAAGTCTGCTTGCATTCCTGTAAACTTTCTGACATGCATATTTCGTAGGATTATAAAGTTTAGCAGATGCATCTTTAAAATAGAGAAGAAGTGAGGTCTTCTTGACGTATGTGATCCAAGCTAAAATTAACTAAAATTTACTCCAAAGAATCATTATTAAAGGAAATTTACATCATGAAAGTAATAAAGTGCAGACAATGTGTTTCATGTTGTATAATTAGCCTTCTTAAAGTGGGCTCACGTTAGTTTCACGTTCTAGGGACCAATACCTACTTTCCACCATTTTAATTGCGCAGTAGACGGAGATCGAGAGTAGCTAATTAGCTTACAATCTCCTCTTCTTTATATAAATTATATGTAATCTCCTCTTCTTTATATAAATTATATGTAATCTCTTCTTCTCAGTGTAAGAAGATTATATTGTGTTATATAAGTAAGGTAGCACGCGGAAACGTCATGTATTAAAGTAGTAGTAGTCCTGGAGGGGGATTTGTTTTAAAGTAGTCTGATAATTGTGTACACTACAAAGGGTCAACCTCCGGATAATTCCACCGCTGTAGGATCAATATTTTTTGGCAAGTTTTATGAATATATTGTGGTGACGAAAATTTCATGGTAGAATTTAAAGTGGATTGTGTTGCCCATATTAATCGCATGAAAGTGCTAAAAAATGCGTACAATTCACCAAGATAAATGAAAAGAAAATGAATTGAGTGCCGAAAATAAAGTCGCACGGAGACATTGGCACACGATGTTTTCCAGCTCCTCAATTATGTGAAATATGTGAAATATGTGAAACAATAGAAGTTAAATAGTTTTAAGAGTTTAAGAGTCTTATCGTCGAACCAAAACATTCCAACCATACTAATCGTTCAATTACAGTGGTTTTTTGGTTAGTAATCTGACCAGATAAGCGATGATACATGATTTTTGTGTGATGAAATAATACGTTACGGAATACAATTAAACAACATAAACCTTGCCAAAAGTTAAAATCATGTGGTAAAGTAAACAGGCGATAAATATAACGATTACAGTTTCATTATAATCGCTTATATGATATCATAATATGCCTTGTTTATCATTATGTAATATTTAGGAAGGTTATGAAAGTTTACAGGCTCGACTAGAAGGTATTCGTTAGGTATATCGTATAATAATGACGGTGTACAATTAAGCAGACACGCCAATTATTTAAGTCATAGTGCTTTTTAAAATGTGATCACTGTGACGTCATCAATATCACGTGACGTCATCAATATCTGATACTGTCTACTTACAATTCGTATAACAAATTTAAAAACGTAATATCTTGAGAAATATGTAAAGTATTCAACGCAACGTTTAAAAATAAATAAGTAGCTAAATATTTTTAAATATGTGAAGAAGTGAGATGTTGTTACGTATGTGGCCCATTGCAGGATAACCTTGGCAACCATACTCAGGTTTTATAGTTTAAAGTAAACCTGCTGTTAAAGCAGTGGCGTAACGAAGGGACCCTATCCAGGTTGGCATTTATTTGACGTATATTAAACATATAGACTTCTTTGTAGTACATTTCTATTAAAGTCAAATGAATAAAAAGGTTTTCTCAACTTTAACATCCGGGAATATGTATTTGGCTCGCCCTACTCCCAAGAGTAATGTACAATACGTTAAAAAGGCAGACGTTTTAGTTGTATACCATGGATAAGAAAGTTGTATTTAGGGCGGATCCGGGACTCTACGCCGTAAGACTCTGCGTTGTAAGACCCTAACCCTAACCCTAACCCTAACCCTAACCCTAACCCTAACCCTAACCCTAACCCTAACCCTAACCCTAACCCTAACCCTAACCCTAACCCTAACCCTAACCCTAACCCTAACCCTAACCCTAACCCTAACCCTAACCCTAACCCTAACCCTAACCCTAACCTTAACCCTAACCCGCCGTAGGGTCTCACGCCGTAGAGTCTTACGCCGTAGAGTCCAGACCCCCAATATAGTCAATATAATATGATACATGAATAATGAATATGATACATAAATATGATACATGAATATGATATAACGATACTTACTTTAGGTACTTTAGGTTGGTTTGGCAGGGATTGCTTCTGGACAACAGTAACTAGTACGTCCTCCATTCCGCCTCTGCAGGGAGAGCAGGTCCAGCTTCTTAAGACGGTCCCAATAGTCCAATTGCTGACAACCTAAGATACGGCGAGTGTAGTTCCTCTGAACATTTTCAATTGCTTCTATATCGGTGATTTTGTTGGGGTTCCAGACCGGGCAACAGTATTCTAGCCTGCTCTTACCATTGTTTTGAAAAGGGTGAGCATCAGGAAAGGTGATCTGTCACTGAAGACACTGAAGACCCACGATGCCATTTTCTTAGCAGTTTTCAGCATCTGATGGATATGGGGCGTCCATGAGAAGTCATTTGAGAGGAGTACTCCAAGGTCTCTGACTGTTTGCGTTGGTTCGATAATTTCCCCGTTTGTTGAGCTGTAGCTGTAGTCTTCGTTGGAGAAGGGGAGTTCTCTCAATAGCAGGGATTTATTCAGGTTGTAGTTGATAACTTCAAATTTGGTTTCGTTTAGCTGCATGTTATTTTGCAGGGCCCATTTGATGACATTAAACAGATCTTCTTCAAGCAAACACCTTGCTACTAAATCAGTAATCTTGCTTATAAGCTTCGTGTCATCAGCAAAGACCTTTCCAAGAGCAGTTAATAACGTGTCCAGTTGGTCATCTATATACAGAATAAACAAGATTGGACCTAACACAGTTCCCTGTGGGACACCACTTATCACAATCTGGAAGGACGACTTTTCTCCTTCGACGACCACTGTCTGCCGGCGATTCTTTAAGAACTCAGCAAGCCACTGTAGAGTTTTGCCCGAGATGCCGTAGCGTTTGGCTTTAGCTAGAAGAATGTTGTGATCTACTTTGTCAAACGCTTTGGCGTAATCCAGGTATATAACATCCACTTCATCGCCACTTTTGAGGGTCTTCAGAATATTGTCTACATGGTCCATATATACTATATGTAGTGATTAGGCTCAGAGTTTTAGGAAACATTAAGATATGCCCAAGATAATTGCGTTTTCCTATTGCTATATGTCCAAATAAAAGACAGTTGGATATTAAAAGGCCACTGTAAGCGTTTAAATAGACGAACAAGCCATTTTCGCCAGAAAGCAGCTGGTAAACGTTAACTTTATCTCCTGACCACATACCTAACCAAGCATTAAAATCCGCGAATAAATGAGGCATTTTATTCATTCACAACTTCGTCAATACCCCGCATTACTCTTAATTACCTTAAAAGCTATCTTTAAATTAAAATAGAAGTGTGAGTACCTATTTGTTTAACTAATCCAGACGCATATTCATCATTTCCTGGTGGTTAAAGCAAGCCAGTCATTCTTTTAAGATTGAAGTGTGTAACTATTGTGTTAATGAATTAACAACCCATTTTAAGTAAACAGATATTCGTCAAAAAATCTTCGCCACAGAAAAAGCTTGCTCATTGCTGATGCTGTGTCAATTGTTTTGCTCTCATATTGTTTAAAATACAAATGTAACGACTAATTATTATACTTGAGTATTAAACGGAGTCCACCCACAGGGCTCAATTAAATTGCGGAAAATTTTACGGACCGCGCGTCATCGATTTCTGCTGAGAAATGCTTTACTGTAAGCAGTGAGTGTAGTGTTTGAAGTGATCAAATGCGCGCGCACTTTCGTTCTATTTCATGCACGAGAGGCGTTTTTAACAATTTAATTTGACATAACTCGATAAAACTGCGATAATTAATTGATTAATGCATTTCATCAATTTGCGATGAAATAGGTTTACTTGTAGAACAACACAAGGCAATTTTTTTAGAAAACCCCGGGAATTTTGTTTGCTCACAACAGCTTGGCGAGCATGTTAATTTTTACGTGCGATAAACAATTATCAAGCTTTAATTTGATCAATAATCAAACTTTATTAATTCAAATCGGTTGTCCAGTACCCTAGAAAACACATAACACATTTTTAAATTGATGGAATTACAGTTCAAAACCTTTCGGAATTATACTTTTAGAACAACGTACTACTAACACCTTCACAACTACTGCAACATCAACAATCACTTTTGTGATGTGCAACGTTGTAAGAGTCGAAATTCATGCTTCAGCTAAAATATAAGTGTATTAAAGTCTATGATAACTGATGGGGACTGACCTTGGGTTATTGCTATATTCAATATTTTCCACAAAATTGTCCTACCCAAATCATGTTTCTGACATTTATAACACGATTTATAATACCAAATTACAACCAACACTCAGTTAAATGACGTACATTTTAGATACCGGGGTGCGAATTCAGACAGACAAACATATAGACAGACAGAATCCTATCAGACCAAAAAATAAGCATAGACAGACCAAGTTCTAGGTTTCGTAAAGAATTGTCAAACTATGAAACCACATCCCATTTCACATTTTATCCATTAAAAACTGTCAAAATTCCATTTCTTTTCTAGTCACGCCATAGTCACTAGCATAAATAATTCAGAAAATATTTATCATTCACATGTGAGAAAATACCGAATGTGTGCCGTGCGACATTGTCCGATTTCAGTGCGACATTATTGTTATTTTTGTCGGAATAACTCTTTTATCATGATTAGCTATAAAATGTTCTTTCTTTGATTTTAGCTCCCGCCTCCCATACCACGTATCTGGACGCATTAGGTATGAAAAATTTAAGTCAGTAGTGGAATTTGTGGAATGTTATGTTTCTTAGCGTGTGTTTTCTTTAATCTCACCATGTGGTTGTTGAATTGTTGACCAACTTTTAAACTTTACCCTTACTTTATTCTTGAATTCAGACAGATTTGATTAATGTTTTATGTTTGTCGTATTGTTGATAAATGGTGAGAATGTGTTTGTGAACTCTTTTTTTTTCTCTCTAGGCTTGCTGCATGTTAAGTGATGTTATCGCATTTAAGATAAGATTCATCCTGACTATAATTCTAACCAAGTACTTAATTACACTACTTAATTTAATTACACTACTTAATTTACTACTTTGCTGCCGATATATTATGACAATGCTTTTATTGAAGTCCACCTTGTAGAATTAAGACATTCACAAGTCAAATCAGTTTCTAACATTAACATAATTATGAGCATAATTCCAATCTTATTCGTTCCAACAGGCGACGAAGATATATAGTTCCTTCCCAGAGTTCGGTTACTGACGAAAGGTGAAACCACGCACCCGCAACCACTGCCTCAGACTAAAACCACGCGTTATTTTGATGACGTCACGTGATATTGATGACGTCACGTGATATTGATGACGTCACATGGATGATAGGTCTGCTGGTGACTCAGAGATGTTCATGATGAGTCTGCTCAGATTGATGAATTATAACGATGTTGTATATTTAATTTTGTACATGTTTTTTGCTAATATATCATAATATTTGCTAATGATATATATGAAGTTAAATTATTAATGAGAGCCCCCCGGACTGTATTTAATGTTTGCCGCCTTGTTTTTGTTTTTTATTGCTGCTCTTGGAAGTTAAAGCTTTTTTTCTGTGACTGCCTAGCTGTAAATATATAATACTGTAGGAACCAAAAGTTAAATGTAAATTTTTGGCTTAATTAAGGTAGAAAATTAAATTTACGCCTTTTGAGAGAACCTGTTATGAGTAAAATTTAATTTTCTACATGAATTATTGTGATTTTATGATTATAGTATTGAGGGTAAATTAGTGTACTACTCTAGTACTAGTAGAGGATATTCGCTTAGCCGAGCAGTAAATTTGGGATTTAACAATCGTAAAACCAATGCAATCAAATTATTGCATTCTTCATCATTCCTTAAAATATACCCAAATTTCGACATTAATCCCGAAAATTGATTGATCATAATTTTAATCAAATAGTATGCTGGATAAATTAATCATTCGTCCTGTTGCTAAAAGTAAAGAATTTCCATTTATTTCAAAAAGATTCATGGCTGAGGAACTGTTTGGCTAATTTTATATGTAAATAAATTCTTGATGAAAACCATTTTGTAAATATTATAATGATGCATACATAAAGATCTATAAATAATTTATTTGAGATTTATTTTATCAGATGCCTGTTAAAAATGGTCGGAATGAGGTTCTTATATTATGCCTTTGCCCTTTCTTGACATCCGACTCAAGGCTGCAATATATTTTCCTGTCACAATAATATATGATATTATAATTATAACAACAACAAAATAATAACAATCACAACTAACTATACAGTAGTCGTATTACAATGCTACCTTAAGACCGACAAATTTAGTCTACCATAAATTAAGGCAAACTTTTGACTAAAATTGTTGTAAACCAAATTTCATGAGACTAAATTTTTCGTCGACTAATTTTAAAGCAGACCAAAATTTCAGTAGAGCAAATATGACATGAATATTATTAAGCTAAAATTGTTTATAATTAATATATGACATCACCGTTCGTACTGCACAAAACCGTACCAAAGTCATATTGCACTTAGAGCTCCTTTTGGACATTACATTTTTAATCGATCCATCCCAATGCATGCTCTGTTGAACAGCTGAAGGATCATATCGACATAAACTACGTAGTACCGACAAAAATAGTAAAGTCGAAAAAGGGTGAAAAGGACCTGAACAGTGTACTGAAGAACTTAGTGATACAGATTCACAAACTCTGGATCTGATGTTATTGAAACTCCTGAGTAATGCATTGCAGCTTAATCTGTAATGCTCAGACGGGGTAGACTAAATTTGTCGTTCTTAAGGTAAATGGAATGGAAAATGGTCTCGAAAAGTTGAAAAATGTGACTAAAACTGTTGTAGATTAAAAATTTGCGAAATTTGTGACTAAAATTATGGTAACCAAAATTATGGTAACCAAATTTATTGTGAACCAAATTAATTGGCCCTAAGGTATTAGAAAAAAAACTGCATGATGCACGTCTTTGTAGCGCATTACATACAACGAGGCGAGCATTTTACAAATAAACGGTTTGACACTTGAAGCACAGTCGAGAAAAGGCAAATCAAAGTAATAATTGCTACAATATAAGGATTATTTGTGGGATAACCACTCTGTCTGGGATGATAACACGTTCGGAGATTATTCTAAACGCTTTTGTGACTTAGATAAGATGAACGTTATGTTTTGTACAAATAATAATCAGTATTGCTGTATGTAGGTAGATGTTAAAGTGTTGACTTCTTTGTCGAGAACTTTGCAAATTATATGTGAATTGTTGAATTACGATCTAAAGGATTAGCTCGATTTTAAGTCTGCGTTTTAATTCTTTTTTATAACTGAAAACAATTATCATAAAATCTTCTAATGGGCCATCCATAAATTACATCCAACAATTTGGTTGATTTTCAATTTCAGACCCCCATACCGTCATGATTGTCCACTTAAGTCGGAAATTTTGAACCCCCTCCCACTTTGGACGTCCATCAGAGTGATCAGGATCAGGGGTCTCTTCGTTAATTAAGCTAACACTAGTAATACAACTCTTATAGTTTAAATAGAACTCTTATAATACTAGTATAGGCTGAAGGCTCGATGTATTTTTGAAAGCTGATTCCGCGGCGAAAACCGAAATCAAACTTCCAGCAACTCAATTGTGTCATATGCCATCTATACTCTATAGTTGACTGACTTATTGGTTTCTGGAGAAACATTCTTTTGAAAATGGGACAAGAAATGGCAGAATATGATTTGTCAGCATTTTTTCGGCAATTTTCATGACTTCCGGTACCTCAATTTGGTCGCATATCATTCTCAGTTAACTGGAAAGTTTCCTTACTTGCTCCTTCATAAACCACCCATTTAACAACAGCTAATTGGACACTAACTACCACCCTTATCCCGAAATACTATGTATCGACCCGAAAGCAACCCAAAGAGATTTTTATTACCTGAGGACCCCAGGCTATTATGTTCATTAACATAATAAATAAAGATTTGGCGGAATGACAGGCTGAGCGCGGCCCAGTAAGATTTTTACTGCATGTGATTGATGTAATTAATCGAAACTTATTACAATTCGTAAGCCGTGAATAAATGGGAAAAGCGAGCGACTGATTTCATTCTCGGTATCATTTTGCATTTGCGGACGGTTATTCAAATTAATATCATTTAATTTTGTTTGGGAAAGAGAGACACTGGCAGCGGTCCACTCTACCCAATTATGGGTTTTGGTCAAATTAATAATCTAAATTTACTGTGATATGGTTGATGATGACGGCTCGATAAAAAAGATTTTAGCCTATCTGAATCTCCAGTGTCATGAGTCAGCTATAATTATATAACAGTTCGGAGGACTCCAAATAGTTTGCCTAAGTTTTCAGAAGTCACAAAACGAATCCCCCAACCCTATCACATACCTTATGTCTTTGATAAACCATCGGATTGTGACGATTTTTCTAAACTTCACCATATTTCATATTATTACGGTGAAAATATAATTATCTTAACTCCATGATGAAGCCCTGATGGTTGATTAGGCAGTATTTTAGGGTATTAAACCTGCTTCACTCCGGGTAACAAGTCGCATACAAATAAGAAAATTCCCTTCTCCACTTACCCTTTCTGGACTGTTCATTCCAGGAATGAGATGGTTGTAAAAGTGGTGCACATTAATAAAAATCTCAATTAGGTCTATAAATTTATAAACTGTTTACTTTTAGAAAAGTCCAAATTGCACTCTTCTTCATTTACATTTGTTTGGGGACTGGTTTGACGTTTACTGTTACAAATATAATATCTGTATTACATAATCATAATTATCATAACACATAAATAGATCTTAAATAAAATATTCTGCACCACCCACCAATTTCATGGCCACTTCCTAACTACTTTATTTAAAGGTAATTGTTACTGTTTTTTGAGGTCATTGTAACTGTTTTTAAAGTTATAATTGTTACTGTTTTTAGTGGTTATTGTAACTGTTTTTAAAGGTATAATTGTAACTGTTTTTAGTGGTTATTGTAACTGTTTTTAAAGGTATAATTGTTATTGTTTTTAGTGGTTATTGTAACTGTTTTTAAAGGCATACTTGTAACTGTTTTTAGTGGTTATTGTAACTGTTTTTAAAGGTATAATTGTTACTGTTTTTAGTGGTTATTGGAATTGTTTTGCGAAGCGGGTTGGACGTGGCACGTAGCGCTCGCGGGTGATAGTGATACTCGTAAAATATTTGTTCCAACTCGGCGCGCGTCTTGGTAGGTTATAAATCTATAAGCATCAAAACGAGATGTTAACAAACTTCGTGCAAAATTTAGTTCAAGTTTATGACATCACTAGTTCAAGTTTATGGCATTGACATCACCTATAATTGGTGCTACACTGTACTTAAGGATTCCCACCGCCACGCACCCACCGTACCCGTACAGCCAGCTGTTAGATTTATACCGTTTATTTTAATATGTCTGACGCATATGATTATGTATGATGAACGAATAGGAGCAAAAATAAATGCGATTACATGCGTCCGATGGGTTCGATATGAAACGGTAAACCTTAAATCTGCGAGTAGAAGGGAAATACAACGTCTGTCAACTCAGATCTATTGATGTTTCTGATTCAGATTAGAGCCGGCCCCCTAGTCGACCTGACACGTTGCCTCACGCGTACGTGACCTAGTCGACCTGACACATTGCCTCACGCGTACGTGACCTAGTCGACCTGACACGTTGCCTCACGCGTACGTGAAATGTTGTTTCTCCGAATGTTTGGCCGCTAATTCTCACCTCTAGAGCCAGAGGACATAGTTAGACGTTTTCGTTCAGAGGAAAATGGTTATTTAAAGATGTAGAGAAATCTTATCGATTATCATAGTCTGCCTAATATAAAACCAACGTACAGGAAGTTTCAAAACGAAGTGTTAAATGACAAAATTACAACTGATAAAAGAAAATTCTGGAACTTCCAGTTCAATTTCAAATTTTGGGAGATATCACTTCACACTTTTTAATTTCTTGTTTAGACCGGTTTTTTAATTAAAAACCTTACAAAGAATGTAACCAAGGACAAAAACCGGACACTGTCCAAGACTTCGAATTAAGCTATTTTTTCTTGTTCTATCATCATTTATTTATTATTTTTCTTTTTGTTGTCGACTCCATTGTGTATATCTATTATCGGCAGGATATGAGTAATTCAATTGAACTAGAAGAAAATGGTAACGTGAGTGATAATGCTACAGCCCAAGCTGAACCAGATTACAATGCCAGATCCAGGATCCAGGAATCTTGTAAGAAAATAAGCCCCTTTCTCATGGTATGCGGTGCAGGACTGTTATTCAGTACCCAAGCATTACTCTCCAAGCTTATGCCTATACCTCCTGGACAATATGTTTTAACTTCAGCCACATTCAATATCCCATTGTGTCTCGTCATCTGCTTTTATTCTGGAGTTGATGTGTCTCCTTTGAGTATCAGAGAAAACAGGATGTGGTTTTGGGGCAGAGTTGTCCTCGGGGGAGTAGCGTCAGGAGGTAAGATTCTTGTAGTAAGGAACATGGATATTGGTGATGCTACAGCTATCATATTCTCTGCTCCCATTTGGGCAGGTTGTTTGGCTAGAATAATTCTTAAAGAAAAGTACACCATCATCAATTTATTTGCCACAACATTTGGTTTAATTGGAATTGTTCTAGTAACAAAGCCAGGTATTCTATTCCCGGACAAGGATGGTGGAGGAGAAAGTTCAGTACCATGGGCATGTGCGACTTTAGGAGTCTCAGTTATTGCTGCCGTGTCCTATGTTTGTGTTAGAGGAGCAGGTCAAGCCGTACATCCAATGAAATTTGTACTCTACACGGCGTGTGTTGAATTGGTTTGTGGTTTTGTAACCAACCCAATTATGGGACAATCTCTAGTATTGCCCCCTTGTGACTGGGTAAGAATTGCGTTGGCATTGTGTGGTGTAGGAGCAACCTTGGCAAATGTTTTGATTGTAAGGGGACTATCTCTTGAAAACTCTGGGCCTGCTTCCTTAATGAGGAACTGGGATATTGTTTACGCGTACATTTTCCAGATTATCTTCTTCAAGATCACTCCTGATTGGATCAGTCTTCTTGGGGCAGGACTAATCGTGAGCACAGCTCTTCTTCAAGGGATTGATAAACTCTTTAATATTTCCTGTGGTATACAATTCTAAAACTTTTGATATTGTGGGAATTTATGAATTACAACCATTATGTTTTGACTTACCATCATTTGAGTATCGTAATTTGTAAGATATGAATTTTCGATTTGTTTACCTTTCTGTAGGAAGCTTCCTCCGACCAGAATCCAACTTCTAGCACCTCAATTGTGTCATATGCCATCTGGAGAAGAATTCGGTAAAAACTGTGATTTTTCGGTCGGGGAAAT